TGGAGACACGTCACAGCACCCCAAACATAAGTTTCACGCCTGCACGGACACGTTACGTGCTGTTACACGTATGTTGTGTTATGTTACACACCCGAGGAGCCCTGCACACTCCGGCTGCCCTGCTCCTGCAGCAGGACCACCACCGCGCCCCCCTCCAGCACTGTCCTGCCACCGAGACCCCTGGAGCCACACTGAGCCCCCCCACATTCCTGCCCCACTCTGAGCCCCCCAGATTCACTCCCCATTAACTGCAGCCCCCCAGGGACACGCCTGCCAGCCCCCCAGCTCCCCCCGTCCCAGCACCAGCCGCGACCCGGGACGGTGGGAGGTGGGACCCCCCCCCCAAAGCACCCAGGACCCCCGAGTACCGGGCCGGGAGGGCAGCCCCGATACTGCAGGAGGGGACAAGCCTCACTGCCGTGCCCGGGGCTGCAATCCTGGTTGAACAGTGCATCCTAGCGGACACCGCCTCGCCTCCTCTCCCGGAGCATCCCCACCGGCCGGCGGGGAGCGTGGGGAGCGGGGACCCCCGGGCGAGCCTCCCTTTGCTCCCCCCCCTCCTCCTCCGCCTCCCATCCCACCCCCGGGGAGGGGGTACAGCTCCTACCTGGGTGCATCCCAGAGCCCGTCTCGGGGGGCTCCAGCCCCGCTGCTCCCAGGGGCAGGGCGCAGAGCAGCGCCAGAGCCAGCGCCCCGCAGCGCATCGTGCGCCCCGGCCCCGGCCCCGCTCCCGGCACGGCGCATCCCGGCCCCGCCGCCCCCGCCCCCGCCCCGCCCCGCGGGACCCCCACAGGGAGGGGAGGGCGGGGGGGGGGACACCCGACACCCTCCCCTCCCTCCACCCCCCCCTCCAAGGCACACGGAGGGGGGGACACGCGTAACCCCTCCCCCGCCTGCACTGCCCTGCCGTGCACACGCAGCCGGGGGCGCAGGGGTTAATGATGCCCCCCCCCGGGTGTTTTGGGCAGCGTTGGGAAAGGAGACTGCATCCCCCCCCCCCAAATAAATAAATAAACAACCCACAGATGTTGATGCAGCTGTTACTGGGGCGTTTATCCCCAATAAATAGCATTTGGGGCTGGGGGAAGGACCCCAACCCTCCTGCCAGAGCTGTTCTCATATCTTCAGGGTTCCACCCCCCTCTCCTCGCCTCCTTCTTGGCATTGCAGGGGTTAAACCCGCCTCCCCCCCCCCCTCCCCATGCTGGGGGCTTCGAGGAGCTCAGTGGCTGCGGTGGGCACCCACGGGGCACTGCCACCCCCCTGCTGCACCGGCCACAACCAAAGGGCATCAGGACGGGAGGTGTCGGTGGGCAGGTGAGTTTGCCCCATAAATGCCACAGGTGGTGGCTGTGCATCCCTCAGCCCCATGCCCCCACTGCATGTCCTGCTCCTCTGTCACCACGTTGTGTCCCCAGGTCGTGTCCTGCTCCTGTCCCCACCTCCCAGCCCTTCCCCTGCTGTGCACCGAGGGCATCCCAGAGACGAAGGTCAAAAATACTCAAGGAGCCGCTTGCTTTGCAGCACAGAGGGTTTTATTCACCAAGAACATGTGATACGGGTTTGGCTTTTCCATCTCAGGTGTTGCTGAGTCCCATCGATCTCCACAGCTGTGACCTTCTGGCCCAGCAGAAATTCTCCCTCTGCGTTCCTTGCCTGCCCTGCAGCAGCGCTCTATGGGGGATGTGCAACCTGCCTCGCAATGCAGAGTCTCTGCCCTTTGTTCCTTTCCCATACTGACATCCCGCTGCAGCAGCAGTTTTTAGGTGGATCATCTGCACACCCGTGCCTTTTAAATGCTCTCCAACTCCAACAGGAGGAAAAAAAAAAAAAAAGATAAAAACTTGTGAAAGAAATGCATTTACCTTGCCACAACCCCGACTGCTCAGCAGCACCTTTTCATGCAGATGGTCCCTTTGCTGAATCCAGTGACACAACCTCACCCGCTCCCTTCCTCGGAAAAGGAAAAGGGGGCTTTGCCCCGGTGGGTGCTGCAGACCCCTGCAGGCACAGCTGGGCAGGGACTGGGTATGGAGGAGGCTGCCAGGAAGAGAGAAATAATAAAACCAGATGTAGACAAAGCCAGTGCTGGGATATTCTGTTTCAGAGCAATCACAGAAAGTGGAGACAAGAACAAAATGAACAAGGTGCAGTCAGTGATATGTTTTTCTTGGCCTTATCACAGCTCTGCTCCATCAGCATTTGTCAGTGTGTCCTCTACAGGTACGGGAGCTCTGTCCTGCCGTTCCCATCCATTGGCTCAGGAGATGTTTTGTTCTGGCCTCCTGTCCCAAACAGCCTCAGGAGTGCCGCTCCCTCGCCTCAGAGCTTCGCCCAAATATCCGCACGGCGGTATCGGAGCCCCCTCCTCCACGGCAGCACAGAGCTCCTTGCAGCCATTGCCACAGATCAGTCCCGGACCTTCTTCATTGTTCTTATTGCTTCTTTGAATCGCCTCCAGTTAACCAAAATGCCTGTTAGTGAGATGCCAAATTCCCAGTGTCGCCTCAGTAGCACCCCACTAGGAGCCTGTGGATGCACAAAACCCACACAAGCTCCGGGGATTTTAAACACCGAGATGTGAAGGAAGCAGGAACCCGTGCAGGAGCCTTTGTCCTCATTCTGCACTCGCTTGCTGGTGACCCTGGGCAACTCGGTCTCCTGAAGGTGCCTCAGTTTCCTTTCTTAACCGAATGAAGATGCTAAACCAGCCTCTTTTGCAAAATATTTGGGGACATGCTGAGGGAAAACCTTAAGCAAAGGGTTGTTATTACCATCAGGCACTTCTGTATCGTACTCCCCACAGCTCCAAAAACACCAGGACCTGGGGCTGTTTGAGAGGGATGAATCTGAGCCAGCTGCTGGGACGGGCAATTTGTCACCTTGGGGTCTTTGGCACCCAGTGCTCACGGGGCTGGAACAGGGCCTCGGACGGGTGGCACGGGGCTCTCCTGCTCACAAGAGGCCAGGCGAGCCCTGGGCCCAGCTGTGTGCAGCTCTCACCCACAGCTTTCTGTGTCCTCAGGCAAATGGCTCGGGGAACGACCTCTCCGAGCAGTGAGGGGCCGTGAATCAGCCTTTTTCCTCTTCTGTTCCCTAGAAAGTAGAAAAGGCCTGAAAATGCTACCCCCTAATGGCAAAGCGAGGTGTGGGGATTGGGAAATGCTGCTCCACAGCCCGGATTCTGTCTGCAGGGCTAGAACGGCTACCGGGGGCTGAAACAGCAGCAAGGTGGCCTCTGGGGACAGACCCCACACAAACCTGCCCACAAGTGCACATCAAGGGCGTTATCAAGGGCGTTCTGCTGGTTCTGAGCCCCAGCGGCCTGCAAGGAGTTCACCAGAGTGAGAATACGGTCCAAGGCCTGTTGCTTCCCACCAGAACAAACACAGGGCCACTTAGCAGAGTCCTGATGGACTCCAAACCAGTTGTTCCAGCTCCCTCCCATGCCTCAGCCGTGGGAGATGCTGCAGGGAGGGCAGGGTCCCTGCCTCCCCAGCCCCTCGCCCCAGCACCAGCAGTGCCCGGAGCGGCAGTGGGGTGTGCTGCTGCCGGGCTCTCGTGGGCTGAGGGAATGAGGCTTGTACATGGTAAAGATGATTAAAAACAAATTAAAAGCCCCCGAAAGGTTTTCAAGATTTGGAGATGCACACAGGATCGTAAACTGGTGTTGGAAGTCCTGTGTGATGTGTACCTGGAGGGCAGAGGTTGCTGCTGACCCCAGGCAGCTTCCAGCTCCCCGAAGGCTGCAGGGCGCTGACCCCAGAAATCTCCATGTCTCCTGTTTGGGGTGACTCAAAAAAAAAAAAAATAAAATAAAATAAAATAAAATCCTACACTTCACCCCTGTGCTCTGCTTTTCCCAGCTCCAAAGGAACCCAGACCCCGCACAGCCCAGGGTAACAGCAAAGAGAAGTTCCTCTGCTCCAAACGTTGTCAGTAACTTGCTGTGGGACCTCAAGCAAAACCATTTTTCCCATGCTACAGCCTGACCTGTTGATTGAGAGGGAAAAGACCGTGTCCTTGCTGTACACGTGGCCCATGAATCTCAGGTGGGACCTCGAGTGGTCTCATCCCAGCAAAGATGTAACAAGAGAGGAGAAGAGTGAATCCTAAACTAGACCTTGGGCTCTGAAACACCGAAAAATGCAAAAATGCAATGCTCTTTCTTCTTCCTGTGCTCCCCAACTGCTAGTAATTATTTTTTTTTCCCAATGGAGTGTTCCTGGAGTTGTCAGAAGTGTCACGGCAGCAGACCCTGGTGAGGGAGATTCACACAGTGCTCATCCCGGGTAAGAAATAAGAAGGTTATCCAGATACCAGAAGAAATGTTCCTTCCTCATGTGCCACCAGCCCTGGAGTTTGCCTTCCTCTCAGTGCAAGCCTCAGTAGCAGGAACTTCAAGGTCCTCTCAGCAAGAAAATCGTTATTATTGTTATTAATCTTATTACCTATTTTTTACCAGGTGCTGCAGTATGTTAGGCACCCAGCAGCCCCACGTGCTGCTGATTCCTTGCCCATGCCTATCCAAGGTAGCACCAAAAATCCTTGCTGGGAAAGGGAAAGGTTTAGTAAGGGTTAATGCCAAAGGGAGTCAGCCTTGCCAGCATTTGTGCACCTCAACAAGAGAAACATCCCTCTGTTAACATCCTCCTGCTAATCAATCACTGCTAGTTGTATTTTTTTTTTTTTTTTTTTTTGGAAACCCTCAATTAAATGATGCGATTTTGCTGCCTGTTGGACTCCAGGAGTCATAACCTCCACACTGGATCCACTCTGCAAAGGCAAATTTGCCAGCGGCTCCCTACTCAAACCGAGCATCTGCAGGGCAACACCCACAGGCACGGCCAATTGCTCACGGCATCCCAATTCGGCACCGAATCCGCTTTCGCTCCGGATTTCACAGGCTGCCACTGGAGGTGGTGGCAAAAGCAAGCTTCGGTCGGAGGCTGCGCTCAGGATGGCGGGCTCCCGGTCACCAGGCACACTGCACACACCGTCTTTGAATTTGTAAGGTTTTTTGCTAAGTTTTTATTTTAATTCAAGGACTTTGCTTCATACAAAATGTAATTGTAGAAACAACTGCAGAATTCAAAGTTTGGCTGATAAATATTACTCAGGCAGCAAACTAGGCAATCACAGAACCTTTTTTTTCTCTTTTTTTCCTTTTTTTTTTTTGGGCAAAGTTCCAGTTGTGTTGCATGGTTGGAACTTTTGTAATTTTTAACACTGTTTTTTTAAATATAAAGTTTTGCAACAAACCCCCAATTTATATCAAATATAATTAAAAATTAACAACTGATGAATACATTGTATCAAAAAAGTACGAAGATAAACATTTTCCATGCACATACTTTTTATATATATGTATATATGTATATATTTTACATGCAAACATTACTTATTCAAAGTACAGCCACTACGAGACTGGTTCTGGATGCAGAAAAACTGATCGGTGCAATTCAAGTTTGGCAACTCACTATGAGGATTCTTGGAAATATGATGTATGCATTTAAGAGACAGCAGAGAGGCTGTAAAAAGAGAGGAAAAAGGGTTATATGAACAACCGTGGTCAGGCTTGACTGTCACCGTCAGCGTTTGAAGCAACGCCTACGAGGCGGGTGGAGGATTGGACAACTGGAGCTTCTTCTTCGTGTTCTGCATGAGGACTGAAGGGATCCCACGCCATCGCTGGGCTGTGCGCTTCCAGGGGGGGATTAGTGAGGGGCTGGGGGGTCTGAGGTCTAAAACGATGGGGGAAGGGGCAAGGCAGAGGGGAGAAAAGGCAAAATTGTTGGGTACAGAAAGACATCTCTTTCGCTTTCCGGTGTGGGTACAATGTTTGCATGCACTGTCAGAGAGATTGCGTTCTCCCTCTCCCTCCTTGGAGTGAAATAGTAATGTTTCCTTTAAAATTTCAAATAAAGTGTTTGTGCCTTCATATAAGGAAAATGTATAAAACATTTGGTCACAATCATGCTGAAGCCTGAAACAGGAAGATCCAGCAGATAAAGCTACAGAATGGATGAAGGTCTTTCTGACTGTCAGTGGTGTGGATGTGTTTCCTTACGTGTCATCTTGTTGCATAGCCCTCCGATTGCAAATTACAGCCATTACCCATAGCGGACCTCTGGCTACCGCACTTCCTTTATTCAAAGTGCACATAAATACAGAGACAGAGATAGAGACAGGAGTTATCCTTTAGCAGAATCCAGGGATGAGATCGGCCAGAGATTATCATTTAGTAACGGAACAAAAAGCACGCAACGAAAACGCAACAGGTTGAATTTTCTCAACAGAAAAGCTACAGGAGATGTGAAGAACCACCCTACAGCAGACTGCTCCCCGCGGGAGGCCGGAGGACTTTGCCGAGAGCATCAGCGACCTCCTGAGCATTTTGGTAGCATTCCCTGAAACCCCCCTCTTGGCCAAACCTATCACCAGGGCCCACCGGGATCTCCCCCTGGTTTAAGCGATCGCTTTGCCTTGAGAAGTTTCACAGTTCTGGGGCTTGGTAGAGCATCCCACAGAATGCATCCTTCCAATCCTTTCCTCTTTCCTATCACTGTTTTTGGGCAAAGTGCTGTACCAGCACCTCCCACCCCTCCTCCTCTAACTTTCTGCCAGCGTACCATGCGTCTTCTGGCCTCCCTGTGCCCCAAATTAGCCCTACAGAAGTTCATCAAAGCCACGGACACCGTGTCCTGCCCAGGCTTTGCTTGTGGCGCTTCCTCCCTGCCGGCATGTCATCTTTGCCTCTTCCCCAGGCTCAAAGTGCAGAAATCCACACGTGCAACAAAATAAAGAAATCGTCCAACACAAAAGTCATTGCAAGAACACAGAAATCTCATCCCTGAGAATCAGAGTTAGAGGTTTTGCTTTTTCATTTTGTTTTTTTGTTTTTGTTTTTTTTTTCTCTTTTGAACAGGCAATAAAAACAAGACTCTCTCCATCTGCCCCCAACACAAACGACGCACCATGGGACACGGCCGCAGCTCTCGCAGCCCGACTACGACTAGACATGCAGTGCGAAAGATGCTTCTCCTCCTGCAGGAGCACCGCTGCAAACGCTGCGCCGCCACCCCTGCACCTCTCCCACCAGGACACCAGTCAACGAGCAAAGGCCAGCTGCTTCTGCTGCACTTACACCCCTCCCGCTCCCAACAATTAAATTATAATAAATAAAAATAAAAATAAAGGCCAACAAAACCCAAACCAACCCCAAAGTGTGTTTGCCTTCCCCACTGTCAGCTTCCAGCCCTGTGTGGGGGCAGCCGAGCCGAGCGGCTCCTCCGGGCGCTGCCCCTGCCCCCCGCGCTCCCCCAGGTCCGAAGCGAGAGGTTTGCATCGTCGCTGTGAAAGATTTCAAAGGTTAGGCACTTAGTAGTGAACAACTGGAGCATTCGGTAGAAACGGTGGGACCTGGAATGACAATTGGACTGATTCTCTACATAAAGAGTAATTTTTTTCTTTCTTTTTCTTTTTTTTTTTTTTTTACTGTACAATTTACAAAAATGCACACAATGAAAAGTTAAAGTTCTATCTAATAGCTTGATATAAAACCAATAACATTTCTTCTTCTCACCCCTACACTTTTTCCTTTTTTTTTTTTCCTGTTTTTCAGGTTTTCTTTTTTTTTCTTTTTTCTTTTTTTTTTTTTTTTTTTTGCTAAATCAAGCTTATATTGTAAACAAGACAAAACAGTGAGGGCGTGTTGCAGTCGACAGGAGAGAGGGACGGGAAGAAAAGTCTCAGCAGCAAGGAAGCAGTCCTGACGAAGGGGCTCTCGGGTGGCTTTCTGGTGGCTGGGTGGGAAGGACCCGAAGTGGCGATGAGCGTGAGGGGGCCACGCAGCGGCGGGGGCAAAGCAGCGAGTTCCTGGCTCGGCTGGGAAGGGGCGCTGCGGCTGAACATCAAGTCCCAACGGACCGTCCTTTGTTCCGATCTGCGGGTTGTTTTTTTTTCCTCCTCTCCCAGTTCCTTAGGTAGATCTCTTCCCTCTCGGCGGTGAACGAGATAAAACGCGGGGTCAAGCTTTGTTCGCCGGTGTCCGTTTTTGCAACCCCGACTCCCACCCTGGCTGGGGCAGGGAGAAAAATAAAATAAAAAAATAAAGAAATAGCCCAACCAAAACGGTGCCAAGCCCAAAAAGGATGGACGGCCTGCTCGTCCGCCGTCGTGGCTCCTCGCGTGCCTCGCGGGTTTGGCATCTGGTGCACGTCTTTGAAGGCAGCAGGGAGGTGGGCGAGAAGGGGGGAGAGATGCACTGCCCCCCAGGAGGGAGCCTTCTTCCTTGGTATATTTTAGTGGGGGAAAAAAAAAAAAAAAGAAAGGAAAATAGAAAAAAAATAAGAAAACAAAGAAGGGCAGGAGAGAGGCTGCACAAGTGTCTCCGGAGGTCTCGGAGCGGGGCAGAGCAGTTCTGGCGGCGGGGGCTGCCCCCAGGCACCGCGTGTCTGAGCGCACAGCCTTCCAGATGATAAAACTCATCGACTTTGCACGCCTCCGAGGGCTTCGCCGTGCCGCTAGCACCAGTCGTCCTCGTCGGCTTCGTGGTAGTAGCTCCGTCCCCGGGCGCCGGTGCCGGGGCCCGTGTTGAGCCCCAGCGTGTAGTGGTAGCCGTTGGGCACCCGGCGAGCTTGGTGAGACTGGGAGGTCAAGGAGGAGACGTAAGAAGTCCTGGAGGAACGCCCCGAGTTGGTGGCCACCGCCTCCTCGAAGGTGAGCGTGTCCTCGGGCGCCGCGCCGCAGGGGCTGTCGGCGGCGTCGCGGTGGCCCAGGTAGGGGTCGGAGCCGATGCGGGCCACCGCGGCCGGGGGCGGCTGCTGGTCCCCCCGCAGCAGCGCGTTGTGCTCGGACAGACCGCGGCTCAGGCGTCCCGGGGAGAAAGGGGGCAGGCCGCCCGGGGAGGTGGTGAAGTGGACGGGCGAGGAGTTGGCGGTCTTGTAAGTGATGCTGGGGCGTGGGGTCAGGGGGGTCTGCGGGAGCTGCCTCCGACCCCGGCAGGGGGTACTAGCACCAGATGTCGACAGCAAGGGGCTCCCGTTAACCGAACCACTGCCCTAGATAAAAATTGGAACAGAGCAAATGAAAAAAATAAAAAAAAGGGAAACGCCGGACGAACACAAAGGCAGGCAGGTGTAAAACAGAAGGAGAAGCGACAGGGGGGAGAGACAAGTCACAAGAGGAAAGAGAAGCAAAAAAAGAGAGAGTTTAGACACGCACAGTCAGGGGAAGGAGGTTCTTGAGAAATAATCAAACAAGAGATGTGAAGAGCTGGAGAACTAAGGGTCTGCGAGGAGCAGGTAGGGACAGAAACGATCAGAGCATCGGTAGGACGCAAACTGGCAGACGGCTCCAACAGCAGGGGACACTGCCCGGGGGGAAGGCACCCACAGCACACACAGTCCCGACATGCCCCTTACCTCAGCAACGCCACGGGCAGCTCAAAAACCTGCTGTATTTTTTTTTTATTTTTTATTTTTTTGGCAAACACAATTTTGCAAAATTGCACTCTCTGCTTTGGGGCAATTTTTCGCTTGACTCTTCACCTGATGGATGGGAGTGCTGATGCTGGGGATCATTTCTGTGCTCAAAATTGGACAAAGTAGGAGGAGGATTTGGGGACTGACTTTTTTTTTTTTCATAGTTTTAGGAATAAAATGCCTTTTGATTAAATACTTCCGGAAGAAACAGCAACAAAAAGATTTTTGGATAGGCTTTGGCTTTAACAAGAGGGCTCCCTAAAGAAAAATCCTGAAAAAATGTGTTCACCTTCTTCTTGTTAATATTACACCCGTACTATCTGAATGGTAGAAGAGACCGGCGGCTGCCTGCATTATTAACAGTGGTGCATGGGCATGAACTAAGCTACAACGAGGAAAAAAAGTGCCCTGAGTGAGAGGAGCAGCCCTTGTTTGGCATTTCTGTCCACCTTCTGCCTGGGCAGGGCATGAACAGCTCTGGGAGCACATTTTAAAAATCCCTTCACCCTTTCTGCTACAGCCCCATGGTCCCAGCCAAGCTTTCCCCATGGTGGTGGAGGTGAGGGAGATGCTCACTTCCACCCGGTTATCTAAACTGTCTGAGGGAGGAAGCCCAGATCTTTCCAGAGGTCTGAGGCTCAAAATAAAATACTTACCAAAAAAAAAAATTAAATTAAAATCATCCATGCTATTTAAAATTCTGGTAAACCAAGCATGTAAGAGAGCCCCTCCTGAGCTTTGCGGATTGATCTGTCACCAGGGGAACAGGACTTCTTCTCAAGAAATAAAAATAGATAAATAAATGTACCTGTTCCACAATACAGCACACTACAGGACAGCTCTGAGGCCCACACATCAGCAGCTGGAGCCTGACACTGCTGACACCACCGACATGAGCAAACCCAGCTGAAATCAGGGGTTTGGCTGCCTGCAGCCCCTGCGCTCGCATGGCCGTGGTAAGGATTTATCCTACAGTCACCAAGTGCTTGTGGCACTGGGCAGGTGCTGGGGACCAGGCCAGCTCGGCTGCCCAACAGAGCATCCCTCACCATGCTTCCAGCCTGCCTGGGCTCACGGATATTATTTTCCACCAGCAAGCCCAGACAAGGCTCGGGCCTTGCAGGTCGCTGCACTGAACCTGTTGGCAAGGGAATCACCGAGCGGGGGCTCTGGAGAGGCGCTGAGTCACTCCGTGGGTGGCTGGTAAAAATCCATCAAGCCGTGTTTCCATCCCTGTCCTGCACCTGAAGCAGCAAGCAGGATCTTTGCAGCAGGGACTGTCATGACAGGACAGGGGACAGTGGCTTTGAGCTGAAAGAGGCTAGGTTTTGGTTGGGGATAAGGGGAAGTTTTTCACAGCGAGGGTGTTAAGACACTGGAACGAGGCGCACAGAGAAGCTGTGCATCATTAGAAGTGTCCAAAGTCCCTTGAGCAGCCTGGCCTGGTGAAAGATGTCCCTGGCCATGGCAGGGGCTAGGACTGGGTGACCTCTAAGGGTTCCTTCCAGCCCAACCCATCCTACAGTGAGCAAGACCTCGAAGGCTTTACCTCCCACTGCCCGTCTCCTTTATCTTAAACAAACCCCAGAAGAGGTGTGTGGGTCCCTGGCAGCCCCCAGGGCTCTCCTCGCAGCCCGTGCCCCCTCACCTGTCTGTGCGGGCCTTGCTCGGGCCCCCCGTTGGGCGAGGTGGGCCTGCTCTGATCGGCAGATTTGGGCTGGGAGCGGTCCCGGCTGCCGTAGCGGTCGCAGGAGTAGAAGCGCTGCTTTTCGGAGGAGGAGGAGGAGTGCTGCTTCCTCTCTTGGGACCGGCCGCGCTCATGCTTCTTGTCCTTGGAAGAAGACTCACCATGCTGGGCCACTGGAAGGAGAACGTTGGGCGGGGGTCAACAAAGCGCTCCTTCCACGGGGACGGGACCCCAAATCGCACCGAGTGCCCACCCCGAAGGGAGGAGGAGGACAAATCCCTGCTAAAAGCAAAACTCGTACCGGCTTCCCCATCGGCCAGCTGGTGCGGGGACCTGTCCAAGGACTTCTGCTTCTTCTCTTTCCGCCGGTGGCAGCGGTGGTGGTGGTGGTGGTGCACCTGGTCGGTCGGCATGCGCTCCAGGGAGTACTCGTAGAGGTGCATGGCGTGCGGGCGCTGCGGGGTCAGCGTGGAGATGGAGCGCTTCATGGGGCTCGTGTCCGGGATGGGCTGCGAGGGACAGGGGCACAGGGAGCGGGGTGAGAGGGCAGGCGCTGCAGGCACCCTGCTCGACCGCTCGGCTCCCATGGGAGGGGGTTTCAGGGTGAGAGACGGGGGCAAGGAGGGGCAGGAGAGAAATGGTTAACCGGCTGCGGCTGGAACGGGCAGAAGGACTTGTGGAATGGCAGACTTAGTGCTAGGTTTGAGGAGTAAATGTGAACTCTGCTTGCTGAAATGAGCTTTGCTTTCAGCGTTGTGCCAACCCACAGGTACCACGGCGGAGCAGGACGCAGCACGGCACACCAAGCACGGCGCCACGGGAGGCAGCAGGAGGGAGCAGGGGCACGGCAGCACGGCAGCCAAGCATCTGACAAAGGGAGCTCTCCGAGACCAGTCTCACCCAAAGCTGCTTTGGGGCCTGGGAGCATCCCAAAGCAACTCCAAAGAGGGAAGCATGAAAGCGTTTGTGGGCACCACATGGAAAGGGAGGAAAATCAGAAATAAACAAACGGGCAAGGTGCAGGGCAAGCCACCTAATAACTGTGTCTGTCTCCCTGCACTTGGGGGTGATTTCCATCAAACTGCTGAACCTCCCCCCTTGTCCCACCACTGCTCCTCAAAGCCTTTGCAGCTGGGTCAAGCTTGGATCACGTTGCTCCCTGCAACTCCACCAGGACATCTCCAGAAATGCCTACTGAGGCTTGTTGCAGCAGTTTTCAAGTCATCCATGGCCTGAGAGCCAAACATTAGGACCCTGTGCAGCTCTCCAGCCTCCCATGGGCACTGCTGGCCACAGCCTCCGCCCCAGTGGCAGCTCCAGACTCTGCTCCCTTCCCTCCAGGTTCAAAACCTTACAGAGATGTTCTGCAGAAATCAAGACAAGCGGACTGCAGGGCAGCTATTTTCACCTCCCTACTGCCCAGCCACCAGCTATAGAGCTCAGAAAACGGGAAAAATCCGTCTTGTTTCACTCTGCTGGCCTCCAGCTGCTTTGCAGACTGCTCCGAGGTGGAGGCAGGGCTTTGCCCATCCTCTGGAGGCTTCCTGGGGTACATCACTGCACCAGAGCTCCTGGCAGAGGAAAGCCCTGGGAGCACAGAGGTGCAGCCTGGTCGGGAGGGAGCTCAGGATGTCCTTTATCTCCTCATGCCTCAGCCTTGAGTCCTCAGCCCAACACGTGCCTCAAGGGCCACTTCCAGCACAACATTTACTTTGCTTTCCGTAACCTTTCCAGAGAGCCTCGCGTTATTTTTACCATCCCTGCTATTTTGTTTGCTTAGCCTGGGTTTCCAATCTCTGCTGCCCCTTGATATTTGCACAACGCGGAGCCGGTCGCTCTGCAGCCCTGGCTGGCATTTCGGGCAGGACGAGCCGCTCTCCCTGCCGTGCTGTCACAGCTCTCTACTTGAATGCAAAGGGGCAGCCTGAGCTCCATTTTCAGCTGCTCCACCCAAGCCTTGGTGTTTCCCTTCTGCAAAGTGAGGTGTTAGGGCTGCAAAGTGTGCTGCAGATCCAGAGGGGGACACAGCACAGCCTGCGGCATCGCGGTGTGCCCGGGGGTGCCAGCTCGGGCAGCGAGGTGACGCTGTGCTGTGCCACACCGCTCTCCTCCCAGTCACACTTTGGGGCTTCACATCTGTTCTCCCTGCTTACCATCGGGCCAGGAGATGAAGGTTAATGATGAAGGAGGACCATAACGTGGCAGCCAGATTCACAAATTGACTGATGGGGGGCAAAAATATGAAAATACTTCCCACCAAAAACACTTAGCAGCATTTCCTAAATCCTTTCAGGAGCTGCCAGGAAGAAGACAGATTTCCCAACAACAAGCCAGCCAAATCTATAAAAAAAATGAATGTTTCTCTTTGGACCCAATTCTGTGCTTATTCCAAGGCCAGAGGCTGCTGCTGACCCTAATGGGAAGTGACTCTTAGCAAGGCAAAGCACACTCTCCCCAAAAATCCTCTTCTTACATTAACGGGGTGCACACAAGCCTCGGGAGACTATAACTGTAACCCTTCAGAGACTTACTAATTGCTTCTTCATTAGCAAGCCGATAGTTTTCACCTCCTAAATCCCTGCGCAACAAGGCATACAAACCAAATAAATAAGCAAACCAAACAAAAACCCCTGCTATCAGCGTGCGGCGTGCAGCTGGGGGTGGAGGGAACTGCAGCACAGGGGGAAGAGGCAGCAGCTGCGCCGGTGCAACATTGTGCTCCAGATGGGGAGGGAGAAAAGTAAAGGGTTAAGGAAGGTTAATCGTTTCTTAACACGGATTTAATAGGATACAACTGAGTGCAAACTACATACTGCTAGGTAACTCCCAGGTGACCGTGCTTTGCTCCTCTGCAAACAATTCGGACAAGATGAGAGACATTATTTGAAGCAGCCCCACAGTACAGCCATGGTCAGACATCGCGGCAGATGGGCAGCAGACACGGGGAGGGCGGGGAGGGACAGAGGGGAGGAGGGGGGGTTGAAAGCATAGGGAGTTTGGTTTTTTAATGGCAAAGTAAAATAAAAAGATGGAGGAATGACAGATAAACAAGAAGGGGGATGTCCAGAAATCAGGAGGAAACAGAAAGCATCACAAATAAGTTATAAAGAATTCAAAGTTTGGGGGAGCGGAGGCAGCGTGTGAGAGGGAGGGTGGAGGGCACGGAGAGGGAAGACACACAGAGAGTACATCGGTTATTCGGCTGAAGCTACGACCACCAGAACGTTACATTACTACGTGAGGACAGATCTGCTCGGGTACCACGGGCCTGATTCATCCCAGCCTAGAGAGCTCTCCTGGGGCAGCTGCGCGCTGGGGACAGGGACCGTGCCCCCAGCAAGGGGAGGTTGGGCACGGGCAGGACCCTTGCTCCTAAAGGCAGCAGTGGCTGCAGGGTGCAGCAGGAGCAGCCCGGGAGAGTTCCTCTCTGCTCAGGGGCTCCAAGCAAAGGGCTTGTCCTGTCTCTGACCGTGACAGTGTTAAATCACAGGCATGCTGTCTGGGACTGCAACGGAGAGGAGTTTCCCAAGGAAAGGCTCGTGCCACTGGCTTTCCTGTTGGCAACTCCATCGCCTTGCCAGGGAATATGCTACTTGAGGCCTGGAATAAAGGACAACTTTGTTCTGGGAAGGGAGGGAGTACTGGATTGTTTTGGGGTCTGTTTCTTTTATCAAGCATCTCGACTAGTATTGCTAACCCAGAGCATCCCAGAAGACAAGGTCCCATTCAGTGATTTTCTGGAGCTCTCACACAGAGTGCAGTTTCTCATGTCAGCTGGGAAATTTGTTAGCCAGCAAAGCGTAGCTTGCACCAGCCTAAGCACATTTGCAAACCTATTTAATCTGTTGGAGCTATTTCCGTGCACACAAGACACAGTCTTTAAGTTTTAGGATGCAGAACATCTTCCACGTCCTGCTTCCCACGGAGAGCAATGGGGAAGAGCCCATGGGCTGCTCACTTCTTACTGCATGAATCAGGCCCTTTGAGCAAGAGAGACACGACTATGGGGTGTTCAGACACACAGGAGGCACGATGATGTCTGGAGAGCATCTGGGTTAACAAGCTGGCAGCGAACACGTGGAGTGCCCAAAAATGATCTGTGAAAACCATGACATCCTATGCACTAAGGAGCGTCCACAATTAGTCGCCAAGTTGCTGTAAAGGTCAACCCTAATGATGAGATTTCTTTACAAGAAGCCAAACAAGGAAAATGAAATCCTTAACAACATATTACTAATCAAAGTCACAATGCAAGATATCCTAATTACTGTGGGAAGGGAAAAACACAGGGAGACTGCTTAATGTCTCAGCGCAGCCTTGCAGGCACAGGCCCCCTGGTATTTTCCATACCTACTGCATTCATCAAAGAGAACCACAGGAAATCTCCAGCTTATTTTATGGCTGGAGCACTGGAGCATGCCTCGGCTGTCTGTCTGGATAGATGGCAAACAACTGCCAATGGGAAACGTATGCCTTCCAGGAATATAGGCTGGCAAACATTATCGTCCCCAGTTAATCAGAACAGGCACTCCATGGTAGGCAGTCATCATTTAGCAACCCAGACAGATGGATTTCTCTGTGTTCTTTTTCTTTTTTCTTTTCCTTCTTTTTCTGCAATCAGGAATGAGTAAGCCTGGGGAAAATGCTGTGCCTGCACACAAATGATCCGAGCCCCAAGGCTGGTTACCTGGCTCCAGGTTCAGAGAACACCTTTACTTCACAGAACTTGCAGGCAACTTTTGATCACAAAGAATGCACTGTGCTGCCTTTCTGGCTCGCTCTCTGTCTCCCACCCCAAAAAACCTCCCTCCCTGCTCACCTGAGTTTCGGCAGCCAGGCGCGGCATGGAAGCCGCCCGCCCCTGGCTCTCCAGACCCGGCTGGTGCTCTCCGTTGGTGAGAGTGGGGCTGATTTCCCTCATTTCCACCACCTGATCCAAATCAAGAAACAGTTTCAGGAGCAAGAATGCAAATGTCAGCTTTGAAACCATCATCTGAGCAGGCTTCTGCTAAGTTTGGTTTGGGAAGGGGTGCTGGTAGGGGAAAGGGAATAAATTTGGAGCCATGGAGCCCAAGTCACTCTTTATTGACAGCACTGCCTTCAGCAGGGACAGAGGTGGGACAAGTTCATCCACCAGCCATGGCAATGAGCCCTGCCCATGACACCTGTTCTCTGGGTTTGTACACTAATAACAATGGGATTGGGACAATAGGATGACAAGGAAGATGTAGCCCTAAGTGACGTATCTCAGCAGACACATAGTCCCAGAATAAGCACGCCAACTAGTACAGCTATCGGTGCTGAAGCTCTCAGACTTGCTTTTTCTCTGTAATGTTCAAGCAAGTTTTGGGTTGTGAGAGAGAACAACACTTATCTCAAAGGGCAGAGGACCCCTTCAGCTCTCAGGGAAGCATCTAGCCTTGATATCTATTAAAATCTACTGCATTTCACCCCGTCTCCACCTGTTTGCTTACCCGCTCAATAGGGATTTCTTCTGAGTGGCCTCGTTCAAAAGCTGGTGTCCTGGTTTCATAAAACACGTCCTGGGTGCGCTGGGTCCCCCAGGAGCTGGACTCTTTGATTCCACCCTCTGGGGGTGGCCTGCCAGAAGATCAAGGAGAAAAAAGAAAAAAGAAAAAAAAAAGAAAAAAATGAACGCTTTTGCAAAGGGATTGTGCTGACAGTAAAGCACCTGGGTACCCTCTGATGTCTCACTTGTGAAAATGGATGCAGGATGGCTGGTGAAGCTATGAAGTCCCCTAGGTTTTCCCAGGGCCACTTTCTTTCTAACCCAAAGATCCCCCTGAGCAACCAGGAAACCAGACAGGTCAGAGCATTCTTTTTCATTAACTGAGAAAATCAACTTCTGCTGCTTAAGTTCTGATGAAGAAGAACGATCGATTCTGGAATTCAGGCAAATTATGTATGCAAAACCAGTTAGACAAATAGCCCTAAGTGATACTGGTCAAGCACGTTTGTGGCTGTGCTAACCTACATTCACCGAATGGTACAGGTAGCCCTAGGTTTTACTGCTGGGTCTTAGGTCAGATTCCCATTGGGGTTATTCAGGACATTTCGACCTCAGACATCCATCTTTAAAAATCCATGGCATGTGTGACCCAGAAAAAAGTCACCTGAGGAGCAGGAAAGGGTGAAACATTTAGGGATTGCCATTACTGCAACTGTTTGGTAAGGTGTCTTGGGAGGTATTATTTTGGCCAAAGAGAAAGAGCCAGATTCTGTCCTGGAAAGTCTCAGGCAGCTCTTGCTGTTTTCAAGTGCATTGAGCTTTGGGGAATTCTTTGCTCCCAAGGACCTTTTGGTCTCCCAGGAACCCACTGCATCAGCAATTCAGTGCTTGGTTTGGGATTTGTCTGGCTGTTTTGCAGTGATCCCAACATCCTGTAAACAAATTTGCAATTAAAACTAGCCACGACGGAAAGCTCTAAGATTTGGAGGAGGCCACGAAGGAAACATGCAGCTCTGGAGCTCCCAGTGCCACCACCATCTATAGTGGGCAGATAATTGCACCCGAGGCCATGGCAGGAGGCAGAGCCACGTGCAGCAGGTTGGCAGCCACCAGCAGGACATTGTCCCAGCCAAGGCACGCAGGGACTGCTGGGCTCGGGGTCACTGGAGGTGCCACACAACATCCAGGGCAACTGAGTCAGCAGGGCCAAGGCTGGCATTTCCCCTTTGTTCCCCTGGGATGTGTTATGGCTGTGTCGGGGGGTACTCACAGTGTGCCCCCGTTGTTGAGCGATGCCGAGCTTTTCTGGCGGAGGAACGCCTTTGCGTTGCTGAACGCTGCGGGCTGGGTCTGCTCCAGGGTGGCCTTCAGGGGGTGGAAGAGCGACACCGGGCCAGGCTGCAAAGTAAAGAGAAAGGGTCAGAGAGAAGTTTTCCCCCCGCACCCACCGAGTGCGGCAGGGGTTTCGTACCCTGATGTGAATGCTGGCGCTGACCACCCCGTTTTGGCACTGTCACCAGGGACAGGCAGACAGGGCCATGCTGGGGGCTACCTGGATGCTCACCCTGAAGTCTATTTGGCCCACCAAAAATATCTTGTTTCAATCTCAAGCCAGACGTGTGGAAATACGTTTAAGAAATTGTAAAAGTCTTCAAGTGTATTGATAATATGTATATGTATCTATTATGAATAATTTCCATTTTAAAAAGTAACCAAAACATTTTGGAGCCAAATATCAGCTTTCAGTGATTCTTCTGTGTCCCAAAGACATCTCACGGTGTGCCTCCGTGTTTACACCACTTCTTAAAACAGGACTGAAAATTAGTCTGCCAAGTTATTTGGGACTTTTTTTTTTTGGAAAATATCCTTCCAGACCTAGTGGAAAAGGAAATTGCATCTTTTTATTTATTTATTTATTTTATGGTGGGAGAAAGAATTTTGGGAGGGTTTTCCATTTTTCAAGCGGTGCCTGGGGAAGCACCCAGACCTCTTCAAGCACCCCAGAGCTCGCGGCTCAGGGGGAAGCTGCCCGAGAGCGAGGGCAGAGAGCAGCAGCCTTTGGCTGAGTACCTGGCACAGGCCCCCCGGAGGCTGGTGGACTTGTTCCCTGCTGTTCTTGTTCTGTTTGTAGAAGTCGAATATCATGAGCGCTGCGTAGACCTTCCCCACAGTCATCTCATCGGCTGTCCAGGGACGTTCAGGTGAGGGAAGGCAAAGGACCAGGGGTGATGAGTGAGTCGCAGTGCACGAGAAACAGCAACGTCAAATGGGTGTGAAGAACAAGGAGGAAGAAGTGGTGGCATTGGAATGATGAAGCAAAACAGACACAGGGAAAAATGGGGGAAAGGCAAAAAAGCAAGAAAAGGTTATAACAGACTTCTTCAGATCTTTTGCCTGCTGATGTCTGTTGCTGGGAGGAAGGCCCCTGACTCTAACCCTCTATGGCAAACACTCGCAGATGCTGGGTGGAGAAGAAACAGGCTGGAAAACTCTGTGGCATTGCAAGCACTGCCAACGGAAGAGCCAGTAAATTAATGCCAGATCCACAGCCAACTTTTTATCAACAAAGCCTTATTCCAGTTTCTCTGAATTACAGTCAACTGGGGCATAATGGGCTAACATACATACATTTAAAGAGTATTGCATTTTTCCAGATGTCTTTTTCACTCTCGCAGCTCTGCTCCCAGCCCTTCCCCGCACTGCAGCTGAGCACGTCCCTTACAGCAAGGAGTTAAAGCTCCAGATATAAAGGCAACCGGAGAGGTGGGGAGGAGAAGAATTCAGTAGTTGCTACCCACTGATCTGCACCTCCTCAACTCCCTCATTTTTCTTAATTAACATTGCCTTTATTGCTCTGCACTGTTTCTCATTAATCAGGAATCCAGAGCTCTCTCTTTGGCCAATCAAGATAATGGCAAACTTTCCGTTTTCTCAGCATGTTCACCTAAAGACATCATCGAGTAACACAAAGGCCTTTAGCTCCAAGATACCTCACTTCTGGTTCTGTAAGTTCTCAGCAAACCTTTAATCTGCTTCCCCTGGTTTTCTGTAGCAAACTGAGTGCAGATAGCAGATGTTGCTCTCCTGTCCTGTAAGGCACAGGCTGGAGGCAAACAAAAGCTGTGAAAAAGGTCTGGAAGAGGCCACACAGCTTTTGGTCCCTTCTTGGATTGCTCTAAGGACGTGAAACCCACTGTAAGGTAACAGAACTCATGCCTGGATGAGACCTTGGCTTCCCTGCTCCTTGGATGACCGTGGTGCAGAGATGTGGGCTGGAAGCCTGCAGAGGTGGCACCTGAGTGCTAATCAACACCAGGTTCCCTTGCTGCATCCCCTAGATGCCCATGCACCTCGATGGGGCTCGGGACAGAGCAGGCAGGGAGGGGAAAACCTACAGGGGGCTTCCCAGGTGGCTGGGGAGGGCTGGGTGCTTGCTGGTGGACCACTTACGTTTGTGAGGAGGCACCAGCAAGTCCAGCGTCTTCTGGGACAGATTGGGCCAAACCAGTGAGATCTCCTTTCTCAGCTCAGCATCACACTGGTGCTGCTTGACACCCCCTGAAGAAAGGGAGAGGAAACAGGCACGTCAATGAAAACCCCTGTCTGTTCAGCACATCCCAGTGCTCGCACAGCAAGCAAAGGCATTTCCCCCACTGCCAGTTCTCGAGAGCACCAAACAGAGGCTGGGTGACAGCTTAACCAGGAGGAACTGAACACAGCAGCGTTATTCGAGTGGCCAAAGTGAGGTCTCAGTACACAAGTGGAAAGTGATTAAAGCGTGTGTGAGCCAACAGGCCCACTCCCAGCTGAATACACCACACAGTCGGCAATTAAGTAGTTCGTCTGAGTGACAGAGATTAGTTTTCTGAGAGGGAAGCAATGGGAGGAGACTCTGGGTGCTGCGACAGGGCGGTTTGAACTCCCACGCTCAGTCTCATTACAGAGGGTTTATTAAGGGCCTGTTAGTCCCACTAAAGACTCGATTAAACATAGCACACAAAACTGAGCACGTAGCCACAAAGCGGGTCAGGAGCTCACAACCCTTTTGGCGGTGCCAGCACTATCAGCTGCGCTGGCTCTTTGGTTCCCTTCCAGTGTGTGGCAAAAAAAAAGGAGAGGGGCCGTTGTCAGCTGAAAAAGTCTGTGGGAATTGCCTTTGCTGACAGGGAACTAGGACCCTAAAATCAGACAAACTCTCAAAGCTTCAGTGGCCTTATCCAGAGGTTTTTACTGAAACATGGTGTCGGACCCTAAAATCCCAGACAGTCCTAAGTGTGTCCTTGAAAACAAGCGTCTGGTGCTTGGGGTCACTCTGGGGGAGTCTCCAGCAGCCTCAAAGTTTTGTCTTCTCTCAGCACTGCACACCCAAAGCATCAAAGACAAAGTTTCAGTAACATTTGAGGCAGGTAATTAACACAGAGGGGCTGGAAGATTGGCCTAAGACCACTTGAGAAAAGCACAGCACCCCAACCCCGCCTGCCCTTTGCTCACAAGAGCATCATTACCTCCTGTTTGCTTTTAGATTAGGAACAGAAGTGCTTTGGCCCGTCGTGCCTTGCCTGTGACCCCAGCCAGCCTGATTAAACAGTGAACCGACCCACAGACAAGGCCGGCGTGCTTTATTACACTGCGGTGTTTAATTGGGAAGTCAAGCACACGCCTGATTAAACACTTAAATAACTTAATTTTATCCCCAGGCGCCTCGAGTCACTGCAGGGCCACCAGCAGACAGCAACACTGCCTTTTTCACCCCCGTGCTGGGATAGCAAAGAAGTAAGGTGCAGAAACTCTCACGGCTGTTAGAGAGCAAGGAGCTGCCCAGGGCTTTGGGGGGAGCCCGGCACATCTCGGCTGCTGTGCTGGGGTATGGTCACCCCGATGGTTTTGGCATTTCTGTGGTTTCAGGGCCGCAGTGCAGCAGGGTGTGAGCCCCACACGTGCGGTCATGCATCGCCCCCCTCTCACCTGTGGCGAGTTTGATTTCCAGGGCGGTGCGGATCAGGGCCATCAGCGTGGACGTGAAGTGGACCGTCAGGTCCTCGGGCGAGATGGGCATGTTCATCCGCACCAGGCGCTGCAGGGAGGAAGGCAGGCACTGTGAGCCTTGGTCAGGATTTCTCCCCCCCCACCCCGGCCCTGCCCTCCTGTGAGCCCCCAGAGGCAGCCCCACAGCTGCCCCACTGCTGCCCCACAGCTGCCCCGAGCCTTTTGTGCGCTGAGCTCAGGCATCTCATCCCCAGCAGCTCCAGCCCTCTCCTGGAGCAGGTCCGAGCTGTTGGCTGTGGCTGTTGAACAACTGATTTGCCAGCATTTGTACCGTAATCCTACAAAGAGATTTCTTCCCAAAGAAGTGGATTTTAACATCCTCACCCCATTTCAGGTAGCTACGCTGCTCCTGATGGTCTCCAGCTACGGTCCTACCTTCAGCCCAGGCACATGGATGGCACCAGTGCCCCCCTGCCAGGTCCTTGTGTGACAGTGGGGGAAAAAGAAGCCAGCACCAGCTCCTACATCAAAACCTTCGCCAATGGGACCTGGTGCTGCCAGCTGGAGTGAGAGGATGGAGGACTTGCATCCACCACCAGAGGATGTGGCTCTATGCAGTGACCATGGCTCAGGTTCTCAGGGGCTGTTTGGGGCTGGCTGCTAATGGGTAAAGGGGTAAAAAGTTCATGTTTGGAGACACTTGGGTTCGGTCTCCTGCCTCCTTTCCCTGTGGGCATCCCAGGAGCTCTGAAGATCTCCTCTCTTCAGTCAGTGAGCTACACAGCTCGCTCCAGCCCTTACCCCCAGGGGAAGGAACCAGGCTGGTGAGAGCAGGGTGTTACTCCCCCCTCCTGTGCTCTTGCAGTCCAGATCTGCACGTGTCTTCCAAGATCTTTAGCCCTAGGAGCAACTCCTTCCCCACCACCAGTCAGGACCACCTCTGGCAGGGCAAATTCATCTCTTGCAAGCACTTTGGAAGCCGCGGCTCCCTTCACACGCCTGGCGTCGGAGCAGCTAAATGCAGACGGGCGGAAGCACCCCGAGCCTTGCTGATAACCTGAGCGATGCATTTAAAGGATGGATTTCTTCTCCTTTGGCAACCTGCTCATTTCTCAGCTCCTCGGCTTTCAAAAGCCGTTCAGCAACCTCCTCGCTCGGAGCCTTATCAGACCCGCCCCACATTCCTGCTCTCCGAGAGAAGTCACTGAGCATTAATCCGGCTGCGCAGAGCTCCACAGCGGCTTGCAAAGCCGAGCATTAGCCTGGCTGGGGCCCCTCGCTTGGGAGTGGATTTCATCTGTGTCTGAAAGCTGCTGGGGCTGTTATTTTGATCCCTATCAGCGCACAGAAACCCTCTCTTTGTTGAGCACAGCCCGACGTGCCGCTGAGTGATCCACGTGGGGCTGCAGCGGGGAGGCTCCTGCTCCATGCACTGCGACATTGAGGGCTGCTGGGAGACATCCCCGACACGCAGGAGTTGTCCTGCTGGCACTGATGGGGATGGAGGGCACAGGTTTGGTGCAAAAAGTCTGCTTTTCAAGACCTGAGTGTCATGAAAAGGAGGTGAGACCTCCTTGTTTATCTTGGTACGCATCTTTGGATCTCATTACGTGCCGCACAAAAGACTCCTGTAACAACATACCCTGTCTCCTAAAGGCTGAGACAAACCACTGTGATCTCAAAGAGCTTTTAAAGCGTGCCCAGAGGTTATCTTCCATGTCCAACAAGCCTCTGAGAGGGGGAAATCAAAGGCAGGACTCCCCTCCCTTTATAATTCAATGACGGTAGCAAATGCTGGCAAGGCCACATCTTCATTTTTTTTCTCTTCACTTGTGTCAAATGGAGCACCATTTAAATTCAGGCTCCTGCCCTCAGCGCACAAAAAGTTAGCACAGAATCACTGTATCCGTGTGAGCCCACACACCACTGACAGCCCCACCACATCCCACCGCAGTGGGACAGAGTTCAGATGGAGAGAGAAAGAAGGTGCATGGCAGTGAGAGCAAGCAGATGAGAAATAATTCCTCCAGGAGAGCTCTATCCTCACGAAAACCAACACCAAGCATCATCTGGGGACCCAGATGTCCCAGGTCTCCCCACTGACTTCCCAGCCCGAATTCCCAACCGGGAGGCAGAACACAGGGAGTCGCAGCTACACACAGCAGGGCTGCGGGATGGTCGTTCCTCCTAAACCGTGATCAAAGGGGAAGGATCCAAAGGGAGATGTTCCCAAGACAGAAAGAAGGGGGAACACGCTTACAAGTGTTCCAACATACAAACCTGACTCAACCTGGACACCCTTAGGCCAAGGCAATTTCCAATCTAATAAACCTTCAACCTGCAGAGAGCACAGCACAGGTCCTCGCACATCGCCCAGACCTCGCTGGGGCTGGGCAGCTCCAGCCGTCCCCTCAGGAGATGGAAGTCTTGGTCCCACCTGGGGGAGGATCTCTGCTGCTGCTCACCCCTTTGCTCCCTCTCTCCTCTATTGGGGTAGCAAACTAGGAGGCACCTCCCCATCCTCTCCTGGGGCAGGTTTTTGGCAGCCAGCTGAGGTGCACAGGCGCTGCAAGTTGCACCTCCCAGGGCAGAGCAGATACCCATTTCTTAGCCAAATTAAAAAAATAAAAAAGATGTGAAAGGGGACAGAAGTACCTTATAACACACTGCAGCTAGGCCTAGCGGGTTATAGCTACAAGCATCCCTAACCCCCTAAAAGGGGCGGGGTCAGGTGTGGGCACGGCCACCTGGAGGAGAGACCCTGCCTTCCCTGCCTTTAGCACCCTTTGATGCATTTCCAAAGCACCCGAAATGCAACTGAGTGCAAACAAAATAGAAATATTTTTTTCCTTTCTTTTTTTCCCCACGAATGCTATAAAAAACACCCTTATGCCAAAAATCATATCCACAGGAGAAACCTCAAAGAAAATGCAGTAAAACACCAAAATCATCAAAACGTTTCCTTCCAACAAGTGCAAAGCAAGGAATTTCAGTGACTTGAAACCTACTCTCTGTTCCTACAAGTATTTTAACTCATTTGCATTTCCATAGATGTTGTTTAAAAGGGACTAGCATCCAACTGAAATTGTTAAAATTTCTCGAAGTCAAATATTTTGACTGAACTAAAATTACTCTTCAAAAAATTAAGAACTTCGGATTTTCATCCCTAACCAAGACGGAAGAGAAAATCTCGATGTTACCCATATTGCAGAGGTAACACTGTGGATAAAAGCAGAACCTAAGGCAGTTGTTTAGCCTGTACACTGTTTCAAATACAATTAACAGCTCCCCTCATTTCTGCTGTCTCTTCTGGCTGAGGTCATACTTCAAGACAAACCCTTCCTGGTTCCTCACCTTTTGCAATAGGATGCAAAAATTTGATTAAAATATATATAGTAAAAAAAAATGTAATTTTTTCCATCTTTCTAGACTCCAGAAGGAAATGACAAGGGCACGCTGATGCAGATGGCAGGGGAGCAGATCCTTCCCTGTGCTAGCAAGGAGTTTGCGCTACTCTGGTGTGCCCTGGGAATTGATGGCCACAAATAAAGGGTGTTCAGGTGAATTAATAACTGGGGGGCAAGAAAAAAAAAAAAAAAAAAAAAAAAGATAAAATCCACCCAGGCCTGGCAGGAAAGTTCTTCCCGAGCTGTTCCTCTCCCTCCCATTTTCTCCACGAGCACCCAAGGAAGAGCACCCAGCAGCAGGTGGAGCCCTGCTCCTCTCCCCAAGGGGCAGCCATCAGCTTTCATCAGGAGGGCTGGGAGGGAGGGAGAGGGAGCTGGCACGTGGAGAGCTCGTTAATATTTCTGCAGGAAAAGGGCCCCGAGGCAGGAGCTGCAATTTTGTCTCCAGAGTCCCCTAATTAGCTCTATGCACCATGAAAAGGAGAACGAGCAGATAACGAGATGGTAAGTGATTACAGCTGGGCTGCGGGAGGCAAAGCTTTTTGCTCCAGTTACTTGTGTGGCCAGAGGGGTGCAGGCACCTCCCGGCAGAGACTGAATTTCAAATAAATAAATAAAGATACGGTAACAAAACCAGATATTTGTGTCAAATAGAACGAGCAGAGTCTGTGCACGCTCAGTCTTCCATTTCTGAAGATCTGCTCGGAAATTTCTGGGGCAGTGTCCATATGGACAGGGAACATACAGGAGAAACAGGGAAATCCATCCCAGTGTCAAAAGCCAAGAGAAAATTGAGGCAGGGTTTAAGCAGGACCTGGATGAGGCTGAGGTCTTCTGCTGGCTCCCAGCCTGACCCAGAAAACAAGTGTTGAGCTCAAGCACAAGTATTTGCACCGTAAGTCTTGCTCACCATCGGGTTTGCCCAAACGGTAGCAGGATGAGGAGCACACTGAGGTACAGGTGCTGGGAAGCTAGCTGGCACCCTGAGGGATTTTAATTATTAAGAATACCCTACCAGCAGCTCCCAAACAGCCTCTGGGACAAGAAGTGCTGGGGGAATAATCTCCAAATGTGAATAAATTCAGGACATTGGAGCCCTGCCTGTGGAAGATGAGGCTGAATTCGGTGAATAAATTATTTGCTATGAATAATTCACCCTGACCTAGTTGTGATTAGTCTGCTCTGATTTAACTCTTCTCTCAGCTTCAGACAGCCTGCCTGAGCCTTCCTCCCAGCCACAGCAAGGGTGGATGTGGGTTAGATATTAGGAAGAAGTTACTCACTATGAGGGGGTGGGAAGCTGTGGGTGCCCCATCCCTGGCGGCATTTTGGGCTGCCTGGGCTGGGTGGTCCCCTGCCCTGCTGGGGACAGCACCACCCCGTCCCCAGGGCCCAGCCCCAGGCTTCAGGGCAATGCAGTGCTGAACAGAGAGGTTTAGCAGCACCAGGAGCATTTCCTTCAGCTATTTTAAAGCCCCAAGCCAAGTCCCTCAGCTGGGGTGTGCACACCTCAGCCACGAAGCTCTCCACCTCTCTGTACCACGCAGCCTGCTGTCCTGTGACACCTCCTCAAGGGGAGGTAGGCGAACAGCCACAAAGTGCAGGGTCCACATGCACCTGCTGGAAATACTGCTACCACTGGATAACATTAAAAACCAGGACCCTGTGCAGCAGACAAGCTGATTCTAAAAGGCCTCCAAGTCTCAATAAATGGTGTAAACCCAAACAACCTCAAACTGCCAGTGGGCCGGAGATCAAACCTGAAGGCATCAGAGTGAAGTCAAAGTGGTTTTCATCCCTCTTTCCAACCGAGTAGAAAATATTTTAAAAGGCATTTCTGCCTTCCTTGCCCCCCGCCCCGGTGCAGGATAGAGCTCTCCTGGTGCCCCAGGACCCCGACATGCATGGCCAGAGGGCAGCGAGCCGCGCGCACGGAGCTCGGCCGAGGCTGGGCACGCCGACTGAGGGGGACAGCTGAGAAAGGGGAACCAGAAAGCAAGAGGAAGGAAGGACGGCAGCCGGTGGGGCTGCAAGGAGGAAAAAAAAAAAAAAAAAAAAATTCACACACACTGAGAAGGGTGAAGACGGGGAGAAACACACAAAACATTAACAAACAGAGCAGACTGGGAAAAATATATATATGTGGAAAGGAAAAGGATGGACATGTGGGGCAAAAGAGCTTTTGCCAGACAGAAGAGTATTTTAAAAAAATATTTAGAGGGAGAGAGCAGAAACAGTGCAGAGACAAAGCCCTGCTGCTGGCAGTCATTGCCTCTCCATGCTTGTTTGGTTGGAAGGGCTGTGGATGAGCTGCAGCATCCTTCCTGAGCCTCCCGGCATCTGGGAGGGCAGCAGGGGTGATGCTGGTGGGTGTAGGACAAGGGGACTCCACGAGCCACCCGCAGCCTTATCTGGGGGAAGATGCTCAGCATGAAGCTGCCTCTGGGTGCGTGCTGCTCCTCACTGCCTGCAGAAGTGGAGAAGGGAGGGAACTAAAGCGGGTGCTGCCTCCCTGCAAGGGTGTAATTGAAGCAGCCGCCACAACTGGGAGCAGGGCTCAGCCCAACCTGCAGCCTTACACCATAGGAAAAATGCAGATCTGGTCTCAAGTCCATATTTCTGCAGTTTGGGGCTCTTTGATAACGTGCAAAATTAATCAGATCACCCCTGGACTCAGAACTCTGAAGTTTAGTTGAGGTTTGGGTTCTTTGGCTGGAACCCAGCTCTACTTCTGGCACAGCCATGCACAGGCTTTAGAGGTTCCTAAGTAGATAGGCAAAAATTAAAGATATCTTATGAAAAGTCTATTTTAGAAGCAAACTACTCATGTGTACCTCAGTTCTGTGGATGTGTTCTGCAGACAGAAATTAAACTAGGTACCAGGTAACTCACAAGGAGAAGGCAGACCTGGGAAGGCACAGCAGCAGTGCCTCCGCCCTGCAAAATCAGCTGCAGCAACTGAGAACATCACACAGGCACAGAGACACCTCGCTATGGAAATCAGTCCTGTTTAAAATGCTTCTTTAAATATATATTTCTTTGGTATTCCCTTTTTTCCCTCTTTTCCTTTTTAATTGCACAAGACTGGGGGAAAGACCACGGGACAGCTGGATGCTTGTGGCACACGCGTGTGACCACAGCACCGACCTGGCTGCCCAGCTGCAAGCACCTACAGCCTGCTCCCAGCAGTGACTGGCTCCATGCTCAGTCAATGGAGACTCAGAGGTGCTAAAAGGAGCCCTTGATTACTTCAAAAGCTTTGGGTTTGTGTGCATAATTGGTAGCTCTGCAGAAGTGTTTGTCTAGCTGTCCATCTGTCTGAAATACCTAAGAGCTGGGACTCGGTTTCTTGAGGGCGTTCGTGGTAAGGTGAGCATGAATTGCTCCTAGCAGAGATGCTTCTTCAAAGCAGATACCACAGTGTCCAGAAACACAACAAAACGAATATAGAAAAGATATCTAACTGGCTAATTTTAAGGTTGTGTTTACTTTTTTAAATCCTACTACACTGAGGAAGGATCTTACAGGATGTCATTTCTGAGTCTCTTCTTGCTGCTATTTGTCCCACACAAAGGCAGGCTGAGATTTGGGTTTAGTTTAAGTCTTTTTACAAAAATCTTGCTTTCATATGGGCTCATTTAAAAAAAAGAAAAAAAAAAAGTACCATGGGGAGGGACGTTGTGGTCTGGATCCACTGCACCAAGCACCCCGAGGTGCAGAAGTTGGGCTTGGTGGCAGCCAAAATGAGGTCAATGGCAAAAAAAAATCAGACCCAAAAGACAATAAAAAATACCTTGTTCAGTTTGATGGATGCTGAATTACCTAAATTCTAAGTGCCTGTGACAGACTTCTCCCTCCGAAGCAGTGAGGTTCAGTGTTCAAAGATCCCAAAGCGTTGCTCCTGCAGATGCCCAAGTGGGAGCTGCCAGGAGAGCAGCGCGGCTTTTCTGGACCTGCTCTGTGATTTCGGCTCTGTCTGCCCGAGCTTCCACTGTGTTCATCAAGGCAGCAGCTAGCAGCCTTTCGGATATAATGCTTTTTTTTTTGTGGTTCAATTAAAAAGTTTTCAGAATCAACAGTCAGTTTGAGTGATTTCTTCATCTTACCGTCTTAAATGTTTTGCATTAAAATAATTTCTTTCACGAGGGTATTTAAGGAGCCCTTCTGGCATTGCCTCTGCTTAATAGCTTGCTAACTCCTACAGCACTGCCTACTCTAATTACGCCAATCTAATTTAGTGGGGGGAAAAGCACCATAATACTGAAGGACTAGTGAGAGCGGGTAGTCAGAAGTGGTAAGAAGACAAATGGGAATTGTAGTGGCAGGGTAATTTGCTCGTTAGCATCCTCCCTCCCCAGCGTAGCCTAAATGGAAGCAGAATGAGAGAGAGAGAAACACTGATAGAGATAGCAGAGACACAGTAAGAAAGACAAACCGACGTGCCATCGTCTCAAAGACCAAAAAAATGGTTACAAAAAAAAAAAAAAAAAAAGCAGCAGATCCAAAATCCAGGCTGCTTAGGAAGCAGATAGAGCGCTAGGAAGAGCCCAGGACAACCACGCCAATGTCACAGAAACCCGGCACCCGCTGCAGCCACGGCACAAAAAGCTGGTGGGTTGGCAGGAGCTGCTGGGGTGGTCTACCTTATAGGCAACGCGAGCAGGGCATTTCTTTCCAAGGCCTAGAGGTGGGGACATGTGTCTCAGCATCTCATACATGTCTGTGTAACTGATGCGCCCGCTTGGAGTCAGAGGGAGAGAGGCAAAAGCAAAAGGAGACGGAAATCAAAGCAGACCGGGGTGGGGGGGAAAAAGGGGAGGTGGGGAAGGGAAAGGGCAACACAGCGGGGAAATGAGGAGGAGAGAGAGAAAAGGGGAAGCAGACAAGAGAACAGATATCTGGTTAATCAGGCTTCTCAGGAAAACAGAACCAAAGTAAAGAGGTGGGTAAGTGGAGAGGCTCTCCGCTCCCGTTCCTGCGGTTCGGCGCCCAGCGTCTCCACGGGGAACTGCCACGGCCCCTGCGGCAGCGGCCGGGAATGATTGAGGTCTTGTCCAGAGGAAAGGCATGGGGAGGGTTTGGGGGGCTCTTTTGGGGGTGGAAGGGCTGCTTCCTGCCCCCCCAAACCAGTCCAAGAGGTCATGGTCACCATGCCGGGGAGAGCTGGTAGGCAGAGTTATGGGACAGGGGGCTTAGAGAAAATGCTCAGCTTTCCCTCAGCGAACGGAGAGTTTGGTTTGGGGGTTAGCTTATGGGCTAACAGCAAAGCAAAAAAACAATCCTAATCTGCTCAGAGACACAGACTGGGGCTGCTCTGACTCCAAGCCAAGGGAGCAATTCCACAGAACCCCAAACAGCCTGAATTTGGGGCTGGCAGAATCCCAACGCAGCACTCAGTCTGTAGGACAGTGGAGGAAAGGGGATTTGTTTCTGCCTTTCTTTTGATGGGCCTCTCTTTCCTCAAGGCAATGTCCACTGCCTGTCTCCACCAGTGAGGTCTGAGTGGCTGCCCCGTGTGCCAGAGGGAGCTGGGAATTGCAGATTTGGGCACAGGTCCTAAGATCCATCCCTTAAGGATGGCATCTCCCTTCAGTGCATGCTGCTGGCAACTGAAATCCTGCCCTGAAAAGCACGGGAGGCAGACACAGCAAGGAATGCTCCTGCTTCTCCTTTTTCTAACTGGGAACATGCCTGTGGGAATCTCATTTTGTTTAATTAATATTAAAAACTTGGAAAGGCAAGAAAAATTGCCATTTCCACTGTACCAGGAGGAAAACCAAGACCTAAGCACTCCTGAAACCCTTTCCTCGAGCAGGGCAGCTGCAGGAGCAGGCAGTGCCCAAACCCTGCAGAAAGCATCGGTGCAGAAGGGGGTGGACAAGAGAACTTACCCAGCCAGCGCCGTCTATTCCTGCCCTTAGTACCTAATGCCCTCAGCATACCTCCCAGGCTTTAGAGCCCAGAGCTAATTTGAAGGCTGATGAGGGACACAAATTGTAATTACAGCCAATTACAGACTTCCCCCTGGCCTCCTTCTTCTGCCCCTGTTCCTGGCAGAGGCCCCATGCCTCCTCTGCAATGCAAGTTAACCCTTATTTCCCTGTAAGATGAGGGAATTACCTGGGCTGGAGTGCTCGAGAAGAGCCAGGGCAGGCTCCTCGCCGGCTGCTTCCTCCTGCATCCCTTCTGCTCCTTGTGCACTGGCAGCAAGGAAATCCCTCCTGTCCCGGGACCTCACTGGCACCCAGTGCCTGCCAGTGCTGACGTCTTGGCAAGACCTGTCCTCAATTCCTCCCTCTGCTCCCAAGCTGGGGACTCCTTTCCTGGGCCAGAGGTTTCCTGGTATGCCTACAGTAGCTTAATTCACTTGTGTTGCTGCCAGGGCAGCCTCTGGCTGCTGCAGTGGGGTAGGCTCAAAGCTCTCCCTTCATCTCCCCCTGCCTGGACACCCCCAAAAATGGACTTGCTGCTCCCGAGAAATCTTGGGATAACTTTTCTCTCCAGCGTGTATACAGAGCAAAAAAAGCTGTACTGCTTTTCCCCAGTTCTTCCCACCCAGACCTGCGAGGTGCAGGTCAAGGGTTTGCTGTCTCATAAAGCTGCCTGGTCCCAGCCAGCTGGGTGTGGGAGGGGATGGGGACAGGGACGGGGACAGGTGAGATGCGTGGAGGAGCGAGGAGGCAGTCCATCAATCATTCCTTGGTCAGGCAGTGGGGCAGTTACATTATGGTTTCTGTTCTATACCACTTGCATTTGCACTTGGGGGTTAAAAAAAAAAAAAAGAAACAAAACCAAAACTGAGAATGCTGGAGGGAGTCTCTGAAGTTGCAAACCTTGTATGCCACCCTATGAGGGCACTTCTTTCCTAAGCCCAGGGGTGGAGCAATTACACGTAACAAATTGTACATATCCTTATAATGAATCCGGCAACTGGAAAGAAAACATCAGATGTTACGAGAGCACAAACCACGGGGAATCAGCCTTCCTGCTTCCAAACAGAAGAGGCTGGAAGGACAAGGCGTGCTGAAAAAGCAAGGTTAGTCTGGTAGCAACTGGGTTTGCAGAGAAAGAGGCACTTTAACACAGACCGAGAGAGAGAGAGAGAACTTCCAGTGGCTCAACAAAAGCCATGTATGCACATTTTCTTCTGTGAAAACCATCAGAGTCATTCAGCAGACTTCCCATCCCTTGCATTTAGTTACCTTTGTCACTGTGTTTTATTTCCCTGTGCCTGAGCATCTGCCTACAGACACCTACCCACCGCCCCGGCACGGCAGCAGCGCAGAGAAACCAGAGCCCACAGCACACAAATGGCCTAATTACTGGATTATTACTGGGATTCAAATGAGCTGGTTCAAAAGAGCTCAGGAACCTCCACCTCCCACCGTTATTACCTGCACAGCCCCAGCAGGGCCATACTTTGCTGCGTGGACAGCAAGCAGTTTGCTGGAGGGCCAGCAGCTGCATCTCACGGGGCTTCGCAGGGCCACCGGTGGTGGGAAAATGGAGCTTTCCTCACCAGGAGGCGAAATCGGACGCTTCATGTTCAGTCTCATTAACTCACAACAATATTTTCAGCCAATTTAACAGTGGGATTAGATTTCTTAATCTACTGCGAGTAACCAAATCATGTACAGAAAGAGCTGTGCTGAACTTCAAAGCGACCTCTGAAGAAAAATGAGATGATTTGGCTTGGCTGTGTTTATTTTGGTATGTTGTATAAAGAAGGCTGGAATATTTTGGAATAGCTCCTTCAATATTACTGCTTTTTTGGACGTGAAAAATTAAGGTCTATTCAAAACCTTCACAATCAAGTCAAAACTATTAATTTAGAAACAGATCAAATGGGACTGCGCAAGTCTTGGCTGCAGGCCTAATCATAGTTATAAAAAGTATATTGGCTTAACTGAGTCAAGTCAAGTGGTATACCAAAATTTTAGAGCGGTTTTGCAAAATCAGCATGTGGAAGATACAAACGAGCATTTCCCTGCCTTCTCTGAGAGTCGATGGGAGCCCTCCTTGGCTGTCCCTCGTGGCAGCAGCACCTCGCCCAACGCTCAGCGATGACGATGGACCAACCGACATTTCTAGTATCACTAAAGCGTGTGCATGGGGAAGGGGGTACAAGAGACAAAATTCTCACCTTATATGTCCTTAAAAATAAAGGTGGGCTTAAATCCAATTTTATTTCCTAGTTCATCCTTCAATTCAGCATTATCCTGGTTAACTTGCAGCCCTGGACCAACTCCCTGTGTGTTTGTTCTCTCGCTCTCTCTCCTTTTCTGTGATGCCTGAGGCTTCTGCCACCTCTAAATCCAACAGTTTTACCACACTTACCTGTCCTGAACATTACTTGCATTTACAACAGCTGCTAGCTGCTTTTTTTTTTTTTTAATTCTTTTTGAACATTATTCCCCAGAAAAATTTAGGTAAAATTGGAGGTTGAAAGAAAAACAAGGGTGGTTATAAGAAAAGCATCAGAAAGAGGTATGTAAATACACACAAAAAGCTTATGTTGAAAACATTACCACCATAACAAAAGCAGAACGACACTTGTATTTTTCCTCAGGTGCATTTTTCATCGAAGGACTCAAAGTGGACAAGCACCGTCATTTCTTTTTGTGTGGGACTACCAAGGAGGAGACTTTGCGAGAGGGCACGAAACTGAAGGATTGCAGCACAACCTGGTGCTGCCTGGGAGTCTCATGTTGTGCAAATTGTACCCTGGTGGTTATTTCCCATTATGCTACGTATACATGTACTGGGAGCCAAAATGCTGTAAAGAAATGACTGACGTGGAAAAAGACCAATGAGATGGATGTTTTCTTTCAGTGAGTTTGAGCAACTAAAGAACAGGTTCTTTACAGCCCTGTGTCTTCAGATCACAACTGGGTGCTTTGTCCTGCTGGGAGCTCTGCCTTAGGCACTGGGATGTGCCTCAATCCTCGGATAACTACTGGGAGATGTAATGTCCAGAGCTTCACAGAAGTTCAGCCCAAATGATCAAAAAATCCGTTCTGGCCTTAAAGTATGAATGAATTTCAGATTACTTTTAAATTGCAGAAGTGTTAGTCCCACTTGTGAAAACATAAATGATTTCAGTGGAACTATTCACACATGGAAAATCCGGAACGCACACATGTTTTGGGACCCAGCCTTGAGTATCATGTCTTGGCTGTCCCTTGGTTTGCACTTTGGCCCCTTGTCACTCTGCCAACATCAATAGCTTCACACCAGAGCAAAACAGAAACAAGGTTAGAGACAAATAGAATTAGGATCTTAGTATTTGCTGTATTTTGTATTAACAGCTCTAGAAGTGAATGGTTTGCCCCAAGTGTTTCACAAAATCCAACCTCTGCACTCAGAGTTAATAGAGTAAAAAAAATCTTTAAACTTTCTTGGGTGGAAAGCTCCTGAACACATAAACATTAAAAAAAAACCACAGAGGTATTCATTTTTTCCCTCGCAGGTGTGTGACTTCTCCCACAGATGCCAATCAGAGCCCAGATTATGTTTTAAGGAGACAAAGGGTGCTCCCAAGTTCTCAGTCTCATTGAGATTTTCTAGTGGTAAGAGATAGGATTGGATTTGAAAAAGAAAAATAGCTATTTACTGCCTGCCAAGTACCCACAAAGGACGTGTCTGTAGTATAAAGCACGTGGGAACGGAAATCTGCTTAGAGATTAGGAGCTGCTCGTATACGTGCCATATATATGCAGGCTCGTGGTATAGATAGCTCTGAGATAGTTAAAATCGCACACAGTTCAGAGAAATGCAGTCTTTCTGGAATAGGTTTACATTTAAAGATAGCCTAAATCAATTTAAGTGAGATTTTAAAGCGGCTTAATTGCATCCTAGCAGGGAGTTTTTAGATCCTGATTATACAACCCCTTTCTGCATCTGTCTCTGCTGAAGGGAAACAACAAAAAAAAGGTGGAAATGTTGGAGGAGCTGGAGGCAGCTTCATCGCAAATACAGAGGAACTCACTGCCGAGTAACTCATGGGGAGGATGGCAGAAACAAAATTAGCAGGGCTTGGAAAAAAAAGCCTCCCAGCAGGCAAATGCCCAAGCTGCAGAATATTACGGAAATTCCTGTGATCTGTATCTCAGAGCATCTAAAGATGAAAATAAGTCACCAGGACTGTTTGCAGTGGCTTACTCTGGGCAAGGGAGAAAAGGAGCATGTTGACATCAGTTTTGCTCTAGAAATAATTGCCAGTCAAAGCTGTTTCCTTGTATTTTGAATCCCTTAAAATGCTGTAGTGGTAGCTCCTGGGTCTATCGCTGCCCAAAGCCCCTCCTCTGGGGCTGTGCTACCAGAGTAGAGGTGCAGCTTTCCCTGTGATTGTCTTTGAACAGGAAAAGCAAAGACAAACATTAAAACCAAATACCTCACTGTCGGGTTGTGAGAAAAGCATTTTCTCCTTTAACATGCTCACATATCAGGAACACTTTATCGGTGGCTGACAGAGAACTGACACGCTTCCAAAGTCAGGCTAACTGCATTTTCTTCTTATTATTGCACGTGTCTTAGATTTCAACTGCAAACCCAAAAGCTAAAATATGATTTATAAGAAAAAAAAAAATCCCCTCTACAATGATGATGTCATTATAAGGAGGCTTCCAAGATCAAAACACAAGATCTGATGAGAAATGTCTTCTTAAAAAACACATTTTCAGCAAGCTATCCTATGTTAAGGATCATTGCATCACTCCCTGCTGCCTCACAGGTACATGCAAGGAAATGATGAATTCTGGGCCAGAACACTTAACGTAGAGACCAAGCTGTGGAGCAGATCAACTCCTTTTAAGGAGACATCATTGTGAATTCTTGAATTCTCTTTTTTGGAGTGCAACATCAATGCTCTGCACAGGATTTGTGAAGCTGGTCAGGCAGTTCTCAGCTAAGACAGGAATGCTGTCTAAGCAAGGAGTAGCAAGCCTTAGCTTCACAAGTTATTGAAAGTGCTGCCAATGGCAAGAGATTCAGCATAATTTTATCTTCTCACTGGGATGCAGGAACCAAAGACAATCAAAGCTGCTTCTAGAAACGTTAAACATCTTTTCTGCTTGGCTTTTTAGCCAAGATGACTTGAAGTTACCATATTATTTTTTGGCTGTGTGCACACATGCAGCGGTGCTGGTTGTGTTTGGATTTTTGAGTTGTTGGTTTTTGTCTGTCTCATATCTACTGAAAGGAAACTCCCTTGTAATGACATCAGTTTCGTTCATCTCCAATACACGGTGAATTGAACTTGGAGTATTCTCCTCCAACATTACTTAAAGCTCTGGAGTTCTTATTCCTTCTGGAGCTGTGCTCACATTTAGAAGTCTGTGTGTGCACATCTGATACGTACACACAATGGATATCCTTCCTCCACATGCAAGCATAACAGCATACATACCAGGCAGCTGGGTCATATTCAGCCCAGACACGAACAAACTCATCCAAATGATGGGGCCCAAGGATGGAGGAGTCTCTTGTCAGGTATTCAAAGTTGTCCATAATCACAGCCACAAAGAGGTTCAACATCTGCAAAGAGGAAGCAATGATGGAATTAGGGAGGAAAAAATAAAAAAGGTAGGAAAGTAAAAGGGTTAACATTTCCTTAGCAGGATGTGAGGTTTCTACACCGTGACCAATTTTTAGGAGCAGGAATTGTCTACATCTTCTACAGAAACTGCTTTTTGCTCTCAGGAGAGTAGCATGGCCCTGTCCTCCTCGCTGCTGTTTCAAAATCCCTGCAGGAGCCAAGTACTGCAGGCAGATGGTGAAGGCACAACCCTGAAGCCTTCTGAGGTGTTTGCCAGGAATATCAGCCCCTGGCCCCACCTGAAACCCACCATGGCCTTAGGCCAGAAAGATGAAGGCTTATAGGATGTTGAGCAGAGAACTTCTGAAACCACATGGATTTTAACATATAGAGAAAAAAATACCGTGAGGATATGCTGATGGGCAAACTTTTTTCTTTTCACAACTGCAAAGCGAGGTGCTTGATTTTCCCATTCTCAGAGCAGGGCTACTTCTTGCCAAATAACGGCCCAAACCACACAACACAACTCTGCCCAGGGCAGCACCATGGGGCGCTTCTGACTACCTCGAAAAGACCAGGCAGCAGCTGCACCCCAGGGAATGAACTTGGCAAACCCAGCCCTGGGTACCCAGCGACCTGCTGTCACCTCCTCCTCCCCTGCCCTCTCCAAGGCAGTTCCAGCTCTGTGGTACGAGGCAGGTTTGCACGGCTTGGAGAATTTGTCACATCTCTGTCACTGGTGAGGTTCTCCAGCACGACCATGGACTGCCTGGGGCTGCCCCTTCACACCAGCACAGGCTGGCCCATGAGCTGCTGCTGCTGCTGCTGCTTCACTGACTGGATCGTGCCAGCTCTTCCAGCACTTTCATAGCAAGGCAAATCAAGATATAACAGCTAGAAGAAAAGCCATTCTTCAGCCTGAACATCCTATTTTAAGCTTGTAACAATTCACACCTTCAAAGATCCCCTAAAAAGACAAGGGGCAGGACACATAAAAAGCTCCTCTCCCTGATGGCTGTTCTCTGCAAAGGCTTTTTGTTTTTTTAAGTCTCCTCTCGTTAAAGCTAATGGAAGAGACCCAAGGATTTCAATGGGAGAAGATCAAGCTGCAGCTGGCAGAAAGGAAGACCAGGAGGGCAGGTGGGAACAGATGCTCTTGTGCCAGAAAAAGACCTGAGGGGCACGAGGAAGGCTTCTGTCCTTCTGCCTCTTGTAGGGAGGCCGAGCTGCTGCTCTGCACCACGGCCACAAAGCAGCAAAGCCAAGCAGAACGTGGATGTCCCTGGCTGATCAGCATCTGCCAGCCATTAAAAGCAAATCAGACAGTGGAGATCTGGGGCTTGTGCTGTTTAGAAGTCATGTTCCTGAGCAGTCTGGAGGGAGAGGCCCTAACTTCGGTGAACACACAGTGCATGGGGTCCTGCTGGGACGTCATCCACTGGTGCCTACAAGCACAGTCCTTAATGAATCACCCGTACAACAACCCAGGGCAGTCCAAACTATCTCTGAATAAGCTTCTCAAAGACTGGAAGCACCACAAACACATCAGCAGTGTTTGCTCACATGAGGTGTTGCTGTACCAGGACCCAGTCTGGCAGCGCCTGCTTGGCTCCCTCCCACAAACACACCCGGCCAGTTGGGCATGCTGAAGGTATTCAAGGGTGTTTCTGAAGATATCAAAGCTCTCAGGACTGCTATAACATGGGCAAAGCTGCAGGAACCCCACACGTATCACGGTACCCCCAGAACATCGAGAGGTAAAGTAACTTTGTTGAGTTTGCCCCTTCATCCCAAGCCCCTTGCACTGATCCCAGCTCTGGCCGTGGCTCAGGGCAGTTTTCCCTTACTTACATAAAACTGTTTCTAAAGTTCCTGTATTTTTTAATTTCAATTTATATTTTCCTACTGTGTAAATTTACAGGAGGAAAATGATGTCAGGCTGGCCATCCACAAAGAGCCAGAAACAACATTGCAAAACAAACACATTACCCAATTTCCCCCAAACCCACGGTGTAACACCACCCAGCAAACCATTAAAACGTTCCCTCCCGGCCGGGCTGTGGCTCTGTAATGCTTTAATCGCCTGTGGGGACCCACACGCTTCCTTGCAATGAAGTGCTGAGCGCATGTTAAGAAATGAGTTCCAGCCCTGGCCACCCCTGCCAGCAGACCCAGGCTGTGGTTTCACTGGGTGTGCTGGGAGCGCCGGCTCAGAGGCAAAGCTCATGCAAAGCCGTGGTTTACACACGTGTGCCCCAGCCTCCACGCCTGCTACTGCATTTCCAGGATGTCAGCCAGGAAGGGTGAGCTGGGGGACATTTTTTTTTTTAATTTATTTTTTATTATTTTTATTTTTATTTTCTTTTTTAAAGAAAAGGCTTTAGGAACAATGATGTGCTTGAAAATACCAACGAGAATGTCTGATGTTAGGGAAGGATTTGTACAAGAAAGGATTTAGGATTTAAAGTACAGAGTGCTGAAGGGATCTGTAAATGGAGCATTAACTTTGCATGAGCTTTCAGGGCTCCACATTTTTTAATATATGCAGAAGAAATAATCCCCAGGATGTCAAAGGGGCAGCAGCAGCTGGACAAAGGAACTCGGTAGGGGCCATTGAAGCTGCTCTATCTATGTATGGCATCAAACTGCCACATGTACCTCTTTTTCCTGGTTAAAGGTTTCAGATGATAGCAGGGATTAGCTGCACAGAACATCAAATCTTATATTTAAAAAAATCAAGCCATGGAACTGAAAGCAGGCTTGATGTGTAGCTTTTTGGGACATTTCAGAGCTGTGATTTTTATCTCTTGCTGCTTGAAGTTTAATTGGGTCCCTGTCCCTGGTTTTCCATTCCTCTGTCCCAGCAGTGTAGGGAAGAACCAAGCCCTGAGAGCAGAGAGGTTTTTATGCACACAAGTGATTATAAAGACACTGGCACGTATTAAAAGCTTAGACTCAGCCCCGTACGATGGCCACGGGCATGCATCAAGCACATCAGCTCCATGTACTTTCATGTCTAAAGCTTTCCTGACACCATCTCAGAAGAAAATACATTTATTTGTCGAAGAAAACAAAAAACACCATCTAACAAGCGTGATGCTCCCGGCTGCCTGCTACAAGCACTTCTGCACCAATGTTATCTCGGCCATTCTCTCCCTGCCCTCCCATCCCCTTCTTCAAAGGGCCACATTACAAATCAAGACAAAACAGATTAATGCTTAATTCCAAATATTAGACCCCCCGTGGGAAGAAAGATAAAACCCTTCCCTTTAAACTAATGACTAAATGGTCTCTTTGGGGATTAAAGGGATTTTATCACCAGGATGATAAATGGGTTTTAGCAAAGCGGGCTCGTAACGTTGTACAAATCCCAGCCAGGGCGAAGGGGAAAAAAGGGGGCGGGGAGGGCCTGGCAGGAACCACCCCAGCACCCGCGTTTTGGGAGCGATGGGGACTGACTTACCAGGAAGGAGCAGAGGAAGATGAAGGACACGAAGTAGAAGTAGGCAAAGTCGCTGCCGCACTCGTTCTTGGTGAGGCCGGAGAGCGGGTCGCAGGCCCGGTTGCTCAGGCACGACAGCATGATCTCGTGCCAGGCCTCCCCCGTGGCGCTCCTGCGGGAGGGCAAGCAGGGGGGTGAGCTCATCCCTGCCCAATTAACTGAGGTAATTAGGAGGAAGGTTGTGTCCAGGTGGTGAGAAATATATTTGCCTTAGGAGTCTCAGCAGCCAACAAAAGAAAGGAGAATATTTCCCTCTGTTATGGGGAGGCAAAAGGAACCAAACAGGCTCAGATAGGCTATGCTCAGTTTAAGAAGAATAAAGCCAGATGGAGTTCAATAAGTCAAGAACAAAGCAGAAACAGGAATAAACACAGATTATATTGTGTCCTTTTGGAGCACCTAACATCTCTGTCCTAGCTCTGGTGGCAAACCCAGTGGAGATGCTGGGAAATGAAGCCAGGACCCTCCACTTGAATTCTCGATTGCTCTTGTCAGATGCAGAAATACTGCATTGGCCTGCTTTGTCATAAAACCTGGACCCAAAGTCCTGTGACCATCTCCTGGGTTTTCTCCCTCCTTTCCCTTCTCCCCCTCATTTTGGGTGTGAGAGCTGAAGTGACAGGTAGGTGAACCCTAAGCAAATCCTAACATTTACCCACTATTGTGTGGCAAAATATAGCCAAAAGGAAAACCTTGGCAGGCCCAGAGGGTCTGCCCTCAAAATAAACCAACCCCTGCAATGCGCACGCATGGATTGGAAGCTGAGGGATCCCTATGTTTGCTTACTCTGGCTTTTCACAGAACCTCAGATTTTCTCCCACTGTTTCTGCACCCCACTCAGAGGTGCTTTTAGGGCTGTCCTACCGCTCTATGAAAAGCCCAACCCATTGCAGCATTACTTACAATCACGCGGAGTGGGTGCAAAGCTGTTCATTCTCATATTGAGACTTCATTTCCCCCAAAAATCTCGCAAACACCCAGAATTCGGCTCCACTTTCAAAGATGACAAATTCCAACAAGCAGCAGCGCTGGGCAAAGACCCTGGGGTCCTGGTGCCTGGGATGACTTACTGCTCAGTGCAGACTGAAACGGCTCCCAGGCCACTGGATTATACAGCAGATTGTACAGTGGCATTTAGTCCTTAAGCCCTGTTCCCTCGTGCAGAAACCTGCTCCCTGTCACGGTCCTGCTGCCTCCACCTGCTCTCTCCCACTTTGTGGCTCCGGAGAGGAACCAGAGGTTGAAGAATTATCTGGCCTTACAAAAATTCAGAGATTTGTTTCAAGTGACTATTCTGAGCTGGAGGGGACTAATTTCATTTCTGGAGATGCTGGTGTGTTGTATCTGATCTATCTAAGGGCAAACCCTTAGCATTAAGGATGAGGAAGCAGGACGGAGTGCTTTACTTCAAATGCTGCGTGCCCAACTCCCAGCATATGGGAAAACAAAGATTTATTTACTGCTTGCATACAAATATTTTGTATGCAAATATTTTGCATACTTACCTAAACAGAAGCATCAAGGCTTGCAGGAAGGTACGGAAATTATTGTGCCGATTGATGGAGGTCTCGTCATCCAGCGCAATGTTTCCAAATACCTGTCACGGAGAGCAGAAGTTTTACAGGGCAAACACAGCTTCATGTAGATTCACATAGGAGTGGTCAGCAAAGGTGGCGAGGTGGAGTTAGAAGCAGCAACAGGAAAAGAATCTGCCTTGATTTGAGAAATCTGAATAGCTTGAATGGTTTCAGTGCTGAGCAGGGAGGTAGAATTGTGTTGTGGAAATCAAAAGGTGGAAAAAATCAGGATAACATGCTTCATCTTCAAGAAGACCTTTCCAGTGCTGCTGTTCAGCTCCAGCCCAGGCCAAGAAAGTTTTCTCACCTCTTTTCAGCCTGAGCAGCTCAGTGGCTGCAGCCGTGTCCCCTGCTCTCACCCACAGGCAGGGCCCAGAACCAGGTGCCTGCAGCCCAGACCTGGTCTGTGAGCTCTCCCCTTGTACGCCCACAAATATTAGCAGCAGGTTCAACATGACACCTGGCAGTAAGGGTAGGAAAAGGTGGCCCTTTTTTGCACTTGTAGTTAACCTGACACCAGGCACGAAGAGCTTTTGTGCCTCCTCCTAAGGCAGGCATCGATGCTGCTGCAGAGGCAGTAACCCACCCCGACCCTGCGGGACAAAACCAGGCTACTTACGGTCAGTATCAGAGCCAAAATTTTACCTGCATGCCAATAATGGCATAGATGAAGAAGAGCATTGCAATGAGGAGACACACATAAGGCAAGGCCTGTGGGAAAGGAGAAGAAGGTATTAATGACAGCAAACACATGCTTTAGCTGGTAGTATTTAATTCCTGGCAGCATTACGTTCTGTGGTGTTTGTCCTTTAGGTGAAGAAGCTGGGAAGAGAACAGGGGCAATCCTGGCAGCTTTCAGCAGCCACAGTCCCAGAACCAAGCATTTATCAATTACAAACCAGCCTGGGTTTTCCAAGAGCTCTGTAGGTATCCTTGCAGGCAGACAAGCAGTAACAAGGGAACACACAATAAGAAGCTCTGCAGCAGGCACTGTGGCTACTGGCAGGCACTAGTGCTTCCTATGCATAATTGGAGAGACAAACCTTAATTTTTAACGACCTTGCTATAAATTTAGTATGAGAAAAAATATATATTCAAGGAGCAAGTTTCTGCTCTGAATTAGGCACAGTCTGCACCCCAAGAGGGCAAAAAAGATTCTGAGTTTTCATGAGAAATCAGTGAGCAATACAACATAATTATATTGCACAAGCTGGGAGTAATAGCTACTTTGCACTCAGGCTAAATGAAGGAGTAATTAATGCCTCTTAATTAGCAATAGCTGAAAAGCTGAGAAGCTCTGACCATGGGGACAGGAGAGGGGTTATGCAGCCTGCAGCCAAGGACCTCTGCTGGGCACCTCTGCACAGGGATGAGAGCTCAGCTCGGAGGGTGGACAGAGGACAGACAGACAGATCCTGCCACAGACAGACAGTTGTGTCCCTGTCAGCCCAACACCCACCAGACTGGGTGCCTGTGCTGCAGCCCTGCCTTTGGGACACATCAGGTTCGTGTCCCCCTACTTTTGCAGGGGGACAGAGCAAGGCAGCAGCCCATGCCACATGTGGTTTGTTTGTGCAAGGCACACCTGGAACAGCACGTTTCAGACTGGCATCATTGCCAATGTGTTAACGACCTGGCAGCTGCCCACACCACTCAGAAAGCAAGTCCTGGCTGAGCCCCCTCTCTCAGGTCTGACCAAGACTACGCAGTCCAAGGATGCCCCCCTGGGTGGACACATCCCAGAGCCCACCTCTCAGCCTCTGGGAGAGGCTCTCATGGCTGCAGCAAACCTCATTAGTTACAAGGTGAGAGCAGCAGCACTGTTTTATCTCTCTGCCCTCAAGAAAAACATGGCCTAACGAATCTCATTGCTTGTGTCCTTTAAGGCATGCCCCCCAGTCCTTTCCCATTAGTTGCCCGATGGTTGGGTTTCTCCTCTGTTAAATTCTACCGGGACTTATATACACAAACAAATTACTCTGGGTTAACACATTACCACACTTTTACTGATTGACTATGTCTCTTAACCTGCAGAAAAGTGAGGTAAGTTTTAAACCTAATCCTTGCACTTGCTGCAGGCAAATAGCAGGCATGAAAGCCCTCAGTAATGAGACTGTCTTCTCTTTTTGTTAATACCTGAATCTTGACACTTCGCCCTAAGGATTTTGTGATGGTTTCAAGGGCAACCTGAGTGTTATGAACTTATTCTGGGTGCTTTCAGACTCATACTCCAAAAAGCTCAGCACCTGCAGCGTTCAGGGGCTGCTCAGTGCAAATCAGCTGATGTTGGTGCAAAACAAGCGTTAGTGCCATTGCATGGTGGAGCTGCAGCGTGGCCGTTCCTTTGGCAAGCTCTTAGATGGTCAGTGGCTGATGCTGCAGAAGTGCAAAGCGTTTCCCCACGTCCCTTCCCTGTCTCCCCGCGGCCCAACTCTCACCTTAAAGGACTGCACAAACGTCCAGAGCAAGATGCGGATAGTGTAACCCTGGCGGAGGAGCTTGATAAGTCTGGCTGCCCTGAAGAGCCGCAGGAAGCTGAGGTTGATGAAGTTGTCCTGCGGAAAGTAAAGGTTTTGTGTCCTTCAGAAATTAACGCGATGAGAAACCACAGCCCGCAAAAAAGAAATTAAAATTACCAGCTTCACGATCTAAGCAGCAAATCGGCCACCAGAAAACCTTCCAAAAGAAACATTCGTCAGTGCAGATCACTCCACATGCAGCAAGTATGAGAAAATCCCTCTCCACAAGAGCCCTCCCCTCTACTCCTGGGTCAATGATAGAAAAGGAAATGGCCCTTCCACGCTGTCCATGGAGGTCTTGTTTGCTTTGAGTAAGGCAGATTTTCTCCCCTAAAGACTCAGGGAGAGGTAATGGTGCCATGGTATCATTTTTATAAAGAACGAGGTTGTTTTGAAGTCTTGGTCTGCTTGCTTTCTGCAATGAATTGATCTTAAGCCAAGACGGTTGTAACAGTCTGCATACGTAGCCTCTGCTATAACAAAGGAAGGCATTGTCCAGGGAAGATTAAAACATCCTTGATAAAATAAGGATGTTTTCTAACCTGCAGATTTTAAATATTTGTATACAGCTTGTGACTGGACAGGCTTGTCAAGGAGAAATGGCACCAGCAAGACTTTGGGCGATGGATCACTGGCAGCAAATCGGTGGGGGAGGTCAAGTGGTCAGCAGGTGGATGCCTTAGGAACCTGCTGGTTTTTTTTTGTTTGTTTGTTTTTGTTTTTAATTATTACTAAGTATGCTTTCACAGGTGGATCAAATAACTTCTGGAGACAGGTTCTGATTTCCATTTGTTTTGTGTGATTCTCCCCACCCCACAGCCTGTTTTTTTTTTTCTTTCCTTTATGGAAAAGAGGTTGCTTGCCCCAATGAGCTAATCTAGAGAGGGTTCTTTCCAAAACAAAACATGCAAAAGCCAGATCCCTCTTGCCCTCCTGTTTTAAGGAGATGAAAAATATCCCCCCGTTCTGTACCTATTCCAATTCACTTATTTGTGACTCTCTGGTCACAGCCACTTGTTTGACTGAGTTAGCTAAAGAGAGGAAACGGCCCGCTTCAAACTGTCAAGCAGTGGAGGGGAAAATACAATCGTAAGGAGCTCGTGTTGGTAAAGATGAGCAGAAACAGTCTTTCTCTTGTATTATCGTTTTACCAGAAGACACCCAGTCATATTAACGTGACCCACATTTCTTGCTCATTTGGCTACAGAGCTCATGCTGAATTTGGGGGGCTTGTTGGATCTATTCATTCCTTTAAATGCCAGCTCAGGTTTTGGGCCATTAGCATCGCATTCCACCAATCCCATCAAAGAGTTCAAGAAATCAGTCTCAGGCATGCACTTGGTTTCTCTCATGTTAAAAACGCAAGCAGCTCAGAGTTAGGCACAGACCGTATATCAGACTCAATCCTCAAATAAAGAGAAAAGAGAAAAGCATAGGTATGTTCCATGAAAGAGCAGACAACACCGAGCTCATTCAAGTCAGCAACAAAAAGCAGCTCTGGCAGGCAAGCCACAAGCAAGGATTCCCCTGGGTTGGTCAAGGTCAGTGCAATAGGTACTAAATATCCAACACCTGTCTCTGAGCAACAATTCTGTTTCATTTTTCGATTGGTTACCTTTCCTTCACTGGCTGAACTCACCTTAGCAGGTAAGGGCTGTACAAGAGCCAGGGGACAGAGCCTGAGCACGGCTGGAGAGCTGGAGAGCCACCAGCCGCCTGCTCCAGATTCTCCTGCCTGGGCAGCTGCACCCGGCGAGCAGCAGGGCTGGATCCAGCCCAGGGCAAAGGTTTAACCCAGAGCCCGTTGTAATCACGGGAATGCCCCTGTAGGAGCTGGATCAGCCCTTACGTGACCCTGCTCATTGCACCACTACAAATCAGGCAAATTATTGCCTTCAGAGCATCGCTCGAGCCAGATCTCCCCATGCACAAGCCTAAGGCTCCTCCAAAGGGCATGCACACAGGAGCATCTGCAGGATCCAGGTCTCAGTGTGGGAGCCTGCCTTACCTCCCTCTTCCACGTTAATAGTTTAGCAGCGAAACCTTCCTTTTGTTCAGCCTTTGCTATAACCTCATAACCAGAGTTAGCACAATGCTTCACGTCTGATTTGGACTGTGCTGGCTGCAAAGTCACACTTCGCACAGGCTGGCCCTGTGCAGCTTGGGGCTTTCTATAGGATCGTGGTGTGCGTGCAGGATGAGTGGGGGCTTCAAAACTGTGCTTGGCTGCAAATTTCCACTCCTTGGGATTTGGATGGGCAAATAGTTTTCTTTTTGTTTGTTTGTTTTCCCTCCCGGTCCCAACCCCTCCTTTTTTTGGCTTATCCACTGCCATTTCCTAAAGGGCAGCAGAAGCCCCAGCTCCGTGGGGAATCCCTCGCAACCCAGGAAAATCCAGCATCACCCGCGTGCACAGAGCCCACAAAGGACCGTTCTCTGCGCCGTTCGTCGGGAGGCAAAACCACACACGCTTGTGACGGGTGAGAGGGCTGGGCGTGTGTAACCCTTGGCACACCGCATAGAAAACCCCTCCTTTGGCCACGCAGCTCTCCAGGCAGGTATCAGCATTGCATGCAGTTAAAGGGGAAACTCCACATTGCGATATTTCTCGTGTATGGCAGCGTTTTGCATTGATTCTCCTTCCTTCTAGCTACCCCTGTAGTATGTGACATGCACGTGGTCGCCTTCTGGATCATCGGGGTCTTTGTTTCCAGGGTTTTGTTTGTTTTTCTGTTGCACAGGTGCTGAAAAGGCTGCCAGGTGCTCACAAGAGGCACCGTTGTTTTATGGTTTTGCAGTCCACCTGAGGACTGGCAAACTGAAAGGCATTTCTCTCTGCCTTGTCACTATTTCCCTGAAAGAGGAGGTGGCTGGGGTCTGGTGGTAAGGGCACCCTGCTGCCCACAGACTCCATGGGGTCCAATGGGGTCCCTCTGGAGGATTTAGCAAATGAGGTTACCCAACACTGCCACAAAACAAGAACCCCAGCAGGAGCTGGGCTGCTCACCTTACTTCTTATTGGTGCCCATTTGCAAAATTCAAAACAACCCAACATCTCGGAACTTCAGCTTTCTGTCTTCGGCATGCCTGAAGTTGCAAAGCCGCCATAGAGGCATGGGCAGAGGGGTCCAACCAAGCCAAGAACAGGAGCACCGAGGGCACTTTGGCAGTTCTTCTGGCAAGAATTAGTCTATCTTGCTAAGAAACATCCACTGAGGAAAAGGTATTTAAGCACATGAACTACCTTTGATGGGCAGTTGTGCTCCAGTTTAAACATCTGTGACACTGCCAGTATTGCAGAAGAGCCACTGAATCTTGCATAGGGTCCTGGCTTCCTTTGAAGCCTGGGAAAATCCCTTCCTGATTTTCAGAGGCTGAGTATTTTTGCCATGCCTGCCTGCAACTCTACCATTACAGCTCTAACACAACCTTTCATCCAAAGCCAGGAAGACTGGAAAGATGGTTTTATAGGTCTGTGACGCTGAGATCTCACCCCATTCCCCATCACCTTTTAACTTTGGTCCTTCTGTTGCAGTCACTGGTGGCTCCCATCAGCAGAAGCAGCAAGGCAGCTTGGTGCCCTCAAGATCTAACTCATGGGCCTTGGGCACCAAGCGATGGAAGGAGCCTGGACCTGGGCAGATGGCCACAGAGACCACAACCCTAACAATCACCAGACGAACATTGAAACCTTTAACCTGCAACACTTTAACAGCAACAAGGCCAAAATTTGGGCAAATGAAGATAAGCTCATTTTTCCACTACTCACATGAGCAGTTGATGCCAGAGCACTTCATGCTGCCTGAGCCCAGGCTGCCCCAAGACGAATCACCCAAAGACGTCCCCCAGCTCCCACACACCACCGTGGTTCCAGCCACTGCAACACTTGCAGAGGACTCGCTGCTCAGACCACGTGGAGCAAACCTCTAACTTACACAGCCTCCTTTCCTTCTTCGCTGTTTCCTATCAAAAAGTTTCCTCCTGGAGCCACCGTTAGGTGAGCATGGAGGGTATGTGCAGGCTGTCATGAAGCCTCACATTGATTTGTTCCTGAACAGCAACTGTGCAACAGAAAGTCCAGACATTAAGTTAGAATAGATCCCAGAGCTTTTGTCAGGTGACCGAGTGTTTTTTGATAAGCTCATGGTCTCATTCGTGTTATTATTAGTCATAGCCAGGATAATTAAGAATGGAATCTTTTTTGATTACATTTTTCCTTATTCATCCTTTTTTGCTTACTTTTTGATTTCCAAAGACACCTTTGGAATTAGGCATTCAAATTCATATTGGAATCTGGTTCCCAGTTCTTCTGAGCCCTATTCATACTGTGACTTCTTCATTTTACTTGAGGTATTTGCTTTTGCATCCAGGGACTCTGGGTCCACTTGTGGTGGCAAAATACTTCCATATCTTGGTATGCCAGAGTTTTCAAAGTTTAATAAAAAGAATCTTTCCTATGACTTCTCTTTTGATTTGAGGGAAGCAAGTCCATAATGGCTTTATTTTATTTTTTCTTTTGCCTTACAAGTACCATTGGCTTGAAATACGAAGACAGTCCTACTAAATGTTCTGCTTCCCTCTCCAGAAAAAACAACACATCTCATTGTAAAAGGAAAACAAAACAGTTTCTGAGAATTGAATTTGGTGCCACCACTTACAAAAGGAAGGCTTTCCCATCCAGGTCATCCAGAAGCATCCTTCCTTCTTATTCTCATTCAATTTTCCACGAAAATAAAGCAAGTGTCAGTCTCCCCTTTATCAGTGTCGGGTGTAACAAACAGCGGAGAACAGGCTATTGGTAACTGCATTTGCCTCACGTCACCAATTAGCCAAGGGGAAGAAGATGCAGAACAGAAGCCAGTTTTGAGGCACGCTGCAGTGAGGCTTTTTCACCAGTGCAATCGGAAATCTCATCAAAACAAATTAAATTAAAGAAAAACGAGAGAAAATAAAAGCAGAGAATTTAAATAATTGTTTAAATTCAATGAAACCAACCGTGTCCTATATGTGATGTTTTCATGGATGGATATTTGCAAGATTATTTACAAATTTATTTTTTTGAGCAGCAGGTGCACAACATACAGACGGAGACATGGTTTTCGCATTGTATGTTGATTGGATGGCGTGATTCAGCAGGTAGATAAGGAAAATAAAGAACAAAACAGGAAACAAAAGAGAAAATGAGTAATCAGGACAAGCAAAAAAGGAAACTCTGAAAATTTCACTGGAAAAGAACTGTTGGGCTTTTGGGGGTGTTATTTTTATGATAATTATATAAATTAAAGAATGCTTCAAACCAAAACAGGTTCTGAGATCCTAAAGGTAACACAGACAGTGCAGTTGTTATTTGCATTTCTTTTTGTAATGCAAATTGGGAGACAATTCACAAACACTTTTCAGGATGTTTTTTTTTTTTGTATTTCCAGGCACAGAAATAGATGTCAGTTTGCCATACACCCATTCGGCCTCCTGAGGCCAGCCGGAGAAGCCAGGACAGCTTCTCCTTCGTGCCACCTGTTTTACTATTTTACTCCAATTACCAAGAGGGTAAAAAAACTGACATGCATGTTTTTGCCTAAGGAAATAAAAAAATATGTATGTTCCACCGCATTCACAAAATAAATTACATATGACATGACTACCAAATTAAAATCAAGCAATTAATCAATACATTTCTTTTCCTTTTATCTTTACTTTTCAGTGGTTCAAAGTACCGATGCAGCAAGGCTGGTGGAAGCCGAGACTCTCAAGATGAGACCGCCCAGGTGAGCAGACTCAGTTACCTTGGAGGACACTCACAGTTGGAAAACCGTAAGTTAGTCATGCAGAAAACCAGTGCTCCTGCAACTATTTGCTACCCTGACCTCAAAATCAAGCAAAATATGTCCCTGCCCATAGCAGGGGGTTGGACTACGTGATCTTTAAAGGCCTCTTCCAACCCAACCCAATCTCTGATGCATCCCCAGAAAGCGTCCTGCCACCACCAGCAGCAGGAGGGCTTCACAGTTTGTTTTGGGGATGGGTGCCCACAAATGGTAGCATCAACATTGCACCGTCACCTGGGCTTCTCTCTGCCTGAGAAACCTTCCTGTATAAATGGGCAACACGGGGCAGGGCCAACTGCCCCCCAGGTGCCTGCACGGCTGCCCAGCAGCTGCGAGCAGCTTGGAGCAGAGGAAGACAAAGAGAGAAGAGGGCATCCTGCAGTGGGGACACGGCTCTGGGTCACAGGGGGCAAAGACCTGATCTCTTTGCACAGTCACACGGTGCAGAGAGCTGCTGCTCCCCAGCTCGTGCACCGAGCCCAAAGTGACGCTAAGCATGGCTACAGCATTTTGTGCAGAGCAGATGTCCACCCTCGGTTACCTTTCTCCCCTACCTGGAATGTGAAGGGCAAAAAGCAGTTGGGCAGAGTCAGTAAATACATGGGTAAAGATGGGGCATGATGCCTGCAAACAAAAAAATGCCTGCCCACCGGTCCTTGCCTCAGCCCTGGTGCTCTGCATGACCTGGGCTGCCTGCAGACAGCTTCAGCACTTTTATTGGTAATTGGTTCTAAATTGCAGAAGTGTTAAAGTGACTTAGGCACAACCCTGATTTAAAATAGCAACCTATACCACAAAGGTGGTTGAAAATATAAACCTATTGTTCCACTCCCCAAACAGTGAAACAGTGCTGGTGTTTCCCAGGCAGCTCTGGGACCCCAGCGTGCCATGGGTCAGGGTAGCGCACCCTGCCACCTCCTGTGGACCCAACAAAACAGGACCAGAGCAGCATGGCACCCTTCTGATTATCTTCCACACAAGGTGCCATAAAGTGTCCTCGGACCTCAGAGAGGACAGGGGGTTGCACTGGCAAGTGCAGAGCCTGCTGCAAGACAACCCACACCACGAGGCTCTGGATGAAGCAAATGCCCTGTGACAGTCTGCAAGCTGCAATTATTTTCTGCCGTTAACAGTTGTGGTATGAACGCAGTCTCTGGGGCACTGCTGCAAATTCTCCCTTGAGTAGTGAAGCAGTGAGTCAATGCATCACCTTTAAGCCAAGGAAGCTACTTCCTAACGCCTCTTTGGCATGATGTGCTTGAACTCTCAGCCCATCACCCCATCTGGAGGCTCAGAGATGGATGCAGGCAGCTCAAAAATAATACACCAGTGGCTGCAAAAGCCATCCGGTATGTGTGAGTGTGCTGCTGCAAGCAGGCACAGGCTGGAGGGAGATCAGAGAAATGCCGTATGAAAGAAGTTTTGAAAAACAGCTCTAGCAAGTAGGCAGGGGTGACCTCTAGGTACTCTGCAGGGGAAAGTGCATGGGCAGGAGACACAGTGGCTATACAGAAATGCTGCAGAAAGGGAAGATTTAGTGAACATGCAGCTCAGATTGGTCTGTGGATTGAGAGAGAGAACCAAGAGGTAAGGAGCTGGAGTGGCAATGGGCAACACATGGGTTTGATATGAAAGAGATGTCTGTGAGCAACTTCGTGCTGGATGCACTGCCAGAGCAGGCTGAACTCCAGCAGGCAGTCCTCCCCAACGTTTGGCTTGATGGGTCTAGTTAGTCAAACCAAAAGACTCTCGAGTATTACCTGGAAGGATAAGAGAAAAGTGTATAGATACTTGGGAGCTTGCTGTAATGGATTTTGCTGCCTGATTTAGAGAGAATTGGTGCTGCTCTCCAAAGGCATCCCTGCACTGCTGCACTATCTGATGCTGGAAGCCAGAGGAAGCACTGCAGAGCAGAGGTTGATGCAGCAAGGTGGGAATCAGGTGGGTCTCTGAGAGCACATTTAGCTTCAGCTAAAAGACCAGGGGAAGGTGAGGAGCCACTAACTATGCACTAACTCTTACTCTTTCTCTTCCTGAAGGAGCATTTACCAGACCTGGAGACCACAGGCTCCCGTAACAATGGCGAGTTCCCTATGCTGGTAACACTGGCAGAAGGATGGTGCGAAAAGAAGCGTCAGTCCATGTTTGTGGCTGACTTGCAAACATTTCCATAGATTTTCACACAAAGGCAAAGGTTTGAGTGCCTAAACCTGGCAAGAAAGCCCGTCCCAAGGCAGAGGGAACGGAGGCAAGCATTCAGTGCCTGCCACAGCAGAACAAATCTCCTGATGCACATGGAGGTGGTAGCCAGACGTTGTGCTTGAGCTGAGTGACTCTACCCTGGCTGTAGGCTGTCCACTAAGAGCAAAAGGCAATGCAAACTCTACAAGATTCATCAACTGTTAAACACCATTTGCACAGGGAGTAAAAGTTGGCTTTTTCTGTATTTTTTTTTTGTATCAAGGAGGTTAGATAATGTATTTTGTTAGCAGTTGTAATAATGTTCTTTAGCACCAGCTGAATGTCCTGTAAAGAAGTCTGGGGAACATAGTGCTTAGCACACATAAAAGAGGTCTATAAGCAAATCCTGGGGACTGAGAAGAAAAAATTATGGTAAAGTTCAAATCCATTACATACAGATACAGCATCATCAGCTAAAACATGCATTGGGAAAGGAAACCAGCACATTTTTAAATTGGATAATTTCAGGCTGTCAAGGCTTGAGTCATTTGCTGCCCTTATGGAAAAATCCTCTAGAATTTAATGGTACATTTGTGCACTTAATGTAATCTCCAGGAGTCATTAGCAGGGAGAGAGCAGACATGGGAAGGGTGGCCAATGAATCCTGTGGTATAGTTTTGTTTTTATTTAATTAATAATTGCCCTGCAAAACTTTTGTGCACAGCACAGAAACTGTGTTCCCCCAGTGCAGACTGCACAAGCGGGTGAATTTCTGGTTGCTTTTATGTTCCCATTCTCTCTTCTCTTATCACCTTTGCCCTGTCCCATAGTCAAGATGGGCTGGGAGAGACAGACGAGATGCTGGTGTGCGTGTGTGCCCTGCAAAGCACCACACGCTACAAGCCAGCAGTCTTCATTAGATTCCTTTTGATATTGTCTCTCTATTACATTCAACAGGATTTTTCCATTAATAAGCAAAAAATGGCTCGGGGTCGGAGCCTTTTCCTGAAGGAGAAATAGAGCCTGCTTCCTGGCAGAGTCACCAGCACTGTTGTTCTCATCAGAGCTTTTGGCACAAGAGGCTTTGGGGCAGCCAGCAGTGCTCATCTCTGTGGAAAGAGCAGAGCTGATGGAAGCAGGCTGCCAGGGCACCCAGGGACCCTGTCACACTGTGGGTCCCCGAAGCAGCAAGAGGGCTGGTGGGGAAAAGGTGCAATGTCTCGACAGGGTACAGCTTTGTTGGTAAATGAAACAAATTGAGCAAACTGTACTTACCGCAATCTCTGTTACTAAAATATCAGTAATACTTCCCAACACTGTTACAAAATCAAAGACATTCCAGGCATCTCGGAAATAATTCTGCCAAATGAGAACACAAAGGGGATAGAGGGATCCAGGGGTTATTATCTCTTTGCAAGACGTTTTTTTTTTGTTTGTTTGTTTGCTTGTTTTTAAATGTACATCATGAAATAGAAGCATTTCACGTAGAAACAGTTGAAAATAAATGAGGAAGGCACATACCAGCACACCAAAGGCAATGATCTTCAGCACACATTCCATTGAAAACATGGACGTAAACACAATATTCAGGCATTTCAACATTTCTTCATATGCTTCTGGAGCATCATAGAACTAAACCAGGATGGAAGAAAGGATGTTACTGAAAGATCCTTTATGATGGCAGAGTAAAACCTTCCTGGCTGTATCACAAGGTTCCTGCCTATTCTAGTGCCAGGTTCAGTACTTGCTTTAAGCAAGACTTTGGGTAGGAACATGGGTATGCATGCCAGGCCAGAATCACAGCATTGACTACAGCTGGGGCTACCCCTGGGACTGGGGTCCTGCTGCTCTGTACATCTCCCTGCAAGCACGTCGTGGACCAGAAAGGAGGAAGGGTGTTTTCCAAAACCAGAGAACAAGTGCAGAACTGTGTTTAATTCCAGCAGACCCTAAGAAGGTGGTGACCACTTGATTGTGAAATACTCTAAGCTAGACAACGGTTAGGAGGGGAGATAATCTGCAATAACCAGACACCCACATCTTGTACTTCTAAGGACTGTGGATCTTGTCCCCAAAGCCTGACACAAAGTTGAGCAATCTCCCTGGCACAGCTGGATTTAGAGCACACCCAGAGAGCGAACCTGCTCTGTGCAGGAAGCACGGGCTGAGTCCAGTTCCCACTCACAAGGTCTGATCACAACCAAACCACCTCCCCTCTGGGGAGGGAAGAAATCCCCCATGGCCTCTAAAACCAACATGAGGGAGATCAGAAGTGGAGATCAGAAGTGGCAATATTCCTGCCAAACCCCCCAGATGAGAGCACAAACCCTCCACAGCAAACACCGTATTTTCTAGCCTGAAATTGCAAAGATTCAGTAACAGCCCACTAACCTTCATCATGAGAACAATAGTATTGAGAGCAATCATGACCATGATAAAGTACTCAAAGGGAGGGGACACCACAAATTTCCACATCTTGTACTGAAAAGATTGCTTGTTCTGAGGCATGTAGCGGGTCAGCGGCTTGGCACTTATGGCGAAGTCTATGCAGGCCCTCTACAAAACAGAAATGGGATGAGAAGAATACAAAAAAGGGCTGACAGTCTCCATCAGTCAGGTTATTGCTGGGAGTGGAGCACGTAGTGGAGGATGACATTTCTAAGCCTTTCCAACACACGATGCAAGTACTGAATACTACTGTGAAATGCAGCACACCAGCCCCAAACTGTGATCACTCCTGGACACTCATGGAAATCCCAAACCTCACAGCATTCCTGTAGCCTCCCACAACCCTGTTCACCACCCGGTGGATCCCAATCCCTTCCTGCTTAAGGAAATAAGTTTTAAATTCATGGGCTTGCTTCAGAAAACAATCTGCCTGATACAGAATTCCAGAAACTGAAGGACTGGTGAAGATGCTGTGTTTAAAACAAAAGTATAGTGAAGCTCAGGTGTGTCCTCACACACAGAAAAACCTCTCCACCTAATAATTTCTATGAAATGTGAACTGAACTCAATCAATAAATTACCCAAAAAGAATTACAGGCTGTATTCTCAAAGATACCCTTGGCAAATTCTGTTCACATTTTTTTAAGTAGAAAAGTACTTTAAAATTTATTTCTACCCACAGGAAGCTTTGATTCTGGAACATTTTCTCATCTTGGATTGAGATAAAAATTCAAAATCTCAAATTTTGTCATACTGCAAATCTCAAGACGAAAACTTTCTGCCCAGCTGAAAAAAAATGTGGGTAAATCATCTCAAAATATTCTACTTTATTTTGGACTTTTTGTTTAAACAGACAAATAACTGAAACACTGAGTAACTGATTAAAAGTCAACTCTTTTAATCAAAAATCAAGCTTTAGTTTCAAAATGAACAAAGAGAGATTTTTTTTCTGCACAACAGGTAGTTGAAGCCAAAGGACCCCAGACAAAGGATTTTGCAAATGCTAAAATTTTGCCTGGGTTCTTGAGGAAACTGGATATGTCTGTGGAAGAACGATAGACAGATGCTGTTAACTACAGAGATACCACGTCCAATTCAGGATGTCCCTAAGCTGAAAATGGTTGCATTTGCTACTGTGTTAAATGAAAGCACTGTGCTTACTTGCCCTGTTCTTATGCTCTTCTTAAGGAATCTCCTTTTGGCTGCTGGCAGGAGGATGCTGTCTCAGCCAGGCAAAAAAAAAAGCCTGGTGAGAGCAGCTTTCCACTGGGGAGCAGCAGCAACTGCATTTCACTTTGATTTCTGACAAGCAGCCCCTCTCACACCAAGCACTTCTGCCTCCTTTTGCACATGCATGCTTGAGCTAACATGCAACGCTATCTCCACTTGGAAGTGGAGGTGTGATCCAGAGGGATATGGGTACTGCTTAGCTCAAGGGCAGCAGCTGGGGACTCTCCCTGGTTTTGTTTTAATGCAAAATATGAAAATTTCCAAGAGGCTTGGTGCCTATTCTCTAGGCCCTACATTCAGCACATCATACCACACTTTCTGAAGCCCTTCCTGCTGCAGGAGAGATGAGGAGTGAACTCCCCTCAGTGTTGAGGAGCTCTGGACCCCCAGGTGCTTACACCCACAGTGGCTCAATTCATAAGACGTGGGTACCTCGTTTTTCTCTAGGCTGCATTCTGACATCACTTTATCTCCTTGCTCTTGGAAGGTGATGATGATTAACGCCACAAAGATGTTCACAAAGAAAAAAGGGAAGACAACAAAATACACCACGTAAAAGATAGACATTTCCATTCGGTAGCCAGGGCTGGGACCCTGTTCCTCGTAGGTAGCATCCACTGAATGCTTCAATACACTGCAAGCAAGCGCAGAGAGAGAAGAAATGTCAGTGGAATCAGTGAGAAGCACCAATGACACCCCTACAGTCGCTCACTGGCCTTCACTCACACAGAGGATTTTCCCACATATGCTCAGGTCAAATTCATTCCCATCTTAGTGGCTGGGAAGAAGTTTTCCTTGAGGATATTTTAGGGAAACCTTCTCTGTTTTCACCATTCTGATGAATGATTGCCATCTGTTACATACAGATCCACATATCCAAGTGAGGGGGAGAGGATACCGTTAGATCTGGCTTCTCTTCTGCTCTGGTCAATATGAATAAAATATGGGTGGGAAAAGAAAGGTACTGATGATCTCTGAGTATCTAGGGGAACAGTGAGGGTTTGGAAAGGACATGCTGATGCTCTAGGTTTTATTCTCTATTTTATTAAATAACTGAATGTGGAGGACAAGGAAGTCCTGCCATGTAGACACCCCAGCCATGAACTGCAGTCCCAGCAGAAACGCCTGCCAAAATAAAGTCATATGCTGAACAGTCTGGAGGCTCAAATACCCAGTATACTTTCAGCATAGGTCACAATACTTTTTCCCTTAATTTTCTTATATTTCCATTACAAATTTTACACTCAAGAAAGGTGTGCAAAGCTAGGAGACAGGAGCAAGCAGGGTAGTCAGCACTGAAAGCCTCCTCGGCATCAGTGTGCAAGCTCAGAGGAGCACCAAGAAAAAGGCAAGATGCTGCCCGCTGACTCACCCACGAATGACAAAAGGGGAAGTCAAAGCTTGGCTGATAAAACTGTTCCTATTCCACAGGTCACCTGCCCTTGACGTGTCCCTCAGCATGGAAAGCTGCTGCTACCCCTGCAGCACCTGACCCCACCAGCCCCACGTACTCACGTTGGCCACCCTTCTCCCGTGGAGACGGTGAAAAGCGTCAGCAGAGCCCACAGCACGTTGTCGTAGTGGAACTCGTACTTTTTCCATTCCCTGGGCTGTGCCTCCACCTCATTTTTTTCATAGTCAAGGTACTGACCCCTAGGAACAACAGAGGTTCAGACCAAAAGGGAGAGTTAAACCAAAACAGCCACATGCTATGGCTCAACGAGGCCCTGATGTATTGGGGTACAGCACAGCAGGGTCTGACCATGTACAGCCCCTAGGTTTGTAGACTCATCAAATGGTTTGAGTTGGAAGGGACCTTAAATATCATCTGGTTCCAAGCACATCCCACCAGGCCAGGCTGCCCAAAGATAGGGAACACAAGCAAAGTCTAGGGGAGCCTCAGGAACTGGGTCTGACGTTTAGAAATTAAATAAATGTCATCAAGACATTCATTTGCTGGACAAAGCTGACAGCTAACGGCATGCTGGCCTCAAGCTGTCTGACCTTGTAGAAATCTCTACTGTTTGATGGGGATTGGCCTCTGGTTCCTACTTGAAGGCTGTATATAACTTCAGAATTGGTCCTGCTTTGAGAGACAGGAGCTTGGACCTGGTATCTGGAGAGTTCTTCACCACCCTACATTCTTCTATAATTTCACACTTTTCTGCAGTGCATTAGCTCTATTGCAAGGCAGAGCTGCAGTGAGAGCAGTCATGCTGCTGCCCCACGCTGCAGGGACACCAAGGGGAGATGGATGGACGGACGGACAGGCAGCCCCAGGCAGTGCTGAGGATGCAGTTTGGGTGCCAAGGAAAAAGGCAAGTGAGGAAGCCACCTGCTGCGGGGAGCAGCACACCTCCACAGTCTGCTGCCAAGGACAAAGCGTGATAGGGCTCTTAAGATATTCAAATGCAGTCCTTTTTTCTAGCTAATTAGGAGTTCCTTAACTTCCTACTGACTCACTTTTGATTATTTATTCATTCTGTTTTCTTAATTTGCACAAGCTGTGAGAAAACAGGCAGCAGGTAGAAAGAGGAGTCATGCCACCCCTCCCAAGGTGTGCTTTACCTTCAATTCACACCCAGCCCTTGCTGGGAGAAGGAGCTTTCTCCCCTGTATCATTCATGCATTCAAGTAATCATTCACTAGATCACCACCACCAGGAATGGTGAAGGTATTAAAACAACAAAAGAGAAAATTCACCTCTAGGATTACTGTGCTGAAGCAAAAGGAGCCTTGCCATGTTCAGCAGATCACTCAACTGCTGCAGCTCTGGGACAGCCAGGAGCTACTGGTGCCAGAGGAACCTCAGGCTCCCTCCACAGCCCCTGCCCAGCCATACCTGCAGTCCTTCTCCAGCTCCTTCGACTCATCAGTGCAGTAGAAGAATCTGCCTTTGAAGAGCTGCACAGCAATGACGGCAAAAATGAACATGAAGAGCATGTAGACTATGAGGATGTTGAGGACATTCTTCAGGGAATTCACCACGCAGTCAAAGACGGCCTGGGGATGGGAACAAGGTTAGGGGGCTGCGAGGAAGGCAGAGGGCATTACCGGGCACCTAGCATCTACCTGCACGTGGGAGTAGTTACCCAACACATAACCCACGTGTGGTTTCATTGACTTGCACAGCATGTTTGGTGCATGCTCGCTGTGGGAAATAATTCTGGCTTCCTACAGCTCCTGCTTTCTTGGTGGGTTTGGTGTGCCACCGAATTCTCTGGTGCTGCCCGTAAAATTCATCAAGACAGAGAAATATTAGTCCTAAGCAAATATTCCCATGACCAATTATGAAATGAAAAATTTACTTGTGTTTAATTTATTCACAGTGAATAGGGAAAAACCTCATCAAATATGTTCCTCATTGACTGTTATTTGAACTGTTTGAATAATAAGAAAAATACACCAGATGCAAAACAATCAAATGCTTTGAACAATATTTCTTTCTAATGAAGTGTCTACCAAAATCAAGTGTGAATAATCTAGTCAGCATATGTCACTTCTGAACTCCTCACGAATAACTTCTCAAATACATTTATTATTTAGTTATTAGTCACTGATTCACTGTTACAAGTAATTTGCAGTTTAATTTTAGTCCGCGAAGTCTGTCATAATAGAAATGGAGCTGTGTTACTGCCTGAGCACGGGGTTTGTACAATAGTGTTTCTGTTTCTCTGAATGGCAGTGAATAATTCCCAGAATTACACTCCTGATGCAACCCAGAAACCCAAAATTAAAACACTGGAAGCATCTCTAATCACCCTATTAATCTTGCTGATTGTTGCATACAAGATCATATCCAGGAAAAAAAAAAGAAAAAGTATTTTGAACACAAACCATGTGAATATGACTTCTGCTTCATAGAGATTTCTGAATTCTTCTTTAGAAATGGTAAAATTACTCTGTAAAATGACTTGAAAATAAGGAAGGCATTCAATAAAAAGCAAACGTCGTGTTCTGCAATAAGGCAGAGCTGCTGTCGACTGTTGCACAACCCAAGAAATGTGCATTTCAGATTTCTAAACAAATAAAGACCATTTTCTACATTGTTCAACATTACTCTTCCTTATCTTGTGAGGTAAATTTAGTACGCATAAAAATGCATGAAATGAAAATTAGTTAGGCATGAATTGCGGGTAAGGACAAAGGCAAATCTGTATAATAAGTAACCCTGATTTTTACGTAGCATTATGTGAAAAGAGGAATTGTCAGACTTCGTTTCACCACTGCGCCAGCACCCTTTGCTTCTCCCCTATCTCCCACAGAAAAGAGCCTGAAAGCGCTGCTGACACACGAAGACGTTCTATAACAGATATTCCAGAGCTCCAAAACTCAGAAATGATTACATTTTGTAACTCCTTCCACCCTCTGCTTCCAGGGCTGGCTCTGTCTCAAAGCGTTCCTGAAATGGTGCTGAATAAGTAACCACAGGCCATTACATTTATTTTACTTTGTCACTTAGCATTCTAGAGATGAAAGGGTCCTGCTATAAGCCCCCGCGCTATATATTCTTTAATAGAAAAGATGAACAGATTAAAACTCCTCATACAGCAATGACATTTCTCCTTAGAAGGGCTGTGGAAAATCTTGCAATGTTCATATTAAGCTCTGTAGTGAAAGTCAAAGACTCCAAAGCCTATTTTCTCATGTATCATTTGTAGGAGCATCACATGTACAAACTGTAATTTAATTTATTTGCTTTTTTTTTTCTTTCTTTTTTGGGAACTTTGATTTCTTAATGTGGATTTGCAATAATTCATGAAATTGCATACAATGTTTGCAAAAGAAACAAGTGTTTGACATTTGCTAAACATCTGCACGGCTATTTTTACAAATCTGGCAAAGAGATTAATTGCAACAAAATAAAAGGAACAGAAATAACTTGGATGAAGTTTACCCCATCAGCTTCCATTTGGATCAGTTGCCAACCTCCAGAGAAAGAAATATTTGAGGTTATTCTCTAACCTTTAGTTTTGGCAGCCGTTTAATGGTCTTCAGTGGTCTTAGGACCCGCAGAACTCGCAGCGACTTGATTGTGTTGATGTCCTTTCCTTTGGTTCCTCTGCAAGGTATAGAGGGTACAAGAAAACAGAAAGAATAGTTTGGACCTTAAGGCCATGAAGAAAAACACCTGGAGAGAAACAGTTTTCTCACAGGTGTGGGTGCCAGCCTCACCACGGATGCCGAGTACTAGCCAGGACCACAGATGAGCGCCCACCTGGGACGCGTTTGCCACCACGCAGAAGGGACGCTTGGGCAGGACATGGACCTTGCCCTGTTGAGCCCCTCGGGCTCTCCAGCCACAGCTCATTTCCCTGAGTGTCCCCAGGGAACCAGAGGCCTCTTTACCCACCCAGGCAAGAGCCACGGCCGGGGCAGCCACGCACATGGGCTGAGGGCACTGGGAGAGGAGGGTCAGTGCGTCCACCCCAGCCACAGGCAGGAGAAGGAAGAAGGTCACACGTGGCACCCATCCTGCCCCAGGCACCTCGATGAGACAGGAGGATGTTTCTTTGTGCTTCTTGCACTTCTCCGGCAGGGAAGTGGTGTCTGGACAGGCAGGCAGTGACCAGAGGGAACTGGAGCCCTTGGGAGAGGGGCAGCGCTCTGTGTGCCCATACCCTCGTCCTCAGGTCTCTTTTGGAAGACATGCTACCAAACCCATGCTGGACCATGTAATATGATGGCATATTACATGCCTGGAGCAGTGCTAGGACAACTTCCCACTTACGCATGCAGATGCTGTAAGTCACATTTTGTTTTTAGTTTGTGTGTGTGCAAGACATGAGACCATTCCTCTCATTTCCATTAAAAGGGTTTAGGGAAGGACAGAGTTCCTTTCCTCGTGCACTTCCAAAATAAATGAAAAATAATTATTCCCCAACACACACCAAGACACAGTCACATCGTCTTCCAATCCAACAGCAAAACAATGGCATTCCCCTTCATTTAGTATGAAGTGAAAAATGGGATGGAAATCTTTAACAGCAATTTATTCATGACCATAGACTGGGTCTGAGACTCTACTGGAGTAACACGGGTGGGAATGGATAACATGTTGAGCAGATGTTGATATACCTATCCTACACTCTTTGCTTTGCTAAATAAAGTTTCTTTTCTCCAACAGGAAAGCAATAAAAACACAAACAACCCTAGAGACCCACAAGAGGTATGTGTTGGGAGCGGGCTGAAAGCTCCCCCAGCCCCTGTTAGCAGCCAGCTCTCTGTGCTGTGCTAAAAGAGAAGCCCCGAGAGGGGAAGAAACAACCTGATTTAATTCCTGACCGACCTCTTTGAGCCCTGGAACGTGGCTTTTTGTGATTTATCTGCTTACAAAAGACTAACAACTCAATGCTAAGACTGTTTGAATCAGTACAAATACTGGACTGGAATCTGCAACCTACAAACATGCATTCCCGTCTCATGTCCAGACTCTTTTTCCAATTATCAGTAACCGCTGCTGCCCTGAAATGCAATTGGAAGTGAGACACAGGGAGTTTTTGAGGGCCATAGGATACATCCCAATGACCTATATGTTGAACACAAGCTTCCTTGGCAGAATAGAAATGGAGTAGAGGAGGAGCAGGAGGGACCTTTACCTCTCCTCCTCCTGCCTGGTCTTTCAAGGGTGCTTTAGGGCCATTTTCAGCAGCTGCAGATGGAAGGTGCCTGCTCGCATGCCTGCAAGTCCAGTTGGTTGTACTAATACAGAGTTACAGGACTGCTTTAACTATGCAGAACCATTATATAGAGCAGAAGTGGAAACAGGTCAGCAGGGAGGAGACAGCACCTGGTCACCCAGCCATCACCTTGGCTGCTCCCTGTCCCCCCAGAAGGCCAAGAAAATTGATCCGGGCACTCCGTGTGGTCCAAGACTTGGGGTTTTACTGGGTGAAGAAGGCAGAGCAGAAGGGGGTGAAGAAGTAGGGTCTGGGGGATGCACGAGTGAGAGAAAAGCAAAGGTGAGAGGGTTGAGGGACATGTGGTTGGGGTAGCAGGAGGAAAAAAAAGGTATTAAGTAGAAGGCAAGGGCACATATAGTAAATTCTTGATCATTTATGGCCATGTTTCTGGTTTGCAGATACCCTCACAGCTCGGATTAGCAGCACAGCCACTTGCAGGTAACACTTGAACTAATAAGCCTTGACAGTCTGCATCTGGTTCCAGGCAGACACACACAGTTTCTGCACTGTGTCTTCTAGTACTCTTGATTCCAGGAGGTCTAAAAACCTCTTTGCTATGCTGCCGTGCATTTGTGTCAAATAGCAATTGTACCAGTCAGGCCTGCTGGAGGTGGAGTTTGGGATGGGAACAGTGATGCTTCTTGGCTCTGAAGGAACAGCTGAGGTCTTAGAGGGCTTGCCCCAAGCCTGGAGCAGTAACCTCTGTAGATTTAATAGTGCAGGAAGGTTAATCCAACCTTCTGGGGACTAGTGAATAGATGGAGCAGAGTAAATCCTGCTATATGACAGAGGAAGCTGCTTTTCCCTTGCCCAGGGAGGCGTGCAGACTGCACTGAGAGCTGGGAGGTGGGAGGAAGATAGCTCCAGTCCCAGGAAATTCCTTCTGCCTCAATGAAGAACACTAAGAAGAGTTTTCTTTTCCTTTTTTTTTTTCTTCTTCTTTTTTTCAGGCACATAAGCAAATAAAGAGCATGAGCTAATTAAATGTTAATGGGATTTATGATCTAAGTCATATAGAGGATCCTGAAAAATCCTCTAAGAGTCTTGCTATAAGAGAAAACCCTTCTGAAGAACTGGGACTTTGAACCAGAGCAATGCAAACTGCACTTTGATGAAATGCAATTTTTGCAACTATTTCAGCCTGTCAAATAAAAGCTTAAGAATTGGTTTTGGTGTTTGTAAGAGACCCCTCTGTCAGTATTGTTTTTTTTTTACACCCCTCTAGTACAAAGCCAGTATCCTAAGATAAAAGGTCCAGATGGAACTAAGATTCAATCAAAAGCTGCATACAAGCACACGTTGACCAGAGCAGTCCCAACTGCATATTTCATACCACAAAAATAAATTGATGTGGAAGGAAAAGATTCTGCCCTTAGGTGAACAGCAGAATAACAACTAGCGAATTCAGAAGATCTACAGAAGAGCAAGCAGGAGAAGGACAGACAGCAAACAGAACCCCAGTGACTGGAAGAAAAAAAAAAAAAGAAAAACATTACATTGGGTCAATTCAGGTTGCATTAGGCTGCTTCAGTCTTTCCTGGGGCAGTTTACAGCTCAGTTATTTAAAACATTAAAAATATTTAAAAAGCTTTGTGTGGCCTTTTCCCCTTTAATAAATAAACGATCCTTTAAAAAATTAATTGCTCTATAAAGCGGAAGCTTCTTGTTTCTGTTGCTCTTGCGAGCAGCTCTGATTTCACGTACAGGGCCTCTCAGAGCCACACCATCAAATATTCAGAGCAGGGTGGAGCCACCGCCTCCTGCAGCTGCCTGAACTCCCCAGGCAGAGCAAATTCCTCCAGCGGTGGCAAACAAGGGCACCCAGCCCTGCCCCGGCACAAAGCTGCCTTCTCCCAAGGGGCCCAAGGAGCCGGAGCCCTAGGCAGAAGACAGAAAGGAGTACCCGGTATCTTGGATCTCAAAAGCCTTTTTCTTTGCATCTTTTCCATCTCATCTCTCGGTGGGCTGCTGCAGAGGAGCCCACCCCAGCTCCTGCCCTGCAGGGGCTGCTGCGTGGCACCACCACGTCCCATCTGGGCCACCAACCCAACAGCCACCTCCTGTAGGTGGCAAAGCCCTGCTTCTCCTACCTCCTCCTTTTAGAATCATCCCTGCCACCTTCCCAGCAGCTCTCCTGCTTTGTTTCCACACCAGGAGCTGACAGCTAGGGCTGGGTCGCGTTGCCCACCCTGCACAAAGCCAAGCCTGAAACCTTCAGCACTAGCACAATTTAGACCATCAAGCCTCTAAATGAGAATAATTCCACTTCTTTAAAACTAGTTATTAAGATTTTTGTGAGCTGCAACTCACACATATACCGACTAAATCATTCCCTCAAATCTTTTTTGGTGCAAATAGATCTGTTTATCATAGCTGCTGAATTTCTGGTCAAATGCAACACTTGTCACCTGGCTTTCTAGTCTGCTTTTGTCCTCTAGGTAAAGGAAATTGGAATGAATGAGAACTGTTGAGGAAAACTACATTTCACTGAATAATGTGACAAAGGAGTCAATGTAATGGGTGTAACATGGTTCATTTCCACAGTGGCAAGTGTGTGTACACATATTTGACAGGCATAACAGTGCAGCAAGATACAGGAATAACATATTACCCCATGAAACTCCTAGAGAGAGATTCCAGCAAGAAGAAGACAAAGAAAGAGCAGAGTCAATGACAAACATAAGGCTATACAGTGCACCCCATGCACCTGCAGACACGTGCTGGCAGAGAATCCCATCCCATCCCGCACCCACCAGCTCAGTGTTCATAAAAATCAACAAGTGAGGAAGCAACAGACTGGCTATACAGCATATACCCACACATCCCCCCGCAGAGCATCAGCCCTTCTACTGACAAGCAGCAGGGCAAATGTGCCTTCACCCTACTGACACTTCGGGAGGTAATAACTTTGGTTGCTTGGCAAATGCCGTTTCATTTTTCAAAGAAATAGTGTGAAATTCTATGCATCTCAACATAGAAAAGCATCTCAACACCTTTCTGGTGTTGAAAATGTAGAACTGCAATCTCTTTGCTCCTATTCATCAGCTATTCCTATGGAACAAATGGAATTTACACCTGGGGCTGGTAAATTTTGATGACAAATTTACTTGCTTGCTTTAAGCTCTTCTATTTCCCTAAAGACTACAATACGCCTGTATTTTTGTGGAATGTTCATCTGCAGAAAAAGAAAGGTATTTCCCTTTGAAATGCATTGCTAAATGGAGGACATTATTTTATCATCATCATCAGTATTAGTAATCTTTCTAGCATCTCACTGGGGATCTTGCTTTCAAAGTTGTTTGAACTACAGTCAAGCACAGAAGAGCTTCTAGAGCTGCAGGCAGAAGGCAGGCTGCTTTGAAAGGCTGAGATTAATGTTATGTACCTTGCAGCAGTCACTGATACCAACCCATACGGCTAAACAAACAGGCTGTTGGGGTATTCCAGGTGGAAGGGTTTCAGGGAGGTCTGTTTTCCCTAGGTTTTCAGGGACACATCTGTTCAGCAGGAAGGTAAACCACACCACCTTTACTGGACAGCCACCAGGTCAAGAACGTGCACGAGTTAAGTCACACGGACTGAGTGGCAATCACATATTCTTGCAAACAGAAACTACTCACAGCCACATTAAGTACATTTTTACAGTAACACAGGTGATGAGTGACAGGACTCTAGTATTTGCTATCAAAAAAAACACTAACCAATGGAGATTACCCATTTTTTTTTCTCCAAAAGCTCATTTTCAGGATTATCAAAATTCAGCAGGGTCAGTGCATCTATCTGGCTTAACCAAACAATGCAGTTGAGCTAAGGACATGTCTATCTACCCCACTCTTATCTGTACAGCCTGAGACTTGTTAGTATTCATAACTGGAGTGGTGGGAACAGAGAGCAAGTCATCTCCTACGAATGACTGGATTTCCTGCTTTCAGATTAGACAAGAGATACCACGAGGATTCTCTGAATTGGATGTCAACACTTGCTGCCAGCTGAAGTATGGGCACGCAGCAGCAGTTAGAATCATAATAAGAAATTTCAAAATTTTCCGAGCCTCAGAAATAGGTTTGACTCACTTTAATCTGTGAGATAGTAAATAGGCAGACAGGTTTTATTCATTCCCTTCTGTAAATCCCTGCTCAATAATTGCTCAAAGAGCATGTAAAATAGAAACAGCTTGGGGCATGCTATTATGAAGCACAGTCAGGGGATGTACAAGTAATTTATTTAGAGGCTGATGAGGGGCTGTTAGATATTCATGGCCCAACGTGAGCAATGGGAAACCTGAGCACAAAACAACTCAGAAGGATTAAAAATTATTAATTTTAATCAATAACTTGTCCAAAAGAAAATTTTGTTTAAAGAGAAGATGTTTTAGATGCAAGCCCTGATGTTTGCTCTTGCAGAACAAAGCTGCTCTGAAGGGTTTACCTACTGCCCCTTCCCCAGTCTGTCTTCAAGGTTTGAATTCCTAACGGCAAAAGGGAAATTTTCAGTGAATCACAGACTGCAGCAATAATGCTTTGCACACTAATACTTGTGACTAATGTAATTTGACTTTTATCTCTCTCTTCAGCCTTTACATCTCAAAACAGATTTCCTTTACAACAGAGCACTCAGCCTCTCTGAAAGCTGATTTCTAATGAATAGTGACAAAGTCTCCAAAGAGGGAGGGCAGCCTCCCTTTGAAAAGCTTGCGTTGGGCATGACTGGCTCCCAGATCAAAACAATTCTTCAGCACAGGACTAGGCACAGAAAGCCTGTCTCTATTCAAAAATTTGCCACTGTCACCTCCACTAAAGGACAGCAAACGCTGCACACCTTGATCATCTAATCAGATGCAGGAAGGTTCTGGTCACAGCTGATAAAAAATACAAGCACAGAATTGAAGAATTTGTGCATTCTTCAGGTGTACTTTCTCTAATCCATCTTTAATCCATCCTCCTTGGAAAAAGTGGCACAGAAGAGGTGATATTCCTCAACTGGCTCAAAAACCATACCAGCAATTCCATCTCCTGCTCATCTGCTCCTTGGCAGGAGTCAAAGCAGCTGAAATATTTTTTACCCAGCATTTGTTAAGAAGAATAAAAGATCTAAAACAAAAATCTCACAGCCATCATGTGAAAGGGACTTTGGTATCTCAGAAAATAAATTAAAAAAAAAAAAATCCTGAGAAAAAATCCAGGCCAACATTACCAGAGAGACCCTGGTAACATTTTTTTTCGTTGGTAGTGACATGAAAGCACGTAGGAAGAGCAGCAGATACGGCCATCTGCCTAAATATTGCCATCAGTCTAAAGTACTCAAGACACGCTTTCACAGTTTCCTGACAAAGGTGAATGCTTTTTCTCATTAGCAAGTAAAACACTGCTAATTTCTTCATCTTCATTAATCATCATGTCAACAAACAGGTGAGTAGATTTTGGGCACGGGCTGCTAAACATTCACTGTAATTACTCAACACTAATTTAGCAGAAGATTAAACTGGCCAAGTCCCGAAGCCTGTTTCCAGGTCAAGTCCTAGAATTCCTCAGGAACATTTTTGCGCTATGATTACTCCGTGGCCCAGAACTACAGGGAGGAAATGTCTTTCCTCGGTCCTACTTTGAGCTCACAAATTTGGAGGAACCTGCATTGCTCTTCCTCTGGCCTGCTCTGAGAAAAAAAATGTTCAAACTGAAAGCTAATCTTCATTTTGTAAAAATGAATCATCTATGTATGTTGCTCAAAACCCTTTACAACATTAAGGAACCCCATGGAGCATTATTTAATGTCCTAAATAGAGAGCAGTGATTGAGGGAGCAATTAGCCTTAAAGTGAAACTCTGTGGAAATGCAAATACACTGAATGAGAGAGGAGGAGGAGAAATACCAAAGGTATATGAATCAGAAACATCCACGACTCTAGAAAAAATGTTCTGTAAACAGTTCACAGAGCTATCAGCTCAGTTCATCAATTGTTTTTCCATAGTAAGAACAATTTTAAATAGAATTGCCTGAAGACAGAAGACTGCCACAAACGGTTATAATGCTTCCTTGAAAAGAAGTTGGCCAGAAGGTCACAAAAATCTTGGCTCAACGTTTGAATGAACAGCAGACAGACTCACCCTAAAGCTGGGAGAATTTTCAAGAGATTCTACAACATGAATTTAGAGCTTTTTTCCCCCAGCTCTAAGATGATAAAAGGTAAAAATTGAACATTTTGCTGAGAAATGGAGCCACAAATACTACACTTCAACTAGCTCTGCGCTGTGATCCTGCCTCCCTTGCAGCTTATTTCCTAGAAATTGGGGTGTTAAGGAAGATGTACTTACGAGAAGGCAAATGCCACCAAGGCCCCACTGACCACAATGAAGTCCAGGATATTCCACAGGTCACGGAAATAGGAGCCTGGGTGCAGTAACAGCCCCAAGTCAATCATCTGCAGGGGAAACACATCAGAAGAAGGTTTTTTTTTGGGGGGGTGGAAAAAAAAAAAAAAAGTGTCAAACCAGTGTTACTGAGGTACAGGAAGCATCCTCGATCAAATGACCCTTCACAAACCCTTCTTCAGTGTTCAACCACCAGGGCAACACTGAGGTACTGTGTGTCTCTTTAGGCACAAAAAGCAAAGCCAAAGCTGAAGCCAATAAAATGTAACCAAAAGCATGACAGAAAAAAGCACTATCTGCTATAGAGGGTTCTTTGCGCAGACATGCATTAGTTTATGGGAACAGCCATCTGCGCGTCAAGCATCGAAATAGTTTAAGTTTATTCTACCTCAATCCCACCAGATTTGTAGTAATTAACACTTGGAATAGGATATTACATAATAAAACTCAAAGAGAGAACGGAAGACCCACAGCCAAATGCGGCAAAGAAAAACGCCCACTCTGGAGCAGTCGCTGGAGGCTGCTGCTCAGCGCACGGCCTCGCTCGCTTCTGTACACGGCTGAGTCTTCCTTGTAATGCTGCTAAGGATCTTCTAAAAATCGAGCCTGAAAGTGCTTGCCAGAGATTTGATCAGCTTTCTGAGAGTTCTGCAACTGCCCACGTAAAGTTGCTTTTCTCAGATAGCTTCAAATCCTTCCATTGAGCAAACGAGAGAATCTGTTTTTGCTTTTTAAAATCATTTACTTTAAATATTTTTTATTCTGCATCTCTTTTGCATCTTGCTCTGACAGTAAAAAAATAACTCCATCTTTACACCTAGAATAAATTTTGTTAAATTTGCTGGAATTATGCTTTCTGGCAAGTTACTGCCCCACATTTTCAGTTAAGCCCATCAACTCTGCTAAGCAAAGTACAAAGATGAATGCTCAACTTTTTAAAAAATGGTAAACCAAGCATCAGCCGTAATTAGTGTTCCTGATCGGCATCAAAGGAAAAGGGAAGAAGCAGACGTGTCTCAGTAAGGTCTATCAGCTCCTGTGTCCTGAGCCACGCACAGACGTTTCTGCATCACGCACCCACATTTCATAGCCTCTTACACAACCACAGCTACTAAAGATATCCTTATTTTCCTGCATGAAATGTGAGACTGGAAAAAATTAGGAAGGCAGCTACAGAGAAGCATCTGTTGTGCATTGGCTACTTTTGAGTGCTGTTCCTGATTTAAAGCTTTTTCATCACCAACACCTCCCAGGCACCCCAGGAAGCTCTGCCGTGCTCCACCCTCTTTCTGCAGGTTCCCAGAAATAGATGAGCGTGGATCTGACAGGGGACACAAACACTTCTTTTTGGAAAAACTCCTACCTTGATCACCATCTCGAAGGTAAAGACACCCGTAAATATATAATCCAAGTATTTCAGAGCCTAAATTGGAAAGAGAAATGAGTATTAGACCACACACTGAAATGATCTGCACATGAGAAAAGTGTAAAATGTTTCTTCTAGCAATAGTCTTCTTGCCCCAGTGTCAGTGGATAAATGTCATCCCATGGGAGGCTGTCAAATAGTTTAGGCACACACTTGAATCATCTAATTTAAACACCAACATTTTTCCCAGTCCTTTCTAGACTGCACAAAGTCTGCCCATGGGCCGCTTCAGTACACCTGCATACATGGCAGGACTAATAAGGCAAAATGGGTATTGGAAATCAGAATATTCCAGTAACTTTTTCCTAGAGATCTTATTTGCCGGCATCTGTGTAGCAGTATGGGGTTTTCTGCTGTAACTGATGATAGCATTATTAAAGACATCGCGAATGTAAGAGTGATAAAATCCTTTTGTTAAAGCTCATTGCACAGTTATTAAGGATGAGGAAGAAAGATAGCTTGTAGATACTTCGGCTCATTACTGCTATCGGGATTCCTCAATCCTCCTCTGGAAACAGCTCATACTGACCAGATTCAGAGCTGGCTACATACCACAGCTACCCACATTGAAATAATTCAAAATTAGGCAACTGCACAATGCAATTTCTGTACTTAACTTCCAGCTCTGCACACCCTCAGGTGATCACCTAATGGCTCGATGTCCTCCTGTGGTTGTGCTTGAGACCAGACACCCAGCTATCTGCTGCACAGACCAGTGCTACCGGGCTGCGGGCACCCACCTGAAAGGTGGCACACTCCTTCTTCTTATAACATGAAGTGAGTTTGGCTTGATACCCACAGATGAATAGATTTTCTACTTATCCTAGATCATTATTATAGATCATAGATTGTAGGTTTGCCCCCAGATCACCCACTCGCCAGTGCATCGTGCTCTCCTCGTGAGATGAGGATGGATGTGCCACGTGTGTAACCGCTGGCAGAAGCAGAACAACTTTGTTCTGGCCATGCCGTGCAGCACTCACATCATTCCTCGGTGACTCAGCTTGGACAGGGTCTTCTGCAGCCAGGGCAATGCTGCTGAGGGCTATCACTATGAGGATGACCATCTCAAAGTAGCGCAGGTTGACAATGTAGTGGAACAGACGCCGAATCCTGCAAACAAAAGCACGTGGGAGGACTTCTGCAGGTGCTGAAAAGTCAAGCACTGCAGCAGTACAGAAGATTGGCAGAAGGACAATGTTCAACAGGAATATCACCTTTAGGATTGCTAGCACAATAATGGTAAGAAAATAAAAATCAGGATTAATGGCTTTAATCTCAGGTTTGCATCAGATCTGCGGTGAGGTTTAAGGCAAGACATTTGACATATCTGCACTGGTCTCTGCCCCTTCCACAAAGCAACGACATGTGTCTGTCACAAGACATTGAGAGCTTTGAGTATTCGGACTCAGTTCTACAAATTATACTTACATGCCCCTTAAACCTATTCACTCTGAGCTCACAGGCAGAAGTCCTGTGAGTTCAGAACTAGTTTTGAAATCCTTACAGTATCAAATAGTCCCTTTGAAACTGATATATGCTATGTACTTTGAGACTCTTAGCAGAAACTGGCTTTGTATCTATGACTATTATTTCTAGTAAGCTCTCTTCCCAAGTACCTCTGACTGCACTTTATTCTAAGCCATTCTTTATAAGCTGGACAAATACTTTACTGTAGTATATTTGATTACTTTAACCTAATATTTTGCTTCACAAATTGTATTCAACAAAAGTGACAAATGCTTCATTTTCTAAGCAATGCAAAACTATTCATAAATTTCAGCTAATAGCTCTCTATCTGAACACAGTTCACAAATATTTCACTGCAAACACGGAGATATTTGCATTGTCAGATGAAAAAAGGACTTAGGTTCTGCCCCAGAATCAAATTATATGTGTAACTAACCAACAACCTTGTTATCTGAGAATGTAATTCAGTTACTATATTGCATTTTCTCTAGCCAAATACCTGAACAGTTGGATTAAATTTCAATTTTCACATCTACTTATATATTCTTTTTCTCTGGATTACTAATGGATGCAGAATGAAAAAGAGCTACAAATACCAAGGAAACAGATTTGGTATGAAACAACATGAAGAAAAGCGCTTTTGTTGTTGCCTTAGTTTTGGTTATCCACCTGACTGTAGAGGTTTATCATCTATGTGCTCTGTGAATCCCTAGAAATGAAAAGCAACATTTTCGACAGCGTTTGTAACTGTAAATCATGCATCAAACTCAATTCAGCGAAGAAATAACAAGTGCCTATTTTGAGATCTTCATCATTTGTAACAAGCAATGAGAAGCGGAAGCATTAGTAAACTGCCAGTGGTGCTTGAGAAATCGTATTAATTCTTGTGTGTTTTAAGAGGGTGGGTGGCACTTTGAAAGGAATACATTTTGTTAATGTTTCCCACAGCTGTTTTTGCCCATTAGCAGCACCCGGGTCGTGCATCCTCAGTGGAGTTTGGAGAGGAGATATTTAGAAATAGATGTGGTGAAAAACTTAGCAACAAGGTTTCATGAGAAAGCAGAAAGACCTCTCTCGAGAAGCTAGCACCAGCACCTGAGGGGATACAGCTGGGTCTGCACCTTGCCCAGAAAAAGAGAAACAAAATTTTGACATCCTTAGAGTTTGGACTTTCTGTTATTATTTCCCTTTGGCCCTGTGTTATAATACCCCTCCTCCAGTCAACTTTTTTTTTCAATGGCCATTTACTATTTACATTTACATTGTGTGGAGGTGCTGGAGAAACAGGCAAGAAAATTCAACTACCACCAAATCCTGATGATGAGGCTCAGGACAAGATGCAAAAAGACAAGCACGTGTACAAAATGACAAAGCCTCGCTGGGCTTGGGGCCACCTAGCTTCCTGTTGTCAGTGCTCCCTACAGCAACCTTTTTGCAAGTAACACTCATTTTTAGCTGTCATGTCACAACAAAAAGACTTGAGTTACCAAACAATGGGGAAATACTGTTTCGTTATGCAACCAGATGTGGCCCAAGCTCCATAATTCAAGACTGCTGCAGAAAGTTTAATTTTCTATTACACCGTGGGTCGGTTCATTTCCTTTGGAGATTAGATTAGCAGCAGTTTGGGGTCACTCTCCCTCATATAACATCTGGCATTAACAGAGAGCCTCCAGCTTCCCTTGCTGACAAACTCTGCCTGCCCACACACTCGTAGCTGGAGCATCCTGAAGCACATAGGGCTGTAGCCTGAATTACGTTGTAGGCACTTGCGTTTAAAGAAGGGATTCATTCAGCCTGCTGTGCAGGGGTGCCAGACCACAGCCCCCACCCCACCACAGATGCATTTCTGATGTCAAAGATGAGTGCACTGAGCAGCCCCAGTTTTACTCCGCTGACTGCACAGGCAGCCAGGACATCACAGCCCCCAGCAGGAGATGGCAGGGAGCCAGCCTCAATTCCCTTGAGTCCAGGTGCCAAAGGAAGGACCTGAGTCCACCTCAGGAACCTGAGTGAGCAGAGGACAGCCTCAGAGAACATCTAGGACCAGCAACACATCTATCTTGGCCAGAGAGAAATGATCATGTCTGCTCCTAGCAGATATCTGGGCTGGCAGAAGTTTCAGACACCCTCTGCTGCCCTAAGTTACTGCTTTAAGTGACTCACAGGCCTTTATGCTACAATTATTATAGCCCCTGCTGCACTCGTCTAGTCCTGTAGCCCTTCAAAGCAACACATTCTCTATTTACAGGCTTTGAGTACAAAGCTCCCCATGAGGCAGAGATGCCTGAAGCAGAAGAAATGCTGTAATCCCAACATATCCCACAAGCCGTACTTTCAGCCTTAGCAAATGAAAAATATTCACGCATTTCCAGAAGTTCAAAGTTAGCAGTGATGCCAGGGTGCTAAGACAGAAAGCGCATGAATTTCAGCTGAGGATCCTGCAAGGATTTGCTGCCATCAAAACCACCCCATAGCCTGCTGCTCCAGGTAACCTCTTCTCCCAGTGGTGCCCCATGTCCCCCCCTTTGGCAGGCACATTTCCTTCAGTGATCTGTAACTGAACACAGAATTGCCCACCTGACCATCAGCAGGGCAGTTAGGAAGGGACTGCCTAAACCATCTCTTCCCTCTACTGGCAATTTATTACCCTAGAAAAGCTGAGCTGAACAGCAGCATCTGGTCTGCAGCCTACATAAGCTTTTATTTTTTATAAGCTTTTTTATCTTTCCGAAGTGTTTGATAGGCAGAGATGAAGATCAAGCTAATGATATTTGTCTGAATACCCATGCCTGAAGTGCACGTAATCGATGAGCAGCATTATAGAGTCAAAGGACTTACGGGTTTGTAGGACTTAGGATGAACATGGAACTGTAAGGCAAGATTGGTTTAGGCCCGTTTTTTGTCAAGTCATCAACGTCCTTCTTCTCCTCTGTTTTACTTTCAAACTCAACGTTGTTCACTGAAATGCGAATTCAAGGAAACAGAAACAAAAGAGTTAAAAATGCATCTCCACTCTTCACAGAGCAGGCTGCCTGCAACAGCTGGATATGCAAACAATGCAGCTGGGATAGAAAACAGCCTTTGAATATGTTGATTAAATGTGATGAACAATCATTTGATTATTATCACTGCTACTTACTACAGTATGATATACACTGCAATTATACTCCTTAACCGCTGCACTGATGAGCAATATATCAGAAATGGCCAGGAAATGAAGATGCCCAGTGGAGACAAAGAAACCTTGCATTTATTTGTACAAGATCTGCCAACTGGGGATGGAATTCCATCCCAAATATCATAAACCACTGGGGAGAGAAGATCGGCTAGGGATCCTTGGAAAGAAAAAAAGACAGTAAATCTAACCAACCCCATAATTCTGAATCTTTTCCTATGGACCAGCAGCAGAATTGGTTTGGAAACATGTAAAAAAGCAAATTCATAGATGAGCTTTAATAATTCTCAGACTAAGACTGCTGAACCTTCCAGCATTAGGAGCAGAGGCTTGGAAAGGACTTCTTGGACCACCCAGCTCCATGCCTGCATAGTGTACCCCAGTTTTGGCAGAGCTCCCCATGTACAAAAAGTGTCAAGCTCCATCTCACAACAGATTTTTAACTTACAGGATCCCATTTCAGAAGATTGTTCTGAATCTCAGTCCCAGAAGGTTAGAAATACATCCTATAATTTCCATTATAAGTTTACTTGCAGTGGGTTTATAAGTTAATTTACTTAAGATAATGCTCAATATATGAACTAGAAGACATTTTATGCTGCAAATTCTTTTCTTAGACAGATAGATACACTTGTCTATTAATTCACAGGACCTAGCATCCCAAACCCCCACCCACTTATAATCTGTTGGATGAAGGTTTTTTATTACTTTTTATTTTGTTTTGCAACAAAATGACATTTCATTGCGTGTGAGTGACATGTTCAATAATTCCTTACTGTATCTCAAGCCAGATACACAGGAAATGGCCAGGAAAGAGAGAGTCTGATAAATTGTGATTGATGGGAACTCAGCGCTGCAACTGAGTAAAATTACCATCTAAGAAGAAAAGAAAAAAGAAAAAAGACAGGCAAGTCTTGTGTAACTGACAATGCTGTGGAAAATCACGTAGAGAAACCATTAGCTCTTGGCTGTGCCCCTTGAAAGAAGAGTTCTGACAGCCCACAACCTAAGGTGGACCTCCTGAATTTCACACTGTGCCTCTCCTTAAGAGGAGAGATTTTAAAATTATGCAGCCTGCGAGCACCCAAAGCAGCAGGGTCACACAAGAGGCATTGTGAAGCTTGTACAGCCATGAAGGACCTGCTGTTCTGTGGTCAGGCCACACAATAAACCAAGAAGACCAAATTCAGTCTGTGGGCTCTAACACAACACGATTGCCTCCCTTGTCCCTTGCCTGAGACCAGCCAGGTCCCTGGGGCACCAGAAGAACCCCAGCAGAGCACTGGTGCACTAGAAGCTTGCAGCATGGCAGCAGAGGAACACAGAGGAGCCAATCCTGTGCTCACAGCAAGGTCTGCTGGAAGAAGTTGCTTATTTTGCTGCACAGCTCTCAGTTACTGCACTTTGTGGTCCTTCTTGCTCTTTATTCTCTCTGATCTCCAGCTGACCCGTGAGGGTCACGCATAACATGGGTGTGCTCTGGGTGAACCATCCGCAGGAAACCTTGAGATGTTCTCCAGAGCCACCAGGCGACCCTTCTGCATGACCCATAGAGCCTGTTTTAACACCAAGATCTCCCATCCTACCACAAGGATGCTGGTGGCCAGTACAGACCATCGCCCACTGTGCACAGGTAGCACCTTGGACAAATAGCTCTTCTCTGGCAATTTCAGAGCAAGTGGACAAAGGCACTCACTTGGTATGACAGTGGTTTCTCCCGGCGGGGCAGTGATGGTCACGGGGATGTTCACAGTGGTGGTTTTGTCCAGAGGTGGCTGAATCATGCGCGTCACGTTCTTCTGGTTGTCGGCATCTTCTGGCTGCTCGGGCACTTTCTGCAGGTAGGTGCTGGGAAGGGTGTGCACGGGGACGCTCACGCTTCCGCTAGCCTCGATCTCACACTGGTTCTCCCTAAGGCAGAAAAGCAAATTTGAATAAATACGGCCTGACAAAGGCTCAGAGAACATATGCTGCAGCTCTTGGTAGGTTTTGCTCGACTGTTTTCTACATGGAAGTGCTTTGCAGAAAACTCACACACTGTAGGAAAACTTACTGAAAGCACAGTATGTGACTTTTACCTCCGAGAGCTTCTGAACCAACACCCAAACACAACATTAAGAGGAACTGTGTCACTGAAAGTAACTTTATTCTATTTAATGAGACTTGGGACGGAGGTTCCTGGGTACGGACCACATGGCACTTGCATATAGCAGTGTCATTAGCTCTCCAGCGTCAGCTGCTTTCTGAATGAAGTCTGACATTCTGCTGCTTAAATGTTCTCCCGAGGCCTTATTTAAATTTGGTGACTCTCTTTTCCAATCCTGAACCACTTTGTAATGTTGTTGCAAATGGCTTCTGCAGCTATTCCTCTGCAGCAGCAGCGATATTTCAGTGAGGAGGAAAGTGAGCTTGGGCACATGATCAAACTAAACAGTATGCAAAGTGTTTTGATATCCATCTGAAAGGAAGATAATATAGACAGGAAAATGATTATCTCAACGCCACTCACAGCTCTACATGGTGACATGAACTCTATTCTAAGGAATCCCAGTGAAATTTCTTCTCCATCAGATTAATAAAGCTGAAAAGGCAATCTATCCTCCTTTATTAACTACGCTAAATGCTTCACCAGTACGAGTTTTCTCACTTGACTTACGTAAGAATTAAGCAGACTGGGATACATCATTGTTCTTAATGGAAGAAGCCGCTTCCCTCACGGCCAAGTGCTGTAACAACTGGTGATGCAGCCCAAAGGCTCAGCATTAGAAAAGAGAAAACCTAAAAGACTCTAGGACAGACTGGATTCCATATAAAAGTATGTCACTCAGAAACACCAGGTTCCTTCAGAGGCTGTGAAATTCTCCGCCTTGTGCAGACTACTTGTCCCAGTGTGTCTGTTGGTTTTGAGATCAAGGATAATTTCCTGCCTTAACCCTGAGCCACTCTGTGGGCCAACATGGATCAGAATCATCCTTGGGAGCCTCTTTTGTTACTGATTTAAGCAAAATGAAACTGCAGGTTACAGCAGTAACCAGCATAAGTTCAAGAACAGCAGGGAATGCCGCAGGGAGGGGAATAACCTGATTTCTGAAAGGCATTTGGGTTCTCACAGCCTCCGAGCTGCCACAGGGACGTGTCTGACTGCTCACTTACTTGGGCTGATGATTCCGGTGCTCCTTCTCTCCAGCCTCCCCCTCCTTCTCCCCATTCTCCTTCTCCACCGAATCGTACGTCGACAGCGCCCTGTTCCTGAACCTGTGCCGTCTGTGAGGCTCTTCTCCGTTCTCGCCCTTGGAACAGGGCTCTCCTTCCCGGTTCCCAGACCTCGACCCTCCCCGGTGTCGGGAACGCCGCTCGCCCCGGGCCCCGTTGATCGTCCCGTTGCCTTCCTTGCCCTGCCTTTCAGCAGAGTGCCGGTGAGTCCGATGCCTACGGTGCTCCTTCTCAGCACCTTCCTCCACCGACCCTCGGCGGTGGTGCCTCTTTCCCCCTTCCTGGCCCCTGGTGCGGTCACTTTTCCCTTCCTTGCTGCACCCTTCCACCTCCTTGCTGCGGCTCCTGTGCTGCCGGTGCCTCTCCTCCTTACTGTTGGTGCCGGACTCCCCGTTCTCCTCCTTGGTCACATCGCACTTCTCTTGCTCTCCCAGTTTGTCCTTATCCCGATGCCGGTGATGCTTTCGTGGAGCTTCTGCTCCATCGGCAGAGCTGCCCTTGCTCTGCTCCACCTCCTGCACGTCCCCAGGGCTCAGCTTGCTGATGTTGTTCCTCCCTTCGCCCCTCGGCTCCACCACCAGCGGCCGGTCCAAATGCGTCTTCATGTCGGGACGGATGTGGAGGGTGGTGGCGTAACGCACCCGCTCCTCAGGATCCAGCTCGTTGTACAGCGCCTCGCAGCTGGCTCGGAAATTGTGCATCCGGATCTGGCTGGTCCTCTGCTCCCACACTGACTTGGATTTGGAGGAGTTCTGCTGCTTGCTACGGAGGGGAGGAAGAGGGAAAGTGAGTATCAAACTTTGCACCAGTTCCCTAGAAATCAACCACCCCCAAAAAAAAATAATTAAAAAAAAAAGAAAGGAAATTTTCAGCTGAGACAGGGTGTTATAGAGGGTAGAGCCAGAGAAGTTATAGGAATGGAGAGAGAATGGCTGGCGGAGAATATGAGCAGGGAAAGCCAGCAGGATCATCCGTGTTAGTTTGCCCCCACACGCTTTAGGCACTATGAAACGGGCCCTCAGGAAAGGATCGTCTTGCTTTCTAAAAGGCAATGATCCCCCTTGAACACCTCAGGCATAGTTTGGAGGGTTAAAGTCAGTACTCACAGAGACTGTATCGCACAACCAGAGCTTTTAAATAGCCTGCAGGGCTTCCCCAAAAAATCACAGCACCTTTCTGTCCACCTGGAAACGTCTGGATGAGCAAATTAGTGTCCAACAAGTGACAGGAGGAGCAAGGGGAGATGAAACCTGCCCCTGAGGGCCCTACCACCAGCCCCTGCAGCGAGAGGTGCCCCTCTGCAGGCAGGACAGCCCCTGACAGAGCAGGGGACACTGCTCCAAACCCAGGGCATCCAGCCCAAGCATCACAGGAGTCTGGAAAAGTTCAAGAAAGGAAGGAAAACTGTTCTGCATACCAGGGACTGGGGATCACACATAGATGCAGACAATGCAAGCACCTGGAGAGACTTATTGCTTTTCTTCTGTTACCTACTACAGTGAGAACACCCCCATTGTCAATGCCTTCATGCTTTGATTTTTTTGGCACAGCACCCGGTTTCTGACCACCACACGTGAATGTGTCACGTACCCAGCCACTGCAGGAGGAGAAGCCTTTTCTCCTTTCCTCCTAAACATTGTAAATCAAATATCTGCAAATTCTGCTTTCCCATAAAATCAAAGTAAACCCCCTGGCTTCCATGGGGGGGGGGGAGTTCTGGATTTAGCCTGGTTGAAGTTGGCACCTTTTTTTCTTCCTTAATGAAATTACTTCTAACAAAAGAGAGGAAAATCATTTTCCTTCCACCGAGCTGCTCAGACATCTCCATTTGCTGCGCATTAGCCTGACCTCTGCAGCCAGAGGGGCTGCACAGGGCTCACGAATCTCCTCTGCTCCACACACGCCCCACAAGGCTGTGGAGACAGGGAGGCAGACGCAAGCTTCCTTACGTACTTTGTGGGCTCCCCTGACAATAGCAGAAGGCAGCCTTTGCGTGCGTGCGTGCTGATTCAGAGTGTCAGGGTCTGTCGCCGTGCTCGGACCCCGGGGAGGCAGCATTCAGATGGGCTCACGGAGCACAGCGGGAGCTGTCGGAAAGGCTTTGCATCTCAGATGCTTTGCTGTTTTTTTTTTTTTTTCCTTTTTTTTTTCTTCTTCACTGAGGGTGCTGTTCCCCGGTTCTGCTAAAAGAGGTAAAAACCTACTTAAATGTTCACTGAAAATGGGATGAGGGCATCCAGGAATTGTGAATGAATCTGGTTTAACCCAGAAAGAAGAGAGAGCACAGCTTAGCACTGAAACTACAAATCTAAGCCCCCTGTTCTCAGGGGGTACATCCTGGATCAATTCTCCATCAGCCCCATTTACATCACAGCAGAAGAATGGGTGACAAAAATCACAACCCTCAATGCAAACAATATCATAAGGTGCTGGGGACACAGCACCCCACTCACCCAACTCCCCACATCATACAGAGGGAGGCTGCTCACAGGGGAGAGCACCCCCGGGCTGTCCCCAGCAACAGGAGATGAACAGCTGGCAGTAACCCGGTATTTTTGGTGGGATTCAGTCCTGTGAAAGGTCCAACCACTATCAACCGTCAGCAGATTTACTTGATTTTAAAAGGAATTAATGGGTAAAATGCGAAGTCTCCTCTAGCTGCCCCAACCTGCTGTCCCATGCAAGGATTTCCCACGGGAAGAGGTGCTCTGCAGTCACAGCTCTGCACCATCAGCCGAGATCAGAGATGGAGCTGCCTGGTGTGGGTGCCCCAGGATATCCCACATGTTCTCCAAAGTGGATGGGCGCCTTGCTCTGCTCCAGATCTAGCAGCGCCTGACAAATCTGGGCTATGAAAACCTACAAAAGTCTCCTCTTTAACACAGAAGCCCAGGAAAAAAGGCAGCTTGGCTCTGAGCATGTGCACGTCCAAGCTCCCCGAGCATGGGCTGGGTGTTGCCACCAACCAAATTTGTTCTTTGGGGACATTTCTCACTTGAAAATGAGAGAACCTGGGGGTGAAGACAGGCTTCTGTTTTGCACCTTGAACATCCAGAGCGAGCTGCCAACACCGCAGTGATAACTAGGAACAACAAATTAAGTTAGAGTTGGGAAACTGCCTTTGTGCTGGCTGAGACCCTCAATTTCTTCCCAAATCAAGAGCACAATCTCCTGCTCCATGTGCAGGCACCAGGCTGGGGTGGGATGCAAAGCTCCCAGCCTCCCTGCACAGACTCAAAGCAAAGCCAGGGTCATCAGGCAGCTGTCCTGGACACTGCCCTTCCACCACTGCCTGCACTGAGCCCGGTCTCTGAAATCAGGCTGGACATGGTGAGAGAGGAGGTGCTCAGGACGGGGACTTGTGACCTTCCCTGCCACGAGTGGTGATGGGACTTCTGGACAAAGCCTATAAAATCCCTCCAAAATGCACACACATCTGCAGCTTCAGAGATTTTCTGGCTTGTACTAAATTTTAGTTCTGAAAACCAGATGCTCACAGGAGATTTCAGAGCCTCTCTCTCAAGGGTTGGGTCATTTACCTACAAGTGCAGGAATGGTTTGCTCTGACACAAGATTTATCACTTCAGGGTAACTTTTTCATTGTGTTTCCTTTACCCTAAGAACACAAATCAGCCTTAAAAGCAAAGCTCTGTCTGGGGTGCTAAAGCTTCCATGGTACTTGGCTCACGGCTAGCTGACAGGTGAAGTTGCTGCTGGGTGCACACATCACTGAGAACCTGGAGCAACCGAGCAATGCACATGTTAACTAAGCCTATTTTGGTAAAACCACCGCCTTAAAATATACAGACATTTCAGATTTCTCAGCACATCTGGAAGTGAGACACATCCTTAACACTGACACAAGTAATGGAGGTGATTGCCAAAGGACTACGACACGCAGCCACCCACTGGCTTTGGTCACTAACAAGACAGAGAGCAGGAGGCTCAGAAGTAAGGACTGCATCCCGTCTTCTTGCTATATGAAAACTCCTTCTCCCACTCAAATTAAAACAAAAAAAAAAAAAAAGGAAAATGTATAAAGTGCAGTAAAATATCAATCAATCGGGAAAACGTGAGGCGTGCCTGTGAGCTCATTATTGCATTCATACGAGTCGAGAACATCAGGAGCAAGTGACAGCACGCATAAAGGCTGCTGTAGGAAATGGATGTAAAGGAGTGGAGCAGGCGGGGCCCTCTGGGGACCGTGTTCAGGGCTTTTCAGAGAGAAAGCGGCAGCAGCTGGAGGGAACGTGTCGCCTGCTTGTCCAATTACATTTATCTGACTCTTGCTTTCTACAAGTTCCCACAGCAACTGAATGTGGACACGTGTGACAGCTTCTTCTCTCCTGTTGCTCTGCTGTACATCTCCTCAGAGGAGAGCTTTTTAACTTATTTATGGCACAACAGGAACGTCACCTTACAACAAAACCTGGTTACAACCGCCTGCCTGTGAGGATATGGTGCCTATCACACAGCGCAAAGAACCGCAGAAGAGATGGAAACACAGAACTGGGGCAAAAAGCTTTCCGCTGCTTCCTCCAGAGTTTGGTTCAGTAAATGATTAAATGCTGCATGAGCTGGGCCAGACACAAGCCACCTACGGTACAAAGCATGATGTGCCACAGCATGGCGTGACTTGTCTGTAAAATATCCAAAAAAAAAAAAAAAAAAAGACTCTGTGATAACAAATATTTCTTTCCACAAAAGACAACTATTTATGATTCCATCTCCTTATCCTAAATCCTGCTGTTTGCTTCTTAAAATTCTTCTGAATTCATTAAGAAAATGGCATTGATCATCTCTGATTTACCGGCACTGTGCAAAGCTTAATGTTAATCCACTTTCTTTACAACTTTTTTCATCCCTATTTTCTGCGTACAGAATATTTCAAACTGTATAAAGGGGTGCTGACAATGCACTCAGTTTTCAGGTCCTCTGGGCTTGTAATGTTGTAGTAGATACTTCTGCTAATATGCTTCTCTGAGAAGCTCCATTGTTTCTGTTTGGATTAAGCAGCCAGCAGTAAAATCCTGGGGCTAGAAAGAAAACCATGAAGTTCTTGTAGAATGAAATAGAATTCATATTAATGAATCAGTGACTAATATTGGCACAAATAAAAAATGCAGCCAGTAACTGTGTAGATCACTAAAGAAAGCAAAGCATATTTTTAAACATACTCTAATCTTAGGGTATTCCTTAATGATTAAAGATTTTGTTATCGTAACCTTTTAAAAACACAGCTTTAGTTAATGGCACTTTGCTTCCCAGACCCACTGGTTTAATCAGCTACATGAATGCAACATTTAAAATTTTGCTTTAGTAAATAATGAACGAAAACTGGCTATGAATGTACTAATTTTATGTTTAAAATACCTACACATATTAGATTGTGGCTATGAAAGAATACATTCTGATTACAGATGAAAGGATTTTTTTTGTTAAAATATAGTTTAAAAAAATGTGATATAAAAACCCTTGCAGCTAAAAATTGTATTTTCTGTCCATAAATTTAGAGAATTTTCACCATGTTTCAATTTTCCACTTGGAAAATACAAATGAAGCATTTCAATCTGGGGTGGGCACATGTGAAGGAGAAGGTTTTCTCTCTGGTTTGATAAAACAATTTCCTTTCAGATGAAGTCACTGCTAGCATTTCAATTTGCTTTGCCCATGACCCTGGGAGTTGCTGCTTGGATGCTTTAGCATCTTTTCTTCTTTATGAGCCATATTTCCTGCCTGGGCTCTCTTGAGAAACGCACTGTGCTCTCCCACTGAGCTGATGGGGCAGTGTGCATCACAGAAACACCATTACCAAGGATGAACGTGGAAAACACTGTCCAGTCCCTCCCTGTATTACTCTTGAATTAGATTTCTCTTTGTATGTATTAGATTTTCTGATATTTCAGTTTCTCAGAAAGAAACTATCTTCTTTCATAATGTTTCTTCTTAAGTTCTTCGGCTAGAAAAACTAAATTTTGAATATGACCTAGATTTAATATAATACTGGCCACATATCACACCCTCATATTCAGAAACTTGCTGGTGAAACTTAAAATGCCTTTCAAACTCTTATAGATATAATTTCCTAATCAAGAAACTTCACTAAATTCAACATTTTGATACATATATATTTTTTATTTTATTATTTTTTAATATTATCACCCTCAGACAGAATTTCTCCTTCCTTTACCAGAATAGAGGCAGAAAGTTTCCAAAATGCATCTGAACAAAAGTTTGGAAAGCTCTGCTGTTTCATTACCACTCCCATGGGGTGTCCATGGCCATGATTTCCTCCGAGCAGTAGAAATTATCTGCTGCCGCTTAGTATTTGACAGCTGCTGTGTCGCCTGTTTTCATACAGCTCTGCAGTGATGCAGAGTTCATCCAAGCTTCCCGGTGTTAACGTAGCAAAAGTTTTGCTGCTTTCAGCTTAATGTTTTCCTAAGGACAGAAGGATTTCACTCAACCATAGATCACCACCTGCATGGTGCTTCCTATCACTCTAACATGATGTTTTATATATGAATATATGCATAAATAGAATATATACGCATATATTTATACATATAACCTGGAATTAGCATCAGAAAGTGACTCACCTTATGTTTTTTGTTTGGTTGGTTTTTGTTAAGAAACTAGCTTGGGCATTTTTCTTTTAGGTTCTTACCTATTTTTCTAATGAAATTTCTAAATTATCAGAGAAATAACATGGAAAAACAAACAAAGAAGAAACCAAACCCCCAAACCTCTATCTCGGAAGGGTTTTAAATAATCTTGGTTCTTTCAAAAGGCTGGATTTGCATATCCTGGTTCTCACTGATGTTAACGACACCACGACTTCTATGTCATTTGAGCTATGTAGAGGAGAAAAGGAACAGGAATTTTTTGCACCTTTTAAAGGCTTTTTTAAAATGACTAGACTACTGTTCAGCTTTCATCTGTTCACAAAAATTAGACCACTGTTCAATATAATTACAGCAATAGCACTCACAGTGGGCAGAAAAGAGTGGTATAAAGGCATCTTGGACTGATGCTGGCTTTCACCGGGGACAGGGAGACCACAGAACCTGCAGGTACCTGAGAGAAGTGGTTCCACTTTATTTATTTGAATTTAAAATGAAAAATACACTTCTAACCATGACATTTATACTGAGTGTAAGAGACCTTGAGATGCCTTTATCCTTCAGGGGGCTCTCGATGCTCTGTGATGGCTGGTACTTTTACATGTGGCACACTCTTACGGGGCCCAGTCATTTAATCAAAGTTAGGGTGTTTGCTGCAAAAATGTGAGGGAAATGCTGGGGATACCCACAGAAAAGAAAACACACACTCATCTGTCAAAACAATCCTGTTTTGCATAGGAAATTATAAATTATTGCCCAGACACTGCATACATGTAGAAATGTTAAATACAATGCAAATTATATTTGCCTCTACATGACTGAAGAGAGGTAAAGTGGTTTCACACATAGAGAAATGTGGTTTAAGCTGCGGTGATTTTGTCAGTTTGGCTAGCACAGAAAAGTGCAGGCAAAATGAAAGCCTCTGTAAGCAGCATATATTGAAAAACCACCCTAACGCAAGCCCAAATATACATTTTTTTTTCAGTAAAAATTCATTCTCTTCAGAGAATGGATGTGAGTCATAAGAGCCAGAGATGCCTCTTTCTATTCTGCACTGCCTCTATTGCTGGTGGGGAGTTAGCAACAGACCTCAACGGCAAACACAGCTGAACACAGGCAAATCCTCCTGCTAAGTGGATTTTAGTTCCCGCAGTTTGATTTTATCTTTTTTAATGGAAGCTCCGGAAGTTTGGAAAAGGAGCCAAACCCTTTGTTCTTTCTGATTTTATTCTTAACTGTGCAAATGTGGCCTCAGATGGGTTTGGTGCAACTTCTGCTGGCATGCATTTAAGTGCCGAGAGGTGAGGCACTGGGCAGCATCTCTCCAGCATCACCACCTTTAACCATGCACTCCATTGCCCTCCTTCCCCTTTACCCTGACAAGTGCAAGGCAGGATGAGACCCCCAAAGGGCAGCCAACTGCTCCCTGCACCTTTGTGCCTGCCCAGAGTCCCAGCAGCCAGGCAATGCATTGGACGAAATGAGCCAAAAGCTTCCCTAGTGTCGTCTGCTCCCCAGTTTTGTGCTGTCCCAGTCCTGGGAGATCTCAGATGGGTGCATTTGCCCCACCAGAGCCCTTAGCACAGGCACCTGCTTTTGCCGGACGCAAAAGTGGTCAGAGAAACTAAATCCACACACTGTAGTAACCCAAGTGTCCATCAGTGGACCACCAAAACACCCAGGGCCGCAGGGAACAAGGAAGATGTTAGGAAGCCGGTGGAAAACTTCCTTTGCTTCACCATGCCTTTGGTACGCTGAATCCTGCCATGGTGCACATAAGGACAAACCCACGAGCATTCGAATTGCACTTACTTGTCTCTCCAAAAGCATTAAAGAAGAAATACAACGTCAGATGGTAACAGTATAACTCAAAGCAACGACGCTAAGATGGGTGGATGACAAGCTGGTGACAAGTTTTGTTGTATTAGTCGGCGGGGAATGATGGTTATTTTCTACAAACCTGCATCGGTGTCAAAGCGCACCCTTGATTCACAGCAAAGCCAGCAAGATTTGGTTGTTAGGAGGTGCGTGAAGTGAATGGAAGATCTACCACTGTGTTTGCTCAACCACGGGTACATAGGAGCTTGCTGAGTGCCTCATTTTTGCCATATCTGTCACATTAAGCACCAGCTCAGGAAGGTTAGAGAGCACAGGTGTAACTCATGCTCTAAGTTTCCCAAGGATATTTATGCAGTTTTCCAATTTGGTCTCACTTGGGCCCTAATTCCAGAAGTTTCTCCTCCAGCTTTCATTTAAGGAGAACACTCATGGTGGGCACCCATTCTCCTATTGAACCCTAAGCGCAAACACTGGTGGAACATCAAAGCCATCAGCCCAGTGCATAATAAACACAGAGGACAAAAATACAAGTGAGAACAAGACGAACCATCAAATGAGGGCAGAGGGGAGAAGAGGGAAGATAATTAAGGAAGGAACAAAGGTGAATAATTAAGGGGATGGGAGGAAAACAAAGGGAGGAGGAAGGAAAAATCACAGTCAATGTACAAAACACTACAGAGTTGCTCACGATCAAATCACAAGCATTATATGGCAATGTTGCACACCTTCCAGTCCTTCCACTGTATGTTGGTCTGGAGGCTTTCCACAATGATGGGAATGATTTTTGGAAAAAACAAGGGGGCAGTGAAGGCATCAGGAGAGGGGGAAATAGGGAGGTTTATAAATATAGATATATATATGATAAATCCATTTACTGAATATCGTAACAGAGAGCAACTCACGGTGAATTTACGCTGGAGACTGACGAGCTGCGAGATACAGTACCTCGAGTTTGCTTTACAAAACTGCACATGCAAAAACAAAACAAACAAAGAAAACAAAAAGTGAGAAAAAAAAAAAAAGAGAAGAGAAACTATAAGAGACATCGGGAGGAGACTCATACAGGCTGTGTCCTATCGAATGCAGACTGCAGCGTGCATCTTGGTAGGAGACCAGGCAAGCTTCAGAAAGTGTGGAAGCCACAGACACACCACCTTCTAGTCGACAGGGAAACAACCAAAGAATCAAAATGGAACCAAAAGGGAAAAAAATTAAAAGGTAAACCAAAAGCCACACGATGATATTAGGACTTTATGCCTCCATATGCTATACTCACAAAATCAAAGTCCTCCGCAGAAGTCATCTTTAGGACCTCGGGGTAGAGGTCTTTGTAGAAACAGATGGTGATTGCTTTTACAGCTGTGCTGCAAATCATTACTTCCAAGTGGGAGCGGGATGCAAGACTGCTATTTCCCCCTCCGGCACCATGAGATGAGAGGAGGAAGCCTGAGAGCAGCGAAGAGCAGAGGCCGGAGGGAGGACCCTGGGCCATGCCTGGAGAACCAAAATCCAGCTGAGCCCCAGCAGCTGGTGCCAGGCTGCTTCAGCTCGGTCCTTGCGCCACGTGGGCTCTCCAGGGGCACCTACCTCTCTCCTCTGGCACAGGGATGTGTCTGAGCTCAAACCATCCGAATATGGCTCACCACGTCTAAAAACCTATGTCTGCTGCAGCTTAGGCAAAGGATTACATGTTATTTAAAGGACCTTGTTTCAACTCACGTGTAATTTTGTAGATTCTCCTCCATTCAGTGTGCGTTTGTATAAATGTCATTACATATGGGGGGTTCTGAATATGGAAATAGCCAAATTACACAGAAAACAAAAAGTGTATTCTTCCTCTGGCAGGGAATCTACACAAAACCAGGATTCTAAATATCTTGATAGATCTTGGCTTGAGGCACTAACGTTTCACAGTTGTAAACAATAATTTTTATAAATCTACATCATCTGAAGAACCCTCTCCGATGACAGAAAACAAAATCCCTTCACCTCCTGAATTTGCCTTTTCAGTTGCAGCAGTTTTTCCTGCTTCCCTGAGAGCTTCAATCTGTTAACAATCAGTGCTATCAAGCCAGAAGGTCCAATTAAAATCTAATGTTCTTTGGATATCATATGAGTAGAATTTTAAATACACATTTCCTAAAAATTACCAGAATCTCCTGAACAGAAATGTTGGCCCATGTGAAGTATATAACACAACCACCCAAAGGCCAAGAAAACTGCAACAAATATAAGTAGCATTATGAAAAGCGTTTATAAAAGTTTCACTTGGAGCAAAGAATCGGCTGTGCAGCCAGGTAAGGCACTCTGCCCCAAATTCCCTATTTCTACATTTGCACCTTCAAAGGGGGGTTGCATGCTCTGCCAGTTTGCCAGGGAATTTGTTCCCAGGTTGTTCAGGCTTGGGACTCCTTTACTTCTTGGCTGGATGACAAAGTCCCAGGATGGCAACTGAACCCTGCAGAGAGCAAGCCCCTGCCTGCACAAATGCCTGAAGCACAGGTAAAGGATTTCTTGGGCAAAACAGGTGGAAAACTCATGATGGAGGAGAATGTACCGGGCTGCCTTAATTTACCTGGGGGTCAGCACTGATATTGCGTAGTACCTGTGGAAATGTTGCTTTTAATTGCTAAAAAGATGCTCTCAATATCCCTTGGCAGAAGACTTGAATGAATTTTTGCATTTATCCCTGCCTCATTTGGTGCAGTGCAGGATGGAGGCCACGCTGTGGTCCTGCCAAACATCCTTGTAACTTGGCCAGGCAATGTTATGCAAGTCCTGCAGCACTCCAGGTTCACTTCTTTGCTCTTGTTCCTGGAGCTGTTTTTTTTTCTGAAACTGTGACCGACTACATTTTCACTGGAACTGCAGAGAGGAAAGCTGGGAAGCCAAGACAGCCTCCTTTTCTGAATCAAAACGACAGAAGTACTTGAGCTTTGCTCCGTGCTACTTACCATCCAAGAGGGACACAGAACAAGAGAGCGTCTTTCTGTGTAGCTGTTTGAGTCACCGTTACACCAACAGCAAGGGCAAAAAGGTAAGCTAACGGGAAGAACCACAGTACCTCACACATCAACACACATCAGGGGGGAGAAGAAAGGGAAGAAGTCACAAGCCAGCAAGAGAAAAAGAACACCTCTGCTAGTCTACGCACCATCGAGCACGGGACGTTTCATGGGCTGGGTGTTCAGGCATACTTCTTGCTGGGTTCTGTTGGGTACCGGCAGCCCAACAGGGATTTTGAAACAGAGCACAGTATTCCCAAGACAAAAGGAAAACATGGAGTCTCTGAGATGGAAAATGTCCTAAAGAAACAAAGCAACCCCCCCTCCCTTCATCCCCAGACCTGTACAAAAGGGACAGACACCTCGGAGAAGTCACTGAAATGATGTGCCACCTCTCTTTGCTCTCAGCAGTTTTCTAAGAAGAAGTCAACTCGCTCGTGTTACCAGGCAGCATCTACCTGTAGGCACACAATTAAGATGCCAACTGCTTGGAACAACCACGTGAGGGACCAGCAGAAACCAGTCACAGCCTGGAGAGAGGAAGAGGTCTTTCGGGGTTGGAACACTGTGCTGAGAAGCATGTCAAGCTTTGGAAAATGGTAGTGGTCAGTCCCATAGACAGTGTTTAGCTCTGGTGCCCAAGTTTCATGAAGTGCCTCTGCTACTTCCTACTAAGTTTCATCCATCACATCCGGGAAATTTTTCTCCCATACAGAACTCAGCCCCTATACCTAATGCTTGAATTGTTTCCTTGGGTCTGGCTACCACTATAACACATTGCCATGAAGAATTAAAAACAAACCTAAGTAAATAAATGCTAGAAGTTCCACTCAGCATGACTGGGATGTGACTACTTAACAGGTTCCTACAAATTTAGCATTTGCATGCTGTTGTGATTGCTTTTTTAAGACTCTTCCCAAGAAAACGTGAAGGCAGGCCACTGGAAAATACACAGGAATAAACAAATTCAGAGGCTGTTTTAGCGACCAGCTCAGAATCCCTGGAGCAGTCATGGGGAGGACGTGTGCTTTGGTGCTCATTGACTCTCCGACTGGTCTGCTGGCCCGCGCGGAGCACCCATGCCGTGTGTGTGCAGCGCAGCCCCTTTTGTACGGGACATTGGTGCAGCTCTGGCCGGAATAGAAAAGGCAGAGGAGGTATCCAAATCCAGGGAGTTCAGGCTTTGGGTTGGCGAAAAGGCAAGTTCATCTATACGATGTAAAACTATTTGCACTGGGGTCTTCGTGCTGGCCATAGAAATAAGCCCGGCAGCTCTCCCTTCCACTGGCACCTCTCCAGTGGGGACCTTGAGGTGCTTTGCACATTCAGCACCTCAGTTGTTGCCCCATTTCCCCCCCTGCTCCGTTCTCACCGCCAAGGAAGCTGCACCAATGGCTTGCTCTAAAGACCCGTCGGTCAGTACAGCGGCTCAGTTCGAGAGGCTGAGTGGTTTCGATGTTGTACAAAACAGAGGGTCTTAAAGACAATGCTGGGCAAACTGGACAAACCCAGAAACTCACCTCCAGAAACAACAAAGCAAGGAAAATGCTAAACAGAAAACAAAAATCACAAAAATAAGAATGAAACAATGGGCTAAAATTAAAATGCAGTAACTTATGTTAAACAAATACTCTGTTTTAAACCAAACATTGCAACAATGACAAAAACAATGTACCATCCTAGTTTTTTCATCCTGAAAATCCACAAAACAAAAAAGCCCATTCGGGATAGAGTTCACCAGGTGAAGAAAAAAAAAAAGGTCAGAAAAATCCATTCCTGCAATTCCCTTTGGTGGAGCCAGAAGCAAGTCATCGAAATCCTGGGAGAGCAAAGAAGTAGGAGCAATAAAACAAGTGCACGTAGAATATTGTAATAAAGCACCTTGAGTCAGCTGCAAGATAGATACCTGGATGCTACTGTAATAATGAATAGATTATTAAGCAGATCCCCATGACACAGCAGCACTTCACTATCTATCAACCATCAAACACACATAGAGGTAAAGGGACCGTCTCAGACCCTCCAAGCAAGCTGACAGACTGAATCAGCAACCAGGTTCATAAGCCTATGAAATTATATTTTGTAACCGATGCAATAAATTGAACATTTCCCAGAGCTGAACTGTTGAGAGGCTCGAATGGCAGAGGAGAGCAGATGAATCAGTGCAGATAAACTGCAGGGTCACGAGAACGCAAACGGGGGGTGCACGCTGGTTTTGCACAGGAAAAATGCCAGGGGTGGAGAAGCAGATACAAGGCTACAGAGCATGCAATGGCCTGCAAGGAGGCGTAGAGGAAGATGTACTCTCACAGTCCTTGATATGGGACTGACAAAGGAAAGAAGCAAAACAGCAAGCACAGCACCTCACCAGTGAAACAGCAGAATGACCACTAGGGCTTTTCACCAGCCTGAGCTTGTCACCACTGTGGGAGGTGGACAAGCACGCCAGGAACGTGAATATCACGCCTGAGGAAATGCAAGTCATGGTGCCCTCTGCTTCAACACCTGAGAGACCTGGTTTTATTGATGAGGCAGAGAAAATGTTGATGTTCTCAGAACACTAACCCATGCTATAGATGCCTGTTGCTATAGAAAATCCCTTTCCTATGTTTTGAAAATAAAATTGAGTCAGAAATCCAACCCAATATTCCTTAGGACAAACTGATGGGGGAGACCCACAGACAGGATTGCAGCAGAACCTTGGTAGCTCAGTCCCATTTTTTTCCCTACTCCTGCTCACCAGCTCTGCAGGCATTTGCTTTTGGCAGTGTTATTTCCATAAGCCAAGAATCCTGTTTCCAGGACCTTTTCATTCTCAACAGTGCTGAGCCACTTGCTGTACCTCACACATATGCCCTGGTGGGATCCCATCAGCATGTTCATGCCACATCACATCAGAGCTTGATCCAACACGTCTTGCCATCAACATGGCATCTGCTCCACTGTCTGCACCACTCTGTAGCTTAAGACCATAAGAAATGAAGTGAAGGGGTACATCTGGATGTCAATCATGGGTCCCTACCGTCAGCCCTACTGTGCTACATAACGGTATCTCAGGGATCAGTGCTGTAAACCCTAAATCTGTAGCTGCTAAGCCCCTTTTGGAGCTCTCACTATGGGTGAATTTCTATACTAAATGTGACTTTGGCATGCACTCATTAAACATCTTTTGGATCATCAGCTAACAATCCATCCATTCATCTATTAATCTCTTGCAAAATACCTCACTTCTCCCTTGCCTTCTCCTGTAGGTCATTACTCATTTGGTCATCACCCTATTAACCTTATACATTTTAATATATTTTTTTTTTTTCTAAAATAAAATAAAATAAAGTCCTGCACATGTTGCGATGGCTATGTAAGCACCTCGCTGGCACTACAGCAGAGGGGACTGGAAGCCAGGTGCCGGTGGTACATCGATGGCCTCCCATGCAGCATGCCTGATGTTTGGTTAGTAGATGTGGAAGCAACTTGTTGCACTTCTAAAAGTGTTCCCTTGTAAGCCTGATTACCTGCCTGCAGACATGGCAGGTAGGTTCTGGGTAGATACAATTTGAGGCAAAAGAAGCAGAAATCTACAATTTTGTACTTACTTTCAATTTTGGTCACAAAATTGGCCCTGCGACATTGAAAACCAGGTGAAAGCCTGGTGAAGAATCACGGAATAAAGGTTATGTAACGTAACTAACAATGTGGTATGAAATCTTAGCTCTGTTAAAGCACTTTGGTTTCTAAGAAATTCTCACGTGCACCATGCTTTTGATTAAAAAGAGAAGAAATAGAAGACAAATAGAAGAAAATAAGTGTTATCATCTTGTGTTATAAAATAGCAGTTCCAGGAAATTCAACAAAAAAAACAAGAGCCAGTATCCTCATATGACTTTCCGTCAAGACTGGACATCATTGTAAGAAAAGGATTATATTTAAAGCCAACAAATAGACATGGCATAAATAGGAGATGATTATAGCAGTAATTGCAAAATAAAATGGTAAGAAGAATAAAATAGTCAAATTAACAATATTCTTTCCCTTCGTATATAATGAGCTGGCTCCATTTGGCCTATTGTCTGGGCTGAAGTGGATTAAACTTCCCCTAAAAAGGTCTCATGGGGATCTTTCTTCATTCCAGATCCTTCGGAAAAAAACTGCACAGGAAAATCATTTTTCTGTGCATCAGCTTCCCTAGACCTAGGCGGTCTCCCCTGCAAAAAGGCATTAGAAAATAACAGCAACATTCAGCAAAACACAGGACCAAATTTTTAATGTTGCTTGTCCTGATGCCAATTCCAGAAGAGTTAAATGAACCCCTAACAAAAAAACAGTAAATCCACCCAAGGCAGGCACATCTCAAACACAGGGCCATGCAGGCAGGATTCTGCTCTGACCTCAGTGACATCTGGACAAATATTTCCACCTACAAATGAAAGTTTTGCTTCAGTTTAGATCAGTGTATGTGAAAAAGTGGGTCCCAAAGGAATATTTTCTAAGGATTCTTCCAAAACAGTATCACAGAATCTGTGCATACATCTACACCCATGTACTAAGAAAAACCTGCATTTGAAAATACAAATGTATATTTCTAGCTATGAACCAGTGACTGTTCATGTATGTGACTTTATTCATTCCTGCAGTCTTTCAGGCAACAAAGAGAGAATATTCAAGCTCTTTTTTTTTTTCTTCTTTTTTTCCTTTCCTTTCTGATATTTTTGAGGATGCGTTTGCTCTTGAATCCTCTAAACAGAAATCATTAAACAGTATTTAATATAAAATATGCACACATACCTCTCAGAATTACAAATCCAAAGTGAAATGTTAACACTTCACCTGGTGAAATCTATCCTAGGACAGCTTAAAAAAAAAGAACCAACTTCCTAGAATATGGTTATTTACAGCAAGGCAAAAGATGAAACATTACAAAGGAAAAAAAAAACAAACTAACTAAAAGAAGTACTTCGATCCATGGTTAAGTGATCAGTGCTGAAGTATTCAGTCAACCTACAGCCCTGTCAACAACAGAGATGGCATAAAAAGGCTCACAGAGTACTATGGGATGGCTCCAGTTGAACAGACATATAGTGACACTGAAGAACAGAAACCACACGATTAAGGTCCCAAATAATAAAATAACGCTTACGCGGCTATGGAAATGTTAGCTGCCGACATGGGGCTGACTTCTGCTACTTCCTTGGCCTTTTGCAGGGCGAGCTTTTGGTTGGTGGCTTCCTCCATCTCCTCCTCATCCTGGTGCAGAAAATCAAGACAAATCAGAGCATGCATCACTTAATGACAATAACCACAGCTCCCCGAGACATGGGTGTTGTGTGACCATCACCGCTGTGCTGTGAGGACAGCAGATATTCATTAAAATAAGGCAGAATTTCATAATTCCTTGAAAGGACCTCTGGGTATGGTTTTGCTGTCAGCAAAGAGGTAAGAAACACAAGGTCTGCTCAAGTGCTTGGCGCATTTTTTGCTGGGAACACATCTCCCTCATGAAGCTGTCTTACCTCTTTTGGGTCTCTTCTTATCCCTCAGTGGTCTGGCATAGCAGGGAGAGACCTGAGCAGAGGTGTGACATTTCTGGGGTAAAGGCAGTCCCCTTTATTTCAGACTTGCACATGTGAAAACACTCAAAAGCCTACGTCCTACTGAAGTTCATGAGACAGACTCCTAAAGCCTTCGTGACTTCTTGCCAAGGTGTCTTGTCTGAAACAATAATCCCAATAAACACCAAAGGATCTGACTGGCTCTGCTCACACTAGTTTTATCCCAAATATTTCCACTGATTTGAGTTGAATCACTGTGAACGTACAGGGTGAAAACAGAAAGGAGAAGACGTTGAAGCATAGCTGGTAGAGTCAAGTGCAGATCAGAAAGCTGGTCACGTTCATGCTTTCTGCATACCCCTCAGATCTCATATTTGGACTTTTATTGGTATTGCAAGTTCCCTTAGAGTCGAACTGTGATTTAATTTCTCCTATGTGGTGTAATTACTAGAGAAATAACACTTAAAATCAGAGTGTAACTGTAGTTTCTTTAGCAATTGGATGAGGACAAAAGACAAAACAGGATCCCACTCAATTCCAATAGTCATATGGGTTAAACTTCCCTGGAGTTTTTCTAGCCAGTCAAGCTAGATAGTAAAATCGGGGCAGGAGAAACACCAACACTGAGGGCAATGTCAGGACCATCGTTCAGGGTGCTGAACCACATGCCAAGACAAGAGCAGGCATGGGCTCCTCTATCAAATGACCTGGGTCTACATCTGCTCCTCAGAGGTAACACTGTGAAACAGTTACATTTAAAAGAGATGTCTTACTGTCCGCATTCACTAGCTTCAGAAAAGGAAAGCACAGAGATTTACCCATACTGAATGCCATACGCATGATTCCTTGCTCTGACTTTGGTGTTATTTGCTTAAACTGAACTCATTTTGAAACTGTTTTCTTCTTCTCTTTAAAGGGGAAAGATAAATTATAGGAAATTTATATAAAAAAAATCTGTTATCATTAAGATTTCATATTTTTAAAAATTTCCCCTTTCCAAACATTAGCAAATCTATTAAAAAAAAAAAAAAACAACACACCACAAAACCAACAACAAACAAACAAACAACAACAAAAACTTAGTGTAGCAAATAAAGAATGAGGCCACAAAAAAGCCTTGCTGAACCATTATACAAAGTCAGCAGTCAATATTTCTCAACAGGCAATTTCCAGTAAATTTATCAGCGGTTGGGATGCTACTGTAAATCTAGGGTATCTGAGGACATAAATCTTTCAAGAAATACATTCCCAATAAGGCATCTTTGGGGGGTTTTCTTTTCACTCAGCAGGTATCTTCAAGCTGTTCCTTCTCTTGAGGACTCGCCAGGGCTTTTAATTTTTCTTTCTGTGCACCTCAAGCACCGGTTGCAGATTTGAGCAGCTTTTTTAAAGTTCTAGCTTCTACTCCATTCTCCCCAGTGCATCCGAAATGCAATGAGAATATTCATTGTCATAAACGCAGCCATCCCTAACTCAGAACAAGCATGCTCTTTAGCAGATGACTGCTTAATAATGTTTCTGCAGCTCCTTCCACCCAGAGATTTGCGATCCCTCTACAAATACTAATTAATTCTCTGCCTGGTACGTGCCCTGTGATGTCTCATGGGGGCAGAGGCTCATCCTGCTCTGCTTGAAGCTGGCAGGGGTGATGGTGCGCAACTGAGGCAAGTCTCTGAGCTGTGACGGTGACTTCAGTGCCACCTCTGGGAGCTCCATCATCACCATCATGGATAAAGGCACTGCCTATAAGGACAACTCCCTCTTACGTTTCCTTTCCATTTTCTAGAGCTCTGAATCTTCACTGAAACCACAGTTTATCACATGGCAAAGCCTGTCTTCAGTGCTAACCGTAATTATATGCATAGTTAACACTTACTGTTCTTCATTAAACTCCCCCAATTAAAGACCTCTCCATTGGGATGGAGGAGAAGTCCCCGTGGCTGCTATTCCTCTGATTTCTGAGGAATTCTGGGCTAATTTTACATAAAATTCACACATCCCTCCTACTACATGCTTTTATATGGCTTTCTTGGAGATCGCTGGCAGGGTGCAGAGATCAGAGAACACGCCTGGAGCTGGAAGATGTTTAGGAAAGCCAAAGGCTGCCCTGCTCACCCACCCGCGGCAGCTCTCCGTGCCAGCTGAGCCAGAATGAAGAGGAGCATGCTATGTTACCGAAGGGGAGATATTGGAAGCAAATCTGGGGGCAATTTCAGATTCTACTCTGAATAAGCAGAAGAAAGATCTGCCAGTAGATGGAAATAAAGAGAGAAGGTGACCCAAAAGATTCACGATAGGTTTGAGAAATGTCTAGAAACAACACGGGGAGAGTTCAAGCAAGGGAAAGTCAGAGCCAGCACGGAAGGAGGAAGAGAAGACCTGGGGATGGAGGGGCAGAGGATGGAGAAGTTTCTTTATATAGTCAAAGCAAAGAAGGTGGTTATTATTTTTTCCCCTTAAATGAGTCATTCCAAAGTACTGGTGAGTTTTGTAACAGCCATCAGATGATCAAGCTGAAGTTAAATATAGCCACAGATCCGATGCTCCCTGGTACAGGTCACAGGGCCCAGCTAAGGCTACCAAGTAAATGTTCAAATGCCACGATAAATGAAGTCCAAATATGCATCCAGAACTGGAACTGTTGGTCAAAATGTTTCAGTCCTGAAGGTTAGCTGGGAAGCTTTCTATCCTTCCAAAATAGAGGCAGTTGCAAACCACTTATGGCTTTCCCACACTACATGCAGCACGGATCTTGATTAGTTTTACAGTGTAAATGTCAGGAAAGTCTCCTGAGATCAACTGACTCCTGAGTAACTTAATTATACCTTCAGGCCATTTTTGGTTTTGCATGATCATATTTACTTTGCCATAAATCCCTCATTCTCCAGGTATGCTATACAATTGAATTATTTTTATCTTTTTCTTCTTTGGAAATCCCCACAGAATTTTGGGGATCATAAATAAAATTAAAGAAAAAAAAAGTTTCTCAAGAAGCTTTATGATTTTGCAGTGTTGCTGAATCCATTAATATTTAATTATATTTTGTAAACATCAACAAAGTTAGGTTACTAGCTGTTCCAGTCAGCTGCTGAAATATTCAGAAGGCAGCACTAAAAAGATTAAGAAAGGAATAGGATGAGCTTTGTTATCCAAGAACTGTGCAGGACCTGATCCTCTCTCAGTACATGCCAGGGATGCCCATAAGTCTCCTGAAGGTGCTAGGAAGATGCATGCCTCTGGGCCAAGCCCTGAGCTGCATTATAACAGAGCAAGGAGGCAGAAGAAGGTCTCACAGACATAGGAATATTTGTTATCCATGCTTCTTGCATGGCCTGCACTGGGCATCAGCTCTCAGGAAACAAGGCTCTAGCTAAAGCTAGGAGCTGAAGCCAGTAACATGGCAGAAAGGAGAGCTGGTAAAGACAAGCTCAGCCACAAGAGACATGGATTTCAGCTGGGAAGAGCTGACTGCTTCCATCCTCAGCAGCTGGAGTGGGATAGGGAATGCCTCTGGGTGTCCCTGGACTGCAGTGCTACATCCCATACCCACGCACTACTGCTCCTTTCTGTGGGACTAAAAAGAGAAAGTATCCCTGAGAGCTGCTGCATAAACACACAGACAGTGATCCTCTTACCCAACAGGGAGCATACAAGCTGAAGTTTGTAAAACATAACTGCTAAGGTGGATGCGGTGCTTTTGGAGCCAGCAAGTGTTTGACTTATGGCCATGGGACCAGCACAGCAATGGGGTGTGCGTATCCGCATCCACTTGGTGAGAGCAAGCAAAAAATGTGCAAAGAAAATCTAATGCTGCCTCATAAACATGACTGAGTGTGCCACAATGAGAAATCAAAAGTGTGCAATAATATGAACACAAACTGCAGTATTTGGACTCCTTCCTACACAATACAGAGGCTATACATTTTTTTTTGTCTATAGGGAATGCTTCAATATAAATCCAAGCACACAGAGAAGCTACAGCAGTGTCATTTCCAGCTCTTGCCAGGACCTGGCTTCCTGCCTGTGCTTGGGCTGCTGCCTCAGATTGCTCTTGCACCTGGTGAGAAGCAGGAAGGTTTTAACATCTTGACTTAAAAGTCACTGTAGCCTCTTCAAGTTGTTTTCCACAGAGTTGTTCGGAGAATGTTAATTCTTTGATTCATCCCCAAATTCAACGAGGTAAGAAACACTAACATGAGACAGCAGAGGCAGCAGTACAACACCTGCAACTCCCCAGGCCTAAACTTCAGATGTATTTTACTGAGTCAGCCAACACCCATTACTTGTTCCGCCTCTGCTCCTGAAAACAGCAAAAGCTACAAAAGTCTGTGCACCTCCACACAGCAGCAACACGAGCAGTGCCTGCTGCTCACCCTGGGGTGGAAAGAAGCCAAAGAACACAAAGCAGTTCACAGAAACAAGGCTCCATGTAACTAAACAAAACCAAATGAGAGTAGACCTCCAGGTCCTTAACAGGGGTCTCAGCAGCATAAACTAGTACACAGAGGTACAGCATGGAAGGAAATCCCTGCCTCAAAGTGTCTGCAATGTGTGCTGTGGATCCAGCAGCTATGGTCTAAGTTTGAAGAACCAGAAGCCTTGAACTTACCTTGGTCAGCTCTTGGGCATTTGCCAGATTGTCCACGGCGATAGCCAAGAAGACGTTCAGGAGCGTATCTGTTGGGGAGCAGCTAAGGAAAAACCTTCACATAGCAAATACAGCAAATGGTTCCTCTTCTGCTACCACTACCCTTCTTTCCCCGTTCCAACCATGGTATATTATGGACAAACCCCTCACATCACTGCTTTGTCCTCGTCATTCCCAACTCACCCACTTCTGCTGGACCAGCTGAGGAGCACAGCAGGTGTTGGACACCCCTCCGTGTCTTCACCAGCACACGTGTGCTGCTGGGATACACTCACACCCCCCCACACAGGATTTCCCCTTCATTTTTCCCTCTTGCTTAGCAGGATGGCTGGCAGCTCCTGGAAGTGGCTCATTTTAAAGACAACACGAATGCATTGGGTATTACAAAAAAGTGAGGCTGAGGTCAGTGCTGTGCTATACACCAATGGGGGGAAACGCTCATGACTTACCACCCCGGAATCGATGTGACAATTAGAGCACCATGAACATCCTCTGTCCTGAAAGCTGCAGTGTCCTGCAGAGTACAGCTACAGCTGAGCCCGTTAGCAGGATGCCCAGCCTGAGCTAACGAGCTCTGCCAGCACACAGACCCTTAGTCCAGGCACTGCACACAGCCCACCTAAACCACTGCCAGTGCCCACGCCAGCCGGGCTCTCTCTGCAGAGCACTGCATTATATCACTAAGACATCACATTTCCCCACAGTTATTAACTCACTCATTGTTTTCACTTTTCCTCTTAATGATTTCAGCTATTACTTGGCCCTTCACATATTTTATTGTTGTTGTTCCAGTTAGGTGTCTGCAAAACAGCCACAAAGCAATCGTAAATCAGACACCTCTGTATGGGAAAGGAGAGCAAGCAAAGCAAAACCAAGCCAAAACCAATGCCCAAGAAGCAAATGCATTTTGCTCCCATACATTGCCTGGTGACAGGACAGTCACTCACCCCAGCTATGCAAAGCTATAACTGCTGCTCGAAACGCGAGCGTACATGGCAATGAGGTTGATCTCATGTATTTACTCTCTGGAGATTCACAGAGGCTGAACAGCAGTGCGATGCTGCTGCATTGTGTTGTCCTCACCTGAGCCAAATAGGAGTCTGGGACTCCAACTGCAGGAGCTGTAGGCAGGTGACTGACCCAACACAAAATAACTGGATGTGCCCCTGCTTTGATCTGTGAGTTATAAACGATGCACAAAGCCACGCTGCAGGTGGGGCAGGAGCTAAATGCAAGGGCTGAGTGCTGGAGGGAGCAAGGCGAGCCGCTGCAGCAAGGTCAGCGAGCTCCCAGGGTGCCAGCAGAACTGCAACTAGATTTCGGGAAACCTTCACACCTCAGCACCCGCTGGTTGCTTTCCATTTCTCAGCAGGACTGCTGGGAGGAAGCACCTGAGGTTTCTCTTCAAACAGAGGAGCCAGGAGTGGTGTGAGGCTGATCTGGCTGTGGGCTGGTGGTGCTGGGTGTCTGTGCCCAGCAGCCCCCGTGCCTTGGCAGCCCTGCTGCCTACAGACCCTGCTGGCTGGGGAGCCATCACCCGACACTGGCAGGGCTTCAGGAGACTTTTCCCAGGGCAGCCGGGAACCAAAGCTGGCCCAGACACCCGGCTCAAGGCTTTGCTTTCCATCTCAAGAGCATTCGCCAAACTTAATTCAGCCAAGACTTCAGAACCAGACGTTCAGGCCTCTTATTCCCATTGGGATGAGTGTCTCCAGAGCCTAAATACCCATCAGAAAACAGATCCTCTGCCTGCAACAGTGGAAGCAGGAGCTGTATTTAATCTTCTAGGATGCATCTGCATCCTGCAGAGGATGGGACACAGAATCCAGAGTTTTCTCCAGGCAAAGGCCAGGTTCTCTCCATGTCATATAAAAGAGGATAGAGGTTTTTATTGTGTGAAGGTGGTTCCCTGGGGATGTCAAGAGGTTTGAAATGTGGTTCCCATCTATTGCTGCTTCCTCTGTTCAAGCAGGACAGCAAGGAGTATGGGGCAGGAGCACCTTGATCCTGATGAGCCCAGTGAATAAAGAAGCATAAGAAGGGAAAGATGATACTGAAATGTCCCTGCATCCCTTCACCTTGGAAGTGAAGCCTCTAACTCTTGCTCGGGGGGAACAAATATTTCAGTAATAAAACTGCCTTGCTACCTCTGCTTCCTACACACATGTGCTGAAATTGTCTTGTGTAACGAAGTCTTGTGTAACTACTGGAAATATAATTACATTTTAAAAACAATCAATCACACACAACTGTTCAGGCTATTTTGACTCATCTCCAAGCAGATGCATTCTGGTGGAATTGAGTGTTTCTGCCCCCAAAGAAGGTCCCTCAGCCCTTTTTGTAGAGCTTGGGGACTCCCAGACACCAGCTGAAATCCATCTTCTGGGCCAGGCTGCACACCCCAGCCAGACCCACGGACCACGCCGACCAGCTGAGCCGATGCTGGCACTGAGCACGGCTCCTCCGTGCGGGAGCAAAGTGCAAAAGGCAGCCAGAGACCAGGGCTGGGAAGGGTGGCTGGCTCCAGGCATTTGCTGCTTTTCATTTCAGGCTTTTCTGTACATTTTTGGATTTTTTTTTTTCTCCTCCTTTTCCCCCTCAACAGATGCACCAATTTATTAATTTACCGGATGACAATGAATACAGGCATGGTGTAATTTCCTAGAAAATGAGCCAAATCCTGCTGTCACTCCAATCATACTACTTTCATTAAACCATTTAAGACAGAGAGGTCTGGCTCTACATGGGCTCTCTGCAACTGGAAATGCAATGTGAGAGAATTCTGACTTTTAAAAACAGTTTCTGGATCATTTCCTTGCAATGTGCCTTGAAAATATGAACTGATTCAAAGAAGCAACTGAGCTGCAGTGAAAGCAGGGGTAGCCACAGCTTCCCAAGCTTCTTCATGACCTGGAACAACTATAGTGCCCCAAGCAGCTCTGGGAGGGGAAAGGAGTCATTCGTGTTTAAAAAGAGAAGGTTTTAAAAGCTGATCCCAGATCACTAAAGCTGATTCTCTAACAGGAAGATTCAATCCAGGCCTCCTAAACTCTTAAAAATGAACTCAGGACATGCCAATGTTTAAAAACTGAAAATAAAACCACTCCCAGCAGAGGAACCAAAGTGTCATAGATGGATCTTTGACTGATTTCAACATTAGCCAGAAAAATAAAACCTGAAAGGCCGCTGTAAGAAATTCAGTCACAGTCTGAATTCTGCATGGGAAGGACTGGAGGCAAATCCACACTGGGCAAATGAAAAAGATCCAGTGCATAAAAAAAAAAAGCAAATTCATATTGCTTTTAGAGGAGAGTTCTGCAAGGCAAAGAGGGGGAGCTTTCTGAAAGAGAGACTGACAATAACATTCAAGTCCCAAGTTAGAGCAAAAAAGAATTTTACATTAAGCTGATCAATAATTAAGCTAATCAGCAGCCCAGCCAGTGCAGGCTGCTCTGCACAGGGTGTCCTGGTGCCTGCCAGGCTCGGGGGCTCCAAGTGGGAAGTGGAACCTGCGGCTCTCCCCGTGCCTCGCCCTGTGCTGCAGCATCACTGACATTAATGACTATTTTACTTCCCGCAGAAATGCAGGACTGTTATTTTCTGGCAAACTGAACTTTATTTTCAGACCTTCCTGGTTATGTTTTGACAGTTAAGAATAACTTAAGTCCCTGGTAAGTCACACGGTTCAGCTTTCCCTCCGAGATAAATGACTGCCTGCTGCTTGCTCTCAGCATCAAAACCATAACTACTGAAAAGCAGGGGTAGCACTGACCTTACCGAAACCCTGCTTGAAACATCAGCGTGAGCATTAGTGGGCTTCTTGCAGCAGCTCCTGCAGTAAACACAAGGAAAAGGTTTAACCCCTTGTCCTCTGTTGTCCCTGCTCATGGTGCTTAAAGGCAGTCAGTGCCCGTGGGAAGCAGAGGGCTTGTCCAAACCATGGAAACCTTCAACAGACAAAATCTTGGCCAGATCTCCAGGTCTCCTACAAGGTTGCAAATATCCACAGAAATTAATAGATAGGCTTCATGTTTAAGACCCTGATCACTGGAAGGTGGTGAAAGAAGCCTGCTAGGATCAGTTTGCCTGTCTCTGCTCTTTGTGTTCACAACAACCCAGTGGCTGCAGTAAATTCATCCCCACCTGCAGGGTTCAGAGGGGATTAAAGTCTCACGCTTTACCTATGAGCATCGGTTCCTCGATAAATGCACAAACAGTGCCCCAAGGAGTGCTCTGGCCATGCTCGAGGTGCAGCCATGGGCAAAGAGGGAAAGGCACCAGAGATGTCCCAGGGACGGCGATGCCGGTGGCAAGCAGTATAAGGGAAAGCAACACGCTGGAGCTCTGCAGGGCAAACGTGGATTTGGGGCAAACGTGGACAAGGTTTCAGCCCGGCACTGTGCCACAGCAAGCAGAGGCAAAGACCAAACTCATGGCAGTCGTGAGATGCAAGGCAGATCCTTATTCCAGCTATGTGAACTTCCCCTGCTCTCTTTCCTTTAGGGGAAACACAAGGGAGAAACCCCTCTTTTAACTAATGGGGCAAGAAGGGAATTTATACCCCGTTCTTCAAAAACGCTGTTTCTTCGCTGCTCTAAGGTTAAAAGTCTTTCTCTCTCTCTCTGAGCCTTGCTGTCAAGCCTGATTACAGCTTAATCTCATTTCCAAATGCCAAGCCCTGAGGACTGAGAGCTCTCCCTCCCTCCCAGCTCTCCACTGACCCAGTTTTCAGACGCCTCGTGTTTCTGGAAGGAGCACGCTGAGGCTGGTGTCTGAGCGGAGCTGCCGGCCCAGCCCACGTGTCCTGGCTGCTGTTGCTCCGACAGCACACATTAATGGGGAAAATCCCTCAGACACCCCTGTGGGACAGGCACGACTCTCACACTTTCTGCTCTGTCGTGACTCCTCATGCCACCGGGGAGATTTCACACAAAGCAAAGGGCTGGAGCCCTGTCTCCCAATCCAGAGGCTCTGATGTCCCATATCGTCTTATCTTGACCCCCTGTTGTAGAGATCTACATCTATAACAACTGCTTCTTTAGCACGGGTATGGCTCCCTGCATACCTTTCCCTTTTTCCTAGGTACCCAGCCAACGTTGCCAGCCTTAACAGGACTCCTAGGAAGAGACAAAAGCTGGAACAGTAACTGGCAGGAAGGTTCACGGTGCTGGGACACCCTACAGAGAGCTCTCCAGCAGAGCTGCAGTGCTCAGCGTTATTACCCCAGAACAAACAAGGCAGCCACACTGCCTCATATACACAGCAGTTTTCAAGTTCTAAGGATGCTGTTTGCCACCACAAGCTTATCACTGCAGCCAGCAAACTTCTTGTGCCAACAAAATTATATCTTGCAACGCTACACAACATCAGCCCATCAGCAGTCTCCATCATGAAGCAAAGAGCCACCACAAATTCTGAGCTCTGCTGGCTCTCCAATCCCACACAGCCATTAGATCTGAGAATCTCTGCTCGGTTCTGTGCAAAACACAGCCTCCCTTTCTAAATCCTTGCTCTGTGTGACTGCTACTTTTGGCAGACTCCTCAGGACTCTTCTGGAGGACACAGGCTTCCCAGTGCCCTCAGCAGATTTTCAGGACAAAGCAGAACAAGACATCTTAATAGATCTCATCTGTCTGGTCTTGGAACATGACCAAATACTCCCAGAGCCCCAAATTCAGGACCTGGACTCCTGGTTTAAGCATTATGTGGAGACAAGACATGTTCAAGCACTTAGAATAGCATAGCTAGTTAAGCTGTTGTGTAGACAAAGACGCCAAGGCACTGGAGCCTGATTTACGCGATAAAACAATCTCAATTCTTTCTCCCACTGATCTAGTATCCATAAAGATCTTCAAGGTACAGAAATCCTGCTCTGACTCAACTTTATTGTTTTTCCCACAACATAAATTAACTCACAATAGAACTTTCTCAAACTAAACCATTAAAAATAAAATGGACAAGGACTGTGCTCACATTGCCATCAGAAAAGTGATGCCAACACCGACAACTTGCCTACAACTCTTAGCCCAGGTGATCAGGTTTTTAAAAGTGCTTGTGCACCCACAGAGGTGTGTGAGTGAAAGGAATAATGTAAACTAAATTAGATTTTTCTAGCACCCCTGGAAGGGTGCGTGGCACTGTGCACTAATGCAAGGCAGCAGGCAAGGATACAGTTACCAAACAACGTCAGGACGATGAAGTAAATGGAGGAGAACATCCCCGAGTGGACACCACCCTGTGACTCTATGCCGTGGTACATCACCGCGTTCCAGTCTTCCCCCGTCAGGATCTGCACAGAGAAATTTGAGAGGGAAGAAGGGGTGACACAGAGGGAAGACAGAGCAGAGACGGTCAGAGGTGCTGGGCAACTCGATGCAACACAGGATGTGTCTCCCGAGGGGAATGCTTCCCACCTCTGCCACCAGCCTCCCTGCAGAGGCGGTAGAAGTCTCATTCCTACGTATTTCCCGCCCCCCCCAGCAAAACTTCTGACTTCTCTCCATTTTGAAGTCCTGCAGAGATGCCAGGTTTTAGCATTGCCCGGGCACCGAAGAAAACCCTGCCTCCAAAGCCCAGTGTCCTGAGTGGGATCTCCACCAGCTTCAACTCCTTTCATACAGGAAGGGTTTGCTCAGTCATCACCCCAACACACACACTTTATATACTCTTTTTAGTGACCCACATAACAGGACAAGCACCTGCAGACCCCTTCCACTACTTGTCAGCCCCCCAGGGCTGCAGACAGCCTTGCTGCAGCTGAGCCTGGCTCCAAAAGCCAGACCCCGGGCAGCACAGCCACCACGAGGCTTGCCCGGGCTTTGCACTGCCACAGTTCTTCTCCGGGCTTCCTGCTTCCCAAGGCCACAAGGAAGCTCAGCTACCCAAACAACCACAAATCTCAAAAATAATAATAATAAAATAATAATAAGGAGATGCAATACCCAAATGTGTGAGAGTGAGGACAGGAGAGGGTAGCTTCAAGGGGACTCTGCTCCTCCCGCGTCCTTGTGCACGAGCACAAGCGCAGCCCAGGCTGCAGAGCTGTCCTGGCTGCAGGCTGGGATGCTGACCTGGGGCTTATTAGCAAACACATGAATAATAGAAAAACTAACCTTAATAAGCGGAAATACCTAGGTCTAAAATAAGCCTTGTCACTCTAGATGCTAATTTTGCACCAGTCTGAACTGCCTGCCATTGCTGTTCTTCACTGTAACACTGCAACATTTGAGCAGATCAACCCTTCATCTGCCCACCGGGACAAGTCTAACAATAGCTACTTTCAGTACATTAAAAATGCCCACTGGAATTCAGAGCTCAAATGCCCAAATAGGAAGCTGTCTCTTTAGCAGAAGTAGTATGGAAAAAAGAAAACCACCAACACCACCAATGTACTAATCAATCCCAAGTGCACACAGTACTCTAGAAATAACTGCAAATTCCAGACTAACCATCAGCTGCTGATAGAGAGAAAATTTCTTGCTGCAGAGCTGGTGCTGATGACAGCATTAAAGCAAGAGCAAGGAGAGACACAAGGCTACACAGTGCATATGCAACCTTGTTTCCTAAATGCAGAGTCTGGTCTCAAATAATTCAGTGCAAGCCCAGAGCATCCCACGCCACTCGAGTTATGCTGGGTTTACACCAGAGACGATGAACCAGGCCACTGGGCCTTCAGCTCTGGCACTCGACTACACAAAGCTGTGTCCACAAATTTCTGCTCACCTCATTTCTGTGAATTCACAACTGTTCCTGCTTTCTAGAAATAATCATACAGTGATTTCTGTTCACACAGACATTCACGGAAAAGGAACTGGTGGGAGCACTTCTGTGCCCTGCATAGGACCAGGGGTCACAGGTGTCACAAGTTACAGGCTACACACAAACCCAGCAGGACTTGGATTTCAAAACCCCAACCATATTATTTTGAAAGTGGAACAACACCTTAAAGAAAAAATCTGTGTTTGCTTTATGGACCTGTTTCAGAGAGATAACTGGTCTAAACTCACCAGGCTGCCTGTGCAGAGCTGAGGTTGCTCTGAGGCCCCAGTGAGAAGCTGGGGACACAGACCCAGTGTCCTTCCCCAAATTTACACCATTCCCCTCCAGCTGGGGCAATTATTTAGGCAATTAGGTAGCAGCCCTCAAGGAGCAGAGCACATGAAGTTAATAAAGGTCTTTCTGGTCTATAAAGTCTGTGTTTACGGATGCCAATAGAACTGCTTCCTTCTGGAGAAGGGACAGCAGTGCAGAGGGCAAGCGATACGGACTTTGGTGTACAGGAAAGTCCAAAGATTTTGGATTTTCCCAAGTCCCAAACTGCTTTTGGCTGTCCCTAGCAAACACTTTGTCCACTGCAGCACAGCATTTAGCAGTAAGGCTTGGCTGAGGGACTATTGGATGATGGAATAAAAACCACTTTCAAGATCTGCTGTAAAAATCTTAATGGACTAACGAGCACACAAGGGTGGAAGACACTCAGCTGCTGGGGATCAGCACAGCACCATTTCAAAGGGCTGTCCTGAAGGGGAGATACTTTTCTGAAGGACCTGAATAAATGCCAAATCACTTAACTCAGCATCATATCTCACAGTGGGGTCAGCAGGGACAGCTGGGGCACCAAACCCTGCTCTTCCCAGACCTTGGCAAGGGCTGAGGTCCGGTCGCATCCTGCCACCGCGACTCCTCACCTCCCCCAGCAGCCACCAGGGCTCTGCTTCCCTTCCTCGCAGCCGGCAGCGTGCAGTTATTTAAGCAGCAGCTCTCCAGGAGCAGAGCGTGTGTGGCTAATAGAGGTCTTTCCGCTTTATAGAGTCTCCGTGTTTATGGATGTTGTAAACACTTGCAGCTCAATGACTGCTGCAAAAGGGAGACGTTCCTATTTATTTTTCATGCCTGTATATATGAATATATATACAGTTTGTATTTTGTATACACACAGTTGGGCATTCGGCTCATAATATCTTACTTGGGGGCCAAGAGCTGGAGAAAAATGTGTGATGCTCTTAAAGGGAGTTTAGGGATAGCAGGACTCGGTTGCACCAAATACCGAGTTCAGAGAGCTGCCAGGTGGACACAGCATGTCCTGGGAATCCCGTAACAGAGGACTGTGACCCAGCTGGGTCTGCTGAGACAGACAGGGTTAAGGCAGGCTGCGGGACCTGCTGCTGTGGTTTGGTTTTACTGGATGCTGGCAGCACCAGCACTGATTTGGAGGCAGTCAGCTGGGGCTGAGCCCCTGACAAACTGCACGCTTGGGGAGCCATTTCCCCAGACACCACCTCCAGCTGCTCCCCAGGTAACCCAAGCCCACCATCTCTTTTCTCTATCTCACCCCAGGTTATAGCAGAGGGGTTGGTGCCCCGGACCCCCATCCAAGCTATTCTTCCCTATTCCCAATTAACAAAGAGATCACCACTGCCTCCAGCTGGGTGACTGCATGTCCCATGCAGCACAAATGCAGATGCCAGCACATTGATACTTGGACTTGATGATCCTGAAGGTCTTTCCCAACCTAATTCCGTGATTCCATGTTCAAACTCATGCAGACCTGAGCTAGGGAAAGAAACCAGGACGGGAGCAGGCTGTGCCTTAGGGAGATCTTCCAAATCCATCTTAAAGCCTCAGCAATGGGATGGGAGATGGACACGCTGTTTCTGGCCTTATTATCTTTGTTCACTGGCTGCTGCTGCTCTGCTCATTAGAGAAGCAACCAAATGAGTCTGCTGCCTGGCTGAGGTTAGAGGAGGGTCCAAAGCCTCTACTGAAGAAATGTTAATGTGATACTTGCAATTCAAGGGGGGGGATGCACCAGGAGTAGAGGTTATTAAAATATCTCTGTGAGACTGATGAGTGTTAAGCAAATGCTGAAAGTTTTGCTGGTTTTAATTCATAGCTCTGATGTTCTTCACAAATGACATAAAGCCAGCAGTATTCTCCTTCATCCCACAGCCACTACATTACGAGGGCATTCATCTTGGGAACAGAAAGGAAAATATCTCTGCTAAGATTCTTAAGAGACAGCTATAGTCCCAAACCAAAATAGCAACGAAATCTCTAGATACTCATATCCGGAACCTGACTCGGGCTCCATTCCGGCTCTGTGGCAATACCTTTACATTTCTTTAAGCCCCTTTTTTTGATGAGCACTAAAATACTATGCAAATATTAATCTACCGTGATCTGCAATATCCTGCAAGGTAAGTACTGCAGAACCTGTTTCACATCTGGAGAACAAAAATACCCACATGAAGCTGCTTATGCAGAGGTCATGGGACACATTTTCTTTTAGATTTTTTTCTTTTTTAATCCAAAAACTGTCATCCACCCAATCTTTTTTTGAACATGAAATACATACTCCTGGATCCATACTCCTTACTGAGCTGGGTCAGAACAATTTATGTAGGACAACATCCAAAAAGCCAGATGACGCTCCATGGACTGGTTACCTGCACATTGAGCAGGGTTGTGCACCCCCAGCTCTCTGCTGAAACACCTGAAGTGAATGCTTAAAAATGGCATGGAGGCAAGTGCTGCAAAATGAGGCTTTAAATCTGCGCATTGCATCTCCCAGAGCTGCTACTTCTTCCTGCCATCACACGAACTTGCCCAAGGCTGATGCCTCTTTATGTGCTCCCCCATTGATTGTAATTCTTATCCAGCATTATCTTATCTTGAGCTATTACAGTGCAAAATGCTACGTTATTTCCTTACTGCCTGGAGCTAGCTCAGGCATCTCTCCTCATTAAATCACGGCAACTGCAGGAGAAAGTGGAACAGGTCAGCCCCACACTGGCTGGCTGATTTACGGCAGGATGATTTACACAGCCCGCCACATGCAGTGCTGCCACTGCAGCGTGCAGCCCTGGGGGCATGGGCCTCAGGAAGGAGAAGGCACGGACACACACCATCCTTGAGCATGGAAATACCTATTTTAGTGAGATTTCTTACCTAGCAAAAACTCTTCTGTTCTAGTTTCCCTTAATTCCATAGCACTGATCTTTAATGGCGCATTGACTGCTCAGCACTTCTCCTTCCCTAAATTCTGTGGACACCTCTCTGCTCACCATAATTTGGAAGAGATGCCCAAGAATTTCTTTTGTAATGCTGACCCAGGACAAGGGATGGCCTTACCTGGAATACCGTGAGGATGGCAGCTGGGAAGGTATCAAAATTTGTGGTTGGTGTTTCGTCTTGAAAATTGAATCTAGAGAAAGTAATTAAAAAAAAAAAAAAAGGCAGTAAGGGACGAGCAACTCTCCTGCAGTCCCGTAATACCCTGTAACCTTAGAGAGCAGCACTTGCTCCACCTGGAAACAACATCCCAATGAGTACAGCAGGGAACACAGCATCACTGAGGATGTGGCTAACAGAAACACTAGCAGAAATTAAATTTAGATCCTTGAGAAAATTTTGATGCTTTGAAATTAATTGTGTCCATACTTCAAATGAACAACCAAAAGCCCAAACAATTTGCAGAACAAGCCATTTCAATAAGTTTTTGCCCACAAGTGTAAAAGTCAAAATTGACATTACCCACTTATTGGGACAGTTTTATTTTAAAATTTTAAAGATAAAATAGGAGATGATTGAAAAAAATGTTATTTCATTTTAAAATTTTATTTTTGAGTTTAAATGATAATATTGTAATACTTCTTGTTACAAAATTCATTGCAACGGGCATTTCTTAGTGGAAAAAAATCAGATTCAACAAAACTGTTTTCAAGCAGAACAATATACCTATTGAAAAGAAAATCCTGCCACTCTGGCTATCAAGGAAACAATTTGCTTTTCCCCTCAGCACAAAAGCGCTGCCTCTCCCAGTCCTATCTGAGAGATCTGGCTGAACCAGGCGATCATAGAATAGCACAGGAACCTTAATGAAACCGAGAATTATGATAACTAGAAGGAATTCAGCTCTAGGAAAAGTATCAGAATGAAACCCATCTTCTATAAACCAGGGACCACTTCTCAGCAGCCCAGACAGAGATTGACATCTGTACACTCGATTGCAAATTTTCAAGCCCTGCAGCCCCTTTACCCATGTGTATGCCAGGTGATTGCTCTCAGATTACCCCTGAAAGGACAATGGTTAATTAGACTTACTGTCCTCCAAAGAGCTGCATCCCCAGCAGAGCAAACACCACGATGAAGAGGAACAGCAGAAAGAGCAAACTGATGATGGACTTCATGGAGTTCAGCAAGGAGACCACGAGATTCCTCAGGGAATTCCAGTATCTATGATGGAGATCAGAGCAGCCAAGAGAGAACATTAATGGGAGAAGAGGCTCTTTAGTTTAGAAAGTAATAAGATCTGTTCTTTTATTATTAAAAAAAAAAAAAAAAGAGAGAGGAAAAAGAACAAACAAACAAATATAAAAACAACAAGAGGAATGACAGGGATTATTGGTATCTTTATTCTCCTCTCTGACATATATGACTGAAAAGCACAGCTCAGTGACAGAATCTCCTGTAGCATTCCAAGGGCCAAGATGGTCACCATGGTGTATGTGTACCAGTACAGAGAAGTTCACTGCAGTGAAAGGGCTCAGTTTAATTTCTCAGCAGCCCCTTTCCTGGTGTAGATTTTAACCTTTCTGTGTATGCTCCCGCATGTTTCTCATCCCACATTGCAGTCAGCAGGAGTGTGAAAAAATGGGATGTGTCGATATCAATGAGAGGCTGAACCTGGGGACAGTGAATCCTTGGCTTCACGAGGCATAAAGCAAGAATAACCATCATCTCTGCCAGGAAATGTCCCCTTCCAACTTATCAAATGCCCTGAGTATTCACAAGCAGGCTTAAAACCTCACACGCTTAGACACTTCTGTAGATGTTTAACACACACTCATGCACAGCAGATGCCCTCAGTGCGGGGCAGTTCAGCTGCGCAGTTGAAGCATCCAGGACCAAGCAGCCACCTCTGAGGATGGAAACAAATCCAGGACATTAACTCCGACATGACAAGAGGGAATGGCTCAGCCTGCATCACAGCCAATACAACCACACCACATGCAGCCATCTGCTGCAGCCCCTTTTTGCTTCTATCCCCCAACGCGCCCAGAGGTTGCTCCAGGCACACGCATGGGCAGGCACGCTGTGTGATGGGGAGGGTGCCCAGGAACTGCCCCTTTTCTTGCCCTATTTGCCTTATTTCTATTAGGAAAACTAATGACTCAGAAAATGCAGAACAAGCCAACAAGCAAAGGAGCTCTTCAACAACCTCCTTTCGGACAGTCAGGCACATGGAACAACAGGGCAACACATGCAATATCCTGTGTTAAAGGTTTTGAGACCAGAAATTTTTAAGGCAGGAATTAAAAAAAAATAGAATGAAAACCACCACTAATTTTCCTCTTCTTCCTCTCCCGTGCAGCTGCGAGGACTGAACCAACCCAGGCTGAGGATGTCAGAGGCAGGTCCATGCCAGGAGGAGCAGGATCACACACTCCTGGTGCACCCATTCCAAGAAGATTTGTGTCCATAACACAGTGACAACAGGTTTCAGGGGGAACTTTTCGTCTCCTGGGGGAATATCTTTGGTTTTAAGAGATGCAACCACACCTCTCCTTGGAGAAGGTGGATGGGTTTGTTTGTCACAAAGACTTTCCCCTGCTCGTCACAGTGACTTCAGGCAAAATCTGCCAGCAGCACCAGGCTGGCACCTTGCAGCTAACCCAGCTGGACACTGAATTCCTGGAGAGGCCTCGGCTTGTCTTGGAAGAGCTCAGCACCAACTCCTGCCTGATTACAGAGCACAGGATATAACAAGGGGCTGCATCTCTGCAGCTGCCAGTCCTCATTTGGTTCAGACATGACTAAGAGGAAAATACATGAAACACCTCCCCTTGTCTTCCTCTCCAAATTTTTCTCTCTTAGGCTGTGTCGACTCTTCAGGCATCCTGCTGTCACCTTTGGGACTGCTGTAATTTAACTTTTTAGTTATTACATCACTCTGCCAGCTGCAGTCACACAGATTTGGGCCGTAGGAATCAAAATCTCTCATATCAGTTCTTCAGAGCTGGGTGGACTGCCATGGTCTGCTACTAAACCCAGAGGCAGGCAGCCTCAGGGAAACACAAAAATATGTGAAAGACACAGAAAATGGGCAAAAATTAAAACTACTCAGGATCAGGATGTTTTCACAGTGAAGACCCCAATAAGAACAGGCGGGCAGCTGTCTGTGCCTGGTGCTACATCTTTGGTCACTCCCTAAACTGTGCCCAGATCTGCTGGGGGAGCTGGGAAGGACCTGGTGACACCATGAACATGTTTCTGTCATACCAGGGGAAAAATCCTCTTAAGGGAATTTCTGCGTCAGTGGGGCACAACTTTTACTTACTGTACTGGGAAGGGGGGCAAGCACCCAAATCACTCCATGACTTGCTTTGATAAGTTAAACATCAGGCTTTGCCCCCTTATTATATTGGTTAAAATCCTGAATAGTTAAAATTGGCAAAGAGATCATTTAAACTTGCAAAAATGTCTAATTTTTTTTTTGAAAAGCACAACATACAATCAGATACACCCAACCTCAGTAGCTCTGGATAAAACTAACTGCAGACAATTAATTGCTAGATTTTTCTTTAAAAGCATGGAGTTTTCCATAAGATTAGAGCAGAAGTAGATTAAGTGACATTTTTGGAGCAACATTCCACACCTTTTGCTGGACATTTACAGAACTTCATCTTTCCTACTCCCACCATGCCTCAAATGACACATTACCGTGCATGAATTGTTGATCTTCATGATGATTAGCAGATCTAAATCAGAAAACTCTAAAGAGCTAATGAATACCATGCATGTGAATAGTTAGGAAAGTACCTAGTGCCTTCAAATTACTGTTTTGTTCAAATGTGACAGCCTATGCATTTGGGTTGCCATTCTGTTTTTGGTGTGTTTGTTTTGGGGGGTATATTTCTGTTCCTGTTTTTTTTTTTTGTTTGTTTGTTTTGTTTTGTTTTCTCTGTCTTATCTTTTTCTCTTTTTAAGTGAAGAGAGTGATGGAAAGATGGGAGATGTGAGGAGGTCATTGTGTAGCAGAAAACAACAGCAGAGGCAGCCAAATATTTCATCAAGTTCCACATTACAACATTAAAACCTTGTGGAAATTGCTCTTGATGGGTTTACAAGGTGCACATTAGCTATTTCCTAATGCCAGCACACAGTAACACACCACATGAGTATGGAAACACCTGAAAAGCTGGGCGCACCCAACTCTAACAAATGTTCAAATTCACAGGCTCAACACAGAAAATCCTAGGCATTCCCAGACCAGGCAGAGCACAGAGAGTGGCAACGCTTCATATTTGTGTGAATGTTGTGGTTTGGTCATCAGCATTCCCTACCCAGCAGTAGCCAGAGTATCTCAGCTCACTCAGCCCATCAGATCTAAACCTTTAAGGAACTATCACCAGGTCAGCGGCAGATAAATGAGCAGTTGGTGGAGCTTAGAAATTAAATAAACTTTTTTTATCCTACCACAAGAAATGAGGGATCTCCTACTGAGATTCTTGTTGTAAGGAAGCCTAAAGCCAAAGAAAAGCAGGATGTTCTTGTGCGTCCCTGCCCCAAGGGTATAAAAGGGCTGAAAACTGTGTCAGACAAACCTGTATGTAAGTGAGGCTGGGGAAAGGGCTGTTAAAAGTCCTCAGAGATGCAACTTCCTAGGAACTCACTAGTTTCTGGCTGCCAGAAACCCGGAGTGCCCAGCCAAGGGAAGGGCAATTCTGCTGTTTTCTTCCATTCCCACACCCACTAAGGCCATTACAGATGTAGGATGTTAGAACTGACAGACCTTTGTGCTGCCAATTACAGGGTGTTTTTATGTTGTTGTTGTTACTGTATTATCATTATTTTTATTATTAACACATGTGGAAAGCACTACTATTTTCTGTGGGGCTGGTGATACAGATCTCATACACTACTAGAAGTAGAATGGGAGCAGAACAGGGGCTGGACTCACTTTGTGACTTTGAAAATCCTCAGCAGTCGAAGAGCTCTCAGTACGCTGATGCCAAATGAGGTACCAGGCTTCACCGCAGCCCAAATAACTTCAAAGATACTTCCCACAATGACCTGCAAGAGAAGTCCATTTTATAGAAGGCAAAACATTTCCTGCATTCTTTGTGGTGCTGCTATAGAGGCCAAGAGCTGAAGAGTCAAAGTGTGTACTATGATGGCTTTCTTGCAGAAGCTACAGTGCAATTTTGAGAAAAAAAAAAAAAAAAAAAAAAAAAAAAAGAAGCCTGGTTCTAACTTTCTGCAGTCCAGTCTAAGAAAAAGGGGCAATAACTAGATAGGGTAGAACAGATAGGAACTTGTTGCTTTCTTCTCTAACAAGCAAACTACCTCAAAATGGCATTTCTTGAAGGACAACACTACAGTTTCTTTTTTTTTTTTTTGTTTGTTTTTTTAAATCTACACTGGCACAACTGCAAATACCATTTGTACTACTACTTCACCTGCTCACCCCACATGTCCAGTCCAGGCAGCCCCCAGAGACACAGGGGGCCCCCACCCCATCCTTCCCATCCCAACAGAAGCACCACAGCTTTGGCTGTGACACTGCAGAACAGCCCAGCATTAACCTTGTGCAAAATTACCAGAATCTTCTGGCAACTCGGAGTTGTTAGCAGACTGATTAAGATAACAGCTATTAAGAGAGCCTAAAAAGTCTCTAGCATGCACATCCAATTGTCTGCCAGGCCCTCAGGCTGCAGTTATCGAAAGAATTGTCCACAGCCAAGGTTTTTAGCTTTGTTTTGTTTTTAATTTTAAACAATTTTTGTTTGTTCTAAGGTTGACAGAGAATTAACCTCAATAAATAATAAGAAATTTTCTCTGAAATCCTCTATTAAAAAAGACAAAATAATAATGGATTAAGCACAATTGGAAAGGGTGATTATATCAACACAGGCTATTGCACAGTTAATAAGAGAAGATGGGCATTTTGTTGCCAGTTAGTGTTATTATTTGCATTAACTTAGCATATTTCAGAGCTCACACGGACCGTGGTCCCCAGTTGTGTGATGCACACCATTAGCACGTTACAACCAGACCCCAGGGAGCAGCTGGCTCCTGATGAGAAAGGCAGCGTTAACAGCACGGCAGGACATGAGCTGCTGTGCCTGGGTACCTGAGCAGTGCCATGACCCTCAGCATCTTGCAAACCCCTTCCGTGAGCAGACACCTGGATGTCTTTTGAAAAATGCAGCACGGCATGCAGCCGCTCTGCATGAAACGCTGTGCCCTGATGAAGAAAATGTAGTGGAAAAAGGGAAATATACAAGAGTTGCTCACCCAATCACTCCCATTACAAAAAGAAGGAATTAATATCTCTCTCCCACAGTCTGTTACTCTTGGGAATCCCTCATGAACCAGCAATAACCTTTCCTTAGTCACTCCACATATTACATTAATAATTAACTTCCCTGGCATCCCAGCATGGCCTCTTGGGAGTGGTTTCACATGAGACCCCACTGGACCATTTCTCCCAAGACTGATGTTGTCCTGTTTTGTTGTTTCTCTTTTTGCTTTTGAACCGTTTCATCATGACGGTTTGTCAAACTAAACTGGCTACAGATCTGTGTGATGTTCCAGTGGGGTGCAGGAGCAGCATTAGCTCTGGGGGCTGGAAGGTGGGTGAGGAGGCAGAAACCCAGACAGAAAGTAGGATCCCAGCAGATTCTCTAAAGGAGGCAGAATTAGAAACAGATCAACAGCTTTACCCCCTGGGAAACACCAGCTTAAGCTTAAAATAAAAAGCTTATGCTTAAAAAGCAAAGTTTATGGGAAGTGCTGCACTCCCCATAGCATGGCAGTTGAGCTTTGCTGTGAGTTGGGTGCTCCAGTTGAGGGAAGCTTCTCTGGCTCTTGGATTTGGCGCCATCTCTAAGTGTGCAGACACCCAGTTATCTTACATTGTCTGGGTTGTTTGGGATCTGGTTTCTGTTCATGGAAGTCTCTGGCTGCACAACCACTAAGGCACAAAGATCTGCACAGCGTATCTCAACGCTTTGATCCCCCATCACTGCAAGGAGCACCCAGGGATGAAAGTCCCACACAGCAGGGACTCGGGGCAGGCAGACACAGATGACTTTTGGGTTTGACCTCAGTGTGTTTAGCTCTGAGCTTTCCTGACACTGCTGCCAACCAGAGGATGTGGTAGCTCTAGGTGTAGTCTTGACTTTAGGAGCTGTCACATACCAAAAGCAAAAACACCTCCTCCCCCCGTGTGGGAGCAGTGCTGAAACAAGGACTTTAGCCCATAGGGAAAAAAGAATCACTCTAAGCATTTTGGCAGATTAAGACCAGAAACAACAAACTAAATCCATCTTGGAGAGAAGGACTGGATGGTGGCTACAATGAGCTTAACTGTTTTGCCCTTGCTCATGGCTGAATCAGAAGCATCACATCTGTGTTGTTAAAGAAAACATACAGCCTGATTCGTGCTCTAGGACCAGTGCTCACCCCACACTAAAGATATAAAAAGCCTAGTTAAGCCTAGCTAATTAGTCTGTAGTTAGTACAGACTAATAGCTTTTTTAAAATAAACATCTACCTGCAATGTTCTTGTACAATTGTGTCAAAACTGGCCCCTCTATTGACATGCTACAGGTATAGTTCTAGCAGGAAAGGGAGAGCCTGGACTTCTACAGTGAAACAATCTGAATTTGAGCCTTTCTGTCACCTCATTTCGTGTTTCAGCCTCTGCTTCTGGGTGCTCATGTCTGAAAAGTTCTGCCTATATACCCTGACATAAAGGCCATTGAAGGGACAACAGGGGAGATGAGGAATAAGATGTGTGGGCTTTTTGTCTTTCAGTCACCTCATTTAAATGGGAGACAGAATCTCACATTAATCAGAGCGTTTACTGGTGCTGATGCTGTGAGCACCCCATAACTCCTGCGGAAATGAAATCCCCGGCTGTCACATTTCTTCAAGAAGGATGTTAACTAGGGAAAGCTTAATGTGTTTCCCTGCATCTAATTTATATGACAACTGCTCCCTGGAAAGACACCCTTGTAGCACCATTTCCCATACACAGCCTTAAACGCCCAGCCCCATTTAATAATAGGGGACCACACACTTGATCCATGCAGCTGAAGCCTACTCACCCCAAAGTCAAAGCAGTTGAATGAAGAGTGGAAGTAATTTCTTGGCCCCAGTCCATACATCTTCAAAGACATCTCAGTAAGGAACAGACCCAGAAAAACAAACTCTGCGAAATCTAGGAACCAGAAAAGAGATTAAATTAGTCCACAAGACCTTGGTAGGCAGAGTTCTTCATGCAGGAAACAATAGTAATTTTTCACAATACAGACTTCCTCCTGCCAGAAGAAAATCCCTTTGCAATGGCAAACAAGACCCTGAGGAGAGTTTCACATAAATATTTCGATATGAGCGTGAGCTGCATTCAGATTGAGGTATTGGGAAGGCAATGTTTCATGTGTACTGTGGGAAGGTTGGCATGAGCATTAAATATCATCATCCTCTTTGTAAAGGAATTTTGAAGGAGTTCTGGGTCTAAAATTTCCAAAGGTCTAATTTAATTGCACAGATGTTTTGCAAATGCATGTTTGGAGCTTCTGTACCTACGTGAGATGGGCATTTTTGGAAGTGGGGTGTAAGCTTTTATAACATTCTCTCACGATAAAAATACCTTCTTACCCAACAGAGCTGCTGCCTCTGTGAGCTCAGATTCAGAGGTGTTGGGTCTACTGTTAGCACACAGCCACTTTTATTTTTATTACGCCTGCATAACTATATAATTATGGAAGAGCAAGTTCAGTTTCCTTCTGCTTCACATATCACAAGCAAATAGGCTGTGAAGCTTTTGATGGGAGAATTTATCACCTATGATGAAACAAAGGGCAGAAAGAACATAGCTGGAGTTTTCAACTTCCGTATCAGGCTTTTTAGGACTTGAAGCTACAGAAAACATTGCCTTTGGCATTTTGAGTTATGCAAGTTAGGTCTGGAAGCCAATGAGCAACAGAAACAATGGAACATTAAAAACAAACATAAGGTTAAAAATCCCCTTGATACCAACACAAACCAAATGGCACACGGCAAACCTCTCCCTCTAGAGAAAAGGGGAAGGAAAGGTTCAAACTTCAAAAGGTAAAGATCAGTCATGTTGCTTACCGCCACAGAAGCTTCTCAGATATTGTAGCATGCAGATGCTACAGGGAAGACTTCTATAAATCAAGTTTTATGATTCCAGGAACAATAAAGAGAAGATGGTGCCAAACTTTTCTCAAAGGTGCACAGACAAGGGGCAACAGATGCAAGTTGCTACGGGGAAAAATTCAGTTAATCTGAAATCCCAGTGTTTTGTATGCCTCCTGGAATACATGGCTTCGGCTAACAAGCGTGGGGAAGAAGCAGGGAGGGAACGAGGGCCCTTTCAAACTGCATGGCTTTTGCTCAGGTCTTTGCCTTGCATATTCATACCAAGCAAGTGCATTTGGCCCAGGTCCACTTTGCACTGATGCTTGTCTTTTGAAATGGCCTGAAAAGCGCACTTCCACTATCAATGATTAAAAGAGGGATTTTACATTTCAAATGGAGACAGTCATGAAATATCATGGGCATGATGCTAATTGAAATGCAGGAAGCACTATGTAGATGAGGAAGGTTTATTAACACTTTACTGGGTAGCCTAGGAGGGCGCTTCTGCCAACATTTACAAGAGGGGAGGAAATACTGGGAGAGCATTAATAACTCCATGTAACCTAGTCTCCTTGTAAATAGAAGTAATAGCATTAAAGGAGATTATAAAGGGCAAAGTTCACATTTGAGGAATAGGATGACAAAATATGAGATCTGCACACTTCTCGGTGTTTTTGCTACCAACAGGTAGGCTCCATCTGCTGGGTCTCGGCGCTCAGGGGGCACTGCGGTGTGATGGACTCACGAAGGAGCAGCACATCTCCACCTTCCATAGTGCCAGGAACCTGCTAGGAGAAGCATGTTCCCACCACACCATGCTAAAGTTCTCTCCTTCCTGGAAAGACCTGTAGCAAATCAGTGAGCAAAAAGTTCTCTTCAACACAAAGAATTCCAGAGTAGGAATTTTTTGAGTTACCCTGACAATATACTTGACTATCCAAGTGCAGAGAAAGAGACCAGAGGAGCTAATGTCAGGCGTGACGTGACGTTAGATAGTAATAATATATTAGTAATAATATATTAATAATATAATAGTAAGAATATGAAATCAAGAAAAACAAAACCAACACACAGCAAAAACAAAGAACCTCTCAAAATGTGTTCAACGCTATCAAATTTCCTTGCACACAATTAAAAAGATTGCAAGCAGCAAGAACATTAAAATCCTTAATTATTAATAGCGGTTGCTGTAAATCAGCCACTTAGACAGTAGCTAACTTCCATTCTGCACCCTGCAGTCTTTGGAAATAAGAAGCAGAATTAAACACTCCCCTAGCAAACCAGATACATCTTCCCAGAACACAGAAGAATTTGTGCTGCTGCTGTCACCTCTTCCGCTCATTAGCCCCGAGGGAAAACTTGCACCAGCATTTATGCCGTTTACGGAGTCGCTCTCTCGCTGGGAAGTTAGAGCTCCCATCTTAGGTTTCATGCTCAGCAGAGCTCAGCAAGCCTGATGACATTTATTTGAATGTCTTCAGCGTAAAGTCCTCTTATTACAAAGATCGATGTCAAACCAATGCTTTAAAACTGATGGCCTTGCTTAGCTGGCAGACAAAACCTGGAATTGCAGGGAGGGGTTGTAGAGAGGGTTCAGGGAAAACATTGCACAGGCTTCTCCCCTTTGTATCTCACTTTGGTGGGGAGATTATTTATCCAGCAGACTCACCTTTAAGAGTTACATTTCACGTATGCTCAGAAAATAAAAATAAAAAAATAAAATAAAAAACAAGGTAGAATTTTTATTACAATTTTCACCAACATATCCCAGTGCACTTTGCCAGGATAACTGCAATTATTTTGTAAGAAGAAAAAGGAGGAAAGAAACAAGGATTAATGTTCAGTCACCCATCCAGCAGAAGCATTTCCAAATAAACAAACAAAACAAAACAACAAAAAAAATCAATTATCATCCAGTGCAATGTTTCGTCATTGGACAGACACAACCTGAACAAATATATACAAGGCCAGATTATCATGGGAGAAAAGCAACAAGCAAATGCCCTAAGAAAAATAGAATCAAGTAATATTCAGTATTAAAACAGAAGAAACATGCAAGAAACTCAATAACCAAGGGACAACTTCCTTTTGCCTCTCTTGAAAGTAGAGCCCAACTCGTCCTTTCACACCAGATGCCGTCCATCTAGAGCGGAGCTCGCAGTGATAGCTGGGCCTCAGCAGACACCCGGTGCTACACATCACAGCACTGCACGGACAAGGGATGGAGGCAAGGAAAATGTGGGCATAGTGAACTCCTTGGGCAAAAGGAATTGACTCAGAATGAATCAGCTCCTCCAGCTGATGGATCAGATATGTGATTTCTTCTGACATGGCCCTGCCCATTTAATTGAAAATACAATTTTGTTGTTTGGACCTCCTGGTATTCAGACCCCACAAGTAATTCAATCTGCCTTAAACAGAAACATTTTGTAATGTGATTGAAGTAAAAAAAGTTTGATACAAATACTCTTATTTAATTTAGGATTTGTACTATTGGCAAAGACCACGCTAGTATCTTTTTGCCCCATACTTTTGAATTAGATGGTTAGTGGCTCTTTTTTGTCAATCACCAATGGATTAATTCCATTTCTGCCCTGGCTCCAAGTCTGATGACATTAGGAGCAGGTGTTAAGCCTGCCACTTCAGTTTCCTTTGCTCTTTCTCCTCTTACATTAAAGCAACCAGGAGGAGAACCTCAGTGAAGTACAACTTCTTCCTCTGACAAGGCAGACGTGAAATGTTCAGCAGACATAAATAAATATGCTCGTTTCAGAAAGCCTTTTCCCTGCAATTGCAAATGCTGCATGTTTATATCCAGAGGGAGTTGGCTATCTACTTCAAAGGCAAACACAATATCATCAAAAAGGCCTAATTGCATCAAACACATGGTTCAGCATAGCACAGCACACAGGGAAGATGTTCTCAGGCCATAATGTCTAAAATACTGTTTTCAAATATTGTATTTATCAGAAAGGAGGCGTTCTGGAACTCATTTTTAGACAGAAACTGAGAAGCAAGCTAAAGATCACTGCAGCATTAGCCAGGGAAACCCAGAGAGAGTTCCTTCATGGAGGGCAGCCACAGGCAAAGGAAAGCCTGATGAGAAGGCTCCCATCCTCCCAAGGGAAAACTTAGTGATTTAATCCTAAAACCTCATCACAGTCCCTAAAACTCATCCTGCTGAAACTTCCACAGCCCTACCTTTCCAACTTTCTTCCATACCTTTATCCAAGAGCAGAGGAGACAACCATCACCTCTGCTGACCTCCTGCATAGCACAGAAACGCATTCAGCTGCTTTTATATCAGTCCTGTAAGTTCTGTTCAAGCTACAACACACATATTTTAGAGAGCCCAGTTCTGAATAAAAAACCCTTAAAATGCTGCACCTCCACTATGTGCCTACGTTACGGACTTTATGGTTGTTGTCCTTGCTGATGAAGGGCTTTGTTGCAAATAGATCTCAAGTGATGGCTTTCTATGCTAGATTATAGATTATTGTCTTCTGACAGAATTCTCTTGGTGTAGATAAGTGCAAGCAAATTATGATCACGGATATCCTCCTATAGGGAACTGCAACTTGTTTAACTGAAGGCCCATGCTCTAGAGAGCAGCACATGCCAAGCATACATGTGCGGTGTGAAAAAACTCACTGCAACATGGCACCAGAGCCCTTTTCATACTGAGAAGGAAATTTTCCCATCTAATTTGAGCATAACTGTGGAAGCATGAAGTGTGTCCTGTCATGCACCATACCCCAAGAATTCCAGGAGTTTCCCATCAGGGTGAATAGCCAGCTCTTTCAATGAGACTAAACAAACTCCAAGTCCCTTTGTAAAGCTCCCACTGTTCCTTTTCAAAGCAGTTGCAGCAACACGGAATATCAAGCAGAGAAAGCTAATCAGAACAACTCAACAGCAGAAAAGTTAAAAGAAAAGACCAGAGGAAAATAAATCAATGCAGACCTGTAAGGCTTTAACCAGCCATTCTTTAGGTAAAATTAATTTGTAAAGTAATTAAATGTTCCCCAGAGGGACAGGTATAATTGAATTAGACGTGCCTGGGTAGCATTTTGTGGCTTAGCAGATCCTTGCAGACTTCAACCACACTCCTGTCCCTCTGTCACAGTTCATACAACTCCCCACCAGCCCAGCTCCGAGCACCTTCCATGAAACAACCTAATTAGCATTGGCTGCTTCTCTCTTGCTCTGCATCAGACCAGTCAAGTCCTGCTCCTCCTCAGGGAAGTTCACTCATCATGGATTAACTTTAAAGCCACTTTTAAGCTCTGTCACCTGCACAGTTAAAAGATTTCGCCAAGTATTTCCAGGAGTTGTATAAAATCTCCCTGTTTTGTAATATCTTGCCCTGCCCTTATCTGATGGATTTTTGAATGAATCTTGGGCATAGGAAGACTTTCAAGAAGCATTTCTTGAGGACTGAACCATAGATCATTCACAAATGTGTTTGGTGCCAAGGTAACCAGGCTGGCTGCAGTTGGTGTATGCAGGAGAGAGAGGAGCCAAGTCCAGTCCTTACCATGACTGAAATAAATAACCAGCTAGCCCACACATGTACTTTACGGCGTAAAATATTCTCTGCTTCCTATAATAAACTCTTGATTAGTGCGAAATATTATTCTGTGAAAATGATAACTTGCCCCCAGAAGATGGGAATAACTCACTGGGATCACTTGCTCTTGGCTAGGTAGTATTCTAGCATAGAGAGATTAAAGTATGGTACCCATGTTTTTCTGAAAGTATTTCACAAATTGGGTGGTAGGGACTTGTCCAGAGCATCTGAAAGATGAACCCACCCCAATCCCTGATACTGGGCAGAGCACAGTTCCAACCTTCCCTACCGTCTGCCGCTAAGCTAGGTAGGGAGCCTAATTTATGCTGACTGTACCAACTACATTTCCCACCTGGAGGTGCACCTTTCATTCTAATCAGCACAAGCAATCCTTCCTACTCACATGAGAATATTAAGCAGAATTTGCTGGCTCGCGGCTTTCTTAATGTTCTCTTAGAAAAGTTACTGCGTAAGGTGTTCCCAAAACTTACTTTGGAAATCTGAATTCTTCTTTTCTGAGTTGAAAGACTTAAAGTATTTTATTTTTTTCCTCCTAGACATTTAGTCCTAATTCAAGAGAAAATCCTAAGCCTCAAACTTCTAATTACTCTGCCAGTCTAGCTTTCCTCTGTTAAATTTGGGAATCAAATAGGCAAGACAGATTTCTCTGTGTGGCCTGTCTTTTCTATCTAAATCTCGTAAGAGAAGCAGTTGAAAGGAGCTTCTGTCCTCCTTATGCATCTCATTACATCTTCAGTTACCTGGTGGCATTAAATATTTTAGCAAACATTAATAGGGAGCTTTTTTGAAGTTAGAACAGCTAGTATTCTTGACCTTTTAGGTCTATAAAAGAAAAACTTCAAAAGTTATCTTCTTTATAATAATGTTAGACCTGAAGATCTGGGTCTAGAAATATTTAAATAAGTAATTTCAGAGAAATCAATGAAAATTAGGTGGATAAGTAACTTTAATGATCTAAGCCACAGTTATTAAGTCAGACTGTTTGATTTTTCCCCTAGACTTTTTTTTTTGCTTCAGCACATTTGATATAATTTCTATCACTACTGCACATATTTTCACAGACAGACAGCATGACACGTATCCCATCTGATCACATGCCATTAGCAAGAAAAAGATCTGTAAAATTTCAACCCTCTAAAGAATATAGAAACAATTGCTAAAACTGTGATGAATTAGCATACAATTCTGTAAACACATATGGACTTGTTTTTTCCTCCCAAGTAGCCCTGGTCATGGCACATGCTGTTTGTTATCCCAGGCACACCAACACAGACAGAGCTTTAACTATATCCGCAATACAAATCACCCATGGATGCAGATCAGCTGCAAAGTGGCATGGATTCTGCGGTTCTCTAAGCAGCTGATGATTAGACAGAGCAACTTCAATTTGCCCCAGCATGCACTCTTCACCCCTCCTTTCACAAAGCTTCCTACAGAACAAATCCTCCTGCAGTGGTACAAGACTAACATGTGGTTGAATTTGGGGTTTCAGGTAGAGTTAAAGATCATGTTCCCATGTCATCTCAGATGGATATCGTGTCCTGATGTGTTGGTTTTTTTTTGGTCTGAATTATATGACTCAACAACCCTTGAGTTACCAGAGGCACTCATAAATGCATTTGTGACCCTACTCTGAGGGTCATGGGAAGCCCCATGTTTCATAGTGACAAGAAGCCCCCAAAACAGACCTCAGAAATGCTGTGAGCAGCCAAAAACACAAGACCTGCTTAGAGGAGAGGTGCAGCCCCCAGTACTCACACAGCGCAGTGGTGAGCTTCTCCGGCTGGTCGTAGTGCACCATTGCCACGCAGAGCGTGTTGAGGGCGACCACGCAGAGCACGATCCAGTAGAAGCTCTGAGCTTTCACCATGCGCCGGATGAAGAACCGAAACATTTTCTCTTTCCTCCGGAAGTAGGACGAGCTCTCGTTCTTCCCACTCTTCAGACTGGCACGGGCAAAAGGAGACCCTGGGCAGTGGGGCAAAGAAACAAGAGTCACCACACCGCATCCCAGCAGGCAAAAGGCCAGAGGATGCTCTGGGGAGCGCAGACCCACTCCCAAGCACCAGAAACACAGCTGAGCAGAAAGCTGGGCACATTGAGAATGGGCAGAGCAAGGGCATCTTGCTTGCAATGACTTTGCGAAGGATGAAGGCTGGGATTATAGAGCTTCATGGATTAGTGCCCAGCTCCGTATTCAGAAGGAACTGGGCTTCAAGCTCCCCGAAGTTATCTTGAATGTCCCAGTTTAACTCATGTCCACCGGGCTCCTGGCTGACTGCAGTCACGGCAAGACCTGGGGTGTTTGTGTCCCCAGTGTGGAGCACATCATCCTGGAGCTGTGCAGCAGGCACCTTGTCCCTCTATCCCCTGCTCCAAGAACCAGGCAAAGCCCCAGCCCTAACTACTAAACTGAGCAAAGTCTCCTTATTTTACTTCCTGACTTCATGTCTCTCTGCAGCAGAGGGCTCAGTCTGTCTCCATGCATCATATTTTGGGCACAGCTACTCATTTGTATCAATTCTGCTTATATCAGCTACATTTCAAGTCTGGTCTGAAACCTTGGAAGAGAGTCAAATGTTTTAATAATAGGAAGCTGACGGAAGAAATGATTCCTAATGTAAGCTCTCCCCCTGAGGTACTGTTGAAACGAGCAGTGCTGAAACGAGCGATGAAAAGGCCAGTGCTGAGGCAGGCGAAATCAGCACCCGCTGGAGTTCCTCTGCAACAGCCGCAGACGCTGTTGCAAGCAGGGCAGGTCGTGATGGCCACAGGCTGTCCACTACCTGTTTCACGCTATGCTGGCACCCCTCTGATTGTCAGCGAGCCTTGTTGCAAGACGGCTCGTGGCAAGGTAGCACGCTGATGCCCTTCCCCATCATCAGATGTTGCCTGCCAGCGGGTAGGGCTGACCAGGACACGCACCATCCCATCTTGGACCAAGCTCCGTGACAGCAGGTGACTCGCACGAGCTCTCCTTGGAGATGGCTGAGTTTCATGAACAAAGTGTTCAGGCTGCAGCAGCCAATTTTTTTTTCCTGTGTACTTGCTTACATTTCAACACTTCCAAGCACGGAAGGGGTGCGAATCTCACCCTGTTTCATCTTGCAGTAACACCAAACACCGCACCCATCGGAGGGATGGAGCATCCAGCTGTGACAGAGGTGTGTTCTCCACGCCTCGCAGCCCCACAGGAGCGTGCTGCACCAGATCCCTAACAGAAAGCAAGCTCTGTGCTTCATTCCACATTTCTGGCCATCCGCTGGCATGCCATGTGCAGAGCTGCTCCTGGCCAGGCTTTGAACAAATGCCTCACTGAAAAACTCAGTGTTCTGTTGTTGTTAGCTTGATATCCTTCCTTTGGCAGTTTAAAAAAGAGTAATAGAAGTAATAGCGCTCATCTACTGTTTGTAGGTAATAAAATGAACTACAGGTTAAAAACATAGGCTACAGCTGTATTGTAATAGCGTTAAGCAGAAGAAGACCTCTCAGAAATCCAAGCCAGTCCATACTTTCAGACTTGCACAGGAATGGTCTGCAGCCCTTTTACCCCCTCTCTGCTGGCTCTGCTGATCTTCCAGGAAAGAGCAGCAGCAGCAGGCCACGTTCTGTATTTAAATTGATTTAAACCTGGAAAACATCCTCTTTTCTAGATTTCATTGTCTGGAAATCAAGACAGTGCCCTGTCTCCAGTTCAGCATGGAGGGTGGGAAGCCAAAAGGAGTCAGCATCAACAGCTGCAGGCTGGTTAGCACAGAAAAAAAGGCACGGAGTCAGGAGGAAAGAAAAGAATAAATTTTAAAAATAACTCCAGAGAGCACAGTGGGAAGTGTTTACCACTATATAGCTTTATAATGTAATTATAAGGCTCATTGAGGTACTTGTGTTTGAATTAAAGTGCAACGTATTCAGGCAACAGCCAGCAAGAGACCTGTCAACGTCTCTGCCCCTCTGGTCTGCATCTTCTCTCTGTGTTCAGCAATTGTATTTCTAGTTCTTCCGCAGTTCTTGCGCTGCCATCAACAAAACATGATAGCTCAAGGAAACCATCCAAAAAAACTTTTCTCAAAACCATACTCTTTATGCATAATCACCCATACGATCCGATTGTTTATGTTATGCAGAGCTTCAGTCTTTTCAAGAGCCTGCAGAAGTATTTGCTTTATCCATTTCTTCTTTTTAGTCTTGTTCCATGAATCAAAATCACAAACACTTCTCCCCAGTGGATGAACCACTCACAGAAGGTGGAAAGCACTGCTGTTATTTTCCCTGCCATATGCTCCTGAGACAGTTCCCAGCTCTGCATCAGATTATCCACGAGCCCAGATGCTCCGTCATCCGTTGCCACCTGAAATGCTGAATTGAAAGATCTGTTTGCGTGGCATGGGTGCCCAGAGCCTAGAGGGACTTGGATGTGAATGCAAAGATCTCATAATTATTGCAGCCATAAACAAATGTTCCAGAAATGATGATTCCGTGTTATCCACGCAGGGATCTGAGCTACTCAGAAACAAAACAAAAAAATGCACACGGCTGCTGCAGTTTCACCTTCTTTCAGCAACCAATCTTGCATAGGAGTGTCAGCAGTTTAGCCACAAAACCTGCAGCCTGTGGCAGTGCAACAGAGGGTGATGGTGTCAGGAACACACAGAGCAGTGCTCATTTCCTGCAAGTAGGTCTTCATTTAAAGGGGAAAAAAATCCAGCAGCAGCTGTAATCTCTTAAAAGGTTAATGCCAAATTTCCAAAGAGCATTTGAGGCGCTCATGCTTGCAAGCATACATGGACATGTACTCTCAAGTGTACTGTTTGTGCTGCTGCCCTTACACATCCAGGATTTGCTGCTTCGTGGTAACCGGGGTGCCAAGGCATTTCTTTGGGAGATAATGAGAACATCTGCTGCTTCAGCAGCAAAACAAAATACAGACTTGAACAACAGGGATAGGAATAAGCAAAATAACTGTCTCCAAAGCAGGCAGGAAGATGTCTCTCCAGCCAGCAGGGAAAAACCACAACTGAAAGGTTTTTCTGTTGATGTCCACTGAGCTGGGTGCACAGAGGGGTGCTGGGTGCTCCGAGCCTGCCTCCCATGCAAACCAAAGAAGATGCCAAATTTGCACCTGCAGTAGCAGACTTTGTAGGATGCCACACTGCATCCTGCATAGGGGCAATTGCATGCATATGCATGCGTATCTCTATATCTGGCTTTAGACATGTGGAAAACTCAACAAGAACCCCTTCTAAGGCAAGGATGAGGGAGCTGGGGCCACTGCCTAGCATTTGCCAATGCCCATTCACTTGGCAAAGGCTCCTAAGCCATACTCTGTGCTGTAGTGGCAGATGTGACCAGATGTCTGTCCACTTCCTCTCCTCCCCACAACAGATGAGGCTTAGCGGCATCATTTGACATATTTGGGTTTCGTTAGCATATGTGAGCATGTTCCAAGCAGAACCACAGTGTGCCCAGCACAGCATGGCTTCTCCAAGCGTTTTAGCAGGGCTTTCTGAAAGGGTGCAGCATGCGAGAGCTGAGCAGGGCAGCGAGGGGAGTGGGTTAAGCCATGATGCCTTTGGCTTTGGAAAGCTGAGTGCTGCTGTAGGAGCAGTGATAGTTCCCCTTCTTGAAACTACAGTTTCTGGAGCAAAGGAGCCACTCGGAGGAAACAGGACATGAACGCGTTTAGCCGAAGATCTAAACCTGGCGGAATGCGAAGCCAGTACTCACCAACGGAGCAAATGTCTGTGAAATGGTCCTCACCTTCTTCAGCATGAATCAGGTCATTTTTGCTCTTCTTTATTGCAGCTCTTTTCAACACTGTGTGCAAATTAAAGAGAAAATGCCCCGTGAGCTTTCAGAGTGGATTCTCTCTCCCCCACCCCTCACTCTCCAGGGCCAGCATTTACTGCCCAATGTCAGCTTAAAGCTCTCACGCAAGGGTGTAAGCGGGAGCAAATCGGTCAGCCTACAACTTTGCAGGGTCTCTGCATGCTGCGATGCCAGGGTGGTTAGTTATTTCACCTTCTAGATCTTGAAGGTTTGCCAGGCACAGTTCTGCACGCTTACACTTCACCCCACGGCAGATGCAGTAGGGTGGGGGGGGTCACTGCAGCTGCTGGACCTTTTAGCACAACAGAAAGGCTGGGCAGGGTCACTGAACCTTTCTGAGCCCCTGTGGGTTACGAGACGAGTGCTTCTATCCATTAAAAACATTAATGTTGTTTACAGCGTGCACCATTAAGAAGTTAGCATTTATGGGGCTCGGATACCGTTTACCGCAGAGTGATGCCTTAAGCAGCAAAAAATGCTACGTTGAAAGCAACTGCTACAGCTCAGCAAACGCACTCTTAATAGCACCCACTGCACAATTCCTTCCCTCTGGGGATGTCCTATCTCTCTGAGAACACTCTTTGTCCAAGAGCAGGGAGGATAAACACTGCTACACCGTTTTACAAGACGGGGAAGGAGAACTGCAGCCTAAGGCTCGGAGAGGTCTGCACTGCTCACCCAGTGCACGCGGGGAAGCGCAGGAGCAGAGTGGATGCTGGGCCCGCGACCACCTACCTGCAAACCTTGAGAACTATCAGAAAAAAATACGTTGATACAGTTTTGTAACAGCTTCAAGACAGACAGTAACTAAGCACCGTTTGCTATCAGCAGTAAGACACCCCACGGTGTGGTGATACAAACTGTTCAGAAGGCACACACAGCAAACCCACGCACTCTGCAGCAGCTAACCTGGATGTGTGTTCGTACGAGAGGACCCCCTCACCTACACCAACTTCCCTGCCTTGGCAGAGAAACAGATGGACTCCTTCCTCTCCAGCTAAGCGTTCATGTTTGTGCCACCTCAAGGAAGCTCCCAGAACATCTCCCAGGTTCAGAGGCTCGAAGAGGACAGGATGCTCTCAACCTGCGGTCTGGACCCAATTTTTGCAGATAACCTCTTCTGTTCTTTTTTTCCCCACCCAGCAGCAGGGCTGGATCCTCAGTCCCTGCAACAACCAGTGCTGGGGCCCTCCAGGTTGCAGCTGCCCCAGTGAACTCCAGCACACCCAGGGCCATACCCAGCACTGGACCTTAACCAACCCTGGGAGCAAAGTTTCACTGCATTCCTTGACATGAATCAAACACCTTCTCCTTTATCTTCTCCCTCATTCCCACTTCCCTTCCATACCCCCCAAAGAAAAAAACAAAACAAAACACCCTAAATTTAGTAATTAGAGCATGCCATCCCTACAGGCACTTTGGATGCAATGACCCCTGTGTAGGAGGCTGAGGCCGTTTCCTAGCAGGGACGTGGGCTGCTCTGTACCAGTTGGCTTCAAGGCTGGGACCATCACCAGGCTCCTTTAGCTTACTTGGATGAACGGAGCCTCAGCGTAACTGGGACTTTGCTCCATGGCCTGCACCCACCTCCAGTTTGCTTACAGCACTCAGCCCTTCAGCCTGCTCTTCTAGCACTCATCGCAGCTCGAGACTACAAGCCCTGGCTACACCCACAGGCTGGACAACACACCCATGCACACACACACCCCCACATACACACCCACGGAGATTTTCCAAGTGCACCTCAGCCCTGACCTCCTGCAGCCCCAGCTCGTCCATCCCCGAGCCCTCCCCGAGCGCAGGTCACCCAGCCAAGCCAGCGGCCGGGCGCGCGATGCCCCAGGAGCCACCAAGCTCGGGGCAAAAGGAGCCAAAGCGGGTGGGAAGCATCGCCGGTGACCTGGGCGCTCGGGGCGAGGGGGGAGCGCTGCCCCGCTGTGCCGCCTGAGCCCCTGGTGATTTGCAATCCACTCACTGTTGTAGCTGCTGCCGCTGCTAGTCTCTGCCGGTGCCGTGCCTTGTTGAATCGGCCCTTCCGAGGCGGCCCTCCCTGACAGTGAATGGGAGGAGAAAAAAAAAGAGGGGGGAAAGGGAGGGGAGGGGAAAGGAGGAGACATGGGAGGACGAAAGATGGTCAGAAAAGGGAGAGGGAAGAATCTTTAACTGAACTTTGACTGTCGCATCCTAAGAGCTCATCGGTCTCGAGGCACAGGGAGAGCGGGCCCCGCGTCCTCGCTGCACTGTGTCCAACGCTCCAGCAGGCCTGACACGCTAGGGTCACACGTCGGAAGAGAGGATCACCACACCCTGTTATGTCTTACTGCTTACAAGTAACAGGGGTCTTAGTCTCTTTGTCAAATCCATTTGGCAACCTTGGTTCAGAGCCCTGCCTTCTCTCGCTCAGCGCATTTCTCTTCTGGCATCTGCCCTGCGGCCTACCCCCAGGCACAGCCGCCTCTGCTTGCGGCGGGTGCCCCTGCCACCCCGCGGGCAGATCCCCATCCCAGAGTGGTGTGTCATAACTGCTCATCATCCACCTGCAACCTCAAAAAGGCCCAGTACAGGAAAAGGGACTCTTTAGCCCAACTTATTCCAAGTGCATGCAAGAGCGTGTTGCTCACACCCTCCTGGTTGCAGCAGAAAGCCACGTCAGCGTACAGCAGGTGAACCTCTCGTGTGTTGCAGGAGGAAAACCACACAGCAAAACGACCTACCGTCCAGAGGAGATTTCTCTTCTGCGTTCTTGTCTTCCTCAGCCAGCATGACCTCCTCTGTAAGAGGAAAAACAGCCAGGCTCAACCTCAGGTTTATCGCATCCCCACTCTAAAACCCGCAGAGCTGGGTGCAGCAAACCTCTGTCCCAGCTGTATCACCCAGTTACACCAAGCCTGTCAAAAAAGGGATGGTTCACAGAACCAGGGAAGGAGGTTAAATGAACCACCTTAAGACTGCAGCACTTCCTCCTCTTCACAATGAGCCATCCACTTGAGTTTCTTTACCAAGATACCACCCACAAGGAAGTTCTGTAGAGCAAGAACCTTCCTTCAGCTCCAAGCGAGGCCACAGGTCTCCACAAGGCAGCGGATGGTCCCTCATGCCCAGCCCCACTGGAGACACCAAGGAATGAAAGATGCTTGGTGCCCATTGCCACACTTATGTCTCCATCAACAATACCAGGATTTAAGCCAGGGAAAGAGGATCCGTCTCATTGCACAGAGTAACACTAGTGAGGCTGTGGCACACATCAGCTCTGCCACATCACAAGGGACAGAATGTCACCAAATAGCCATCAGCTCAAATCTTTGTCTGAATAAAATCCATGGCAAAGTTGCTATAGTGGACTTCAGGCTAGCACAGTTCAAACTGCAATGTACGTGAGATGTCACCACTGGTTTTCCATTGCTGTATATCTTGTCTTCAAAATATGAGTTTATACTTTCCTACAGAACAAGAACTCAAAGAACACTGAAAAAAACCACACACACCCCCAATCGAAACTGACTCATTTCTGTGTGAAAGGAGACCAAATTTCCTGAGGTTTCACAATGCAAATGTCATCACCCAAGTCAATTTGCAGCACGCACCATGCTGTGCCAAAACTTGAAACCTTACAGTTCATATGGCCTGAACTGCAGATTTTAGCTTGCTGCTGTAAAAATTGTGTAAGGATCTTCTAAAAGACAGTCAAAGATTACAAAATATTGAATTGGCAGCTGGTGAACTGTACACTTCCTTGTATTATTAAAAATGACAAATTGTTTCATATGTTTGACATAGATATTTTAATAAGATCCCAAATTACGTCTGATACTGCCTTCCTATAAAACTTTGCTTAAAAGTCCATTTAAACCAGCCTAGATAGAAGGCTAACTACAAAAATAAAAGCAAACCACAGCCAAACATCAAAGAGCCGTCTGGAGGAATACTGGAGGGATCAGTACTACCACACAAGTCTTACATAATCTCTTTATTAATCATCTTGGGGAGAGAGAGAGTGAATGATACTTTAATAAGACAGCAAATTGAGAAGGCTGGAAAATAATATTCAGGACTGAGGAAGACCAGAACCCAAGCAGAGGAAAACAAAAGAAAATGAAAACTAATGTACCAAAGACTCAGAAGGTGGGAAGGAAATCAATGGTGCTGAGAGAGGGTTAAAAATGTCAAGTGAGCTATCAATCTGCTTGTTAATAGGCATGAAGTCCTTCAAAAAGAAGGGGAAAAAAAACAACCACCACCCACAAACATGAAAACAATACAATTCAGGTGTTTTCTGAAGCTCATTAACACAGGTCAGACAACTAAAACAGGCTTTTTTTAGTTCAAAAACTATCTCAAACTTCAAAAAATGTACTTCTGAAGTCTTGCCTAGGGTGTACTGGTATATACCAGCTATGCTGGTATTCTGGGGTTAAAATTACACAAGGAGTTAAAAAAAGGTTGATGACAATTAATAATGAATTTGACTGCTGTAAAACAGAAGGGATGGTTAGAGAAGCTGGCCCCTTCCCAAAGGCAGCTGGACAAAGGGCCTGCAAATGTGATACCCAAAGCAACCCTGTGCTGGCAGAAGTACGAGCTCAAGGTGCTAATACAGTAGACAATTTCCTATAGATTTTTTTAAAATCTGCATTGCTCAAGGAGTGTGATTTAAGGAGCTGTATGTTATATCTGAAATGGGCTCCTCTGCACCACACAGGTAGGTTTTATTTACCCATGCGACAGGATAGCAAGTTGCACTGGAAATTCACAACCATTTGGGCTGGAATGTATGTTTAGGTCTTGTGACAAACAAGCCCAGGAAGGCAAACACATCCCAGAGGAGCTCTTCTGCCACTCCCAGAGAGAAGCTGAATTTCAGAATGCATTTGGTAATTACATGGACTAATACAAGCTACCCTGTGGGACTGCAGGGAGCAGACACATGGCCAGGCAGGTGGTGAGCAATGAAAGTAATGAGCTAGCAGAGGTCAGAAGGCAGGCAGCTTTTCTTTAGGAGCTACACCCAGTTGAGTACAATGCAAGAGAGATGTCTGCTTAAGGAAGACCCAGCACATTTACTAGTCAGCGCTCAGAGAGCTGTCAGCTTCGATCACTTCTTGTTTAAAGAAAAAATAATATATTAAAAATTAAAACACTCCAGTAAAGAAAGCTCATTTGCTTAGGTGGCAACTCAATTCTGTGCTTGATTTGTACCAGTGCGGGAGGAAAATCACTGTATTTGTTCCCTTCACAGATCTCTGACTGTGTAGGAAAATAAATTACTATTTTCCCCTGTTTCTAAGTGGCCTCAGATTGCATGTTCTTGTAATAGTTTGCCATTCCTCTTTACCACCCTTTGCACAGAAGCTGAAGAACAACCCCAAGTCTCCAGATCACCTCGGGGTCCTGCGACCTATACGGACATCATGATTTGCAATGGTGTACTGATGCCATCTGATATTCCAGAGTCACCCGTACCCACATGGCCAGACTGATGACAGGTTTAGCCATATTGAGGTTTCAGAAAACAGGATGATAAATGCCAATGGGACATCCGAATTTATAAGTGACAATTTGATACCAACCTATTTTCACCTACAAAGTACAGTCTTGAGACAACTCTGTGGACCAGCTGAGCCTTTGCCCCAGATTCGGGGTCCCAAATATATCTCCCTCCACAGATATACCTCTTCCATGGTTCACTTCTGCTGTCTCTTTAAAATAACCAAAAAACACATCTCACCCATGCAATTGCCTCAAGCCTGTCTCTCCTCCACCCTTGCTCTTTAGTCCTCTCCCTTGACAGTCACTCCCATTTGTCTTGTATCCTCCAGGGAACCGCAGAGATGTATCTGCCCCAGTGGGGCTTTATGAGGCTTTTAAAACCTGCTTGTAAGATAGTTCAGCAGAAAGAAATCACATCATTACCTTCTTTTTTTCGTTTTTAAACCATGCAGCATCTTTAGCAGAGGCTCAGAAGTTGCATTGCCTTTAGTTATCACTAACAGAGAAGGGCAGAAGATAATTAGGAAGCCTGAAAAACCTCCAAACAATAGTATCTCCACATTAGAAGAGATATTCAACAAAGACACAGTATCAGATCAGCAACTTCTAGCCTCCAAACAAAGGCACAGGCCCTTCGCTAGGATAGCAGAGTGAGGGGTGTCTCAGCAGAAAGATTAATTGCTGGTCATTAAGTACTGACAAACCTCAGCACAATACAAGACTGGAAATAATGGCAGTCGTCTTCTACTGAAGAACCGGCCAGCAGAACAAAACAGGCAAAGCAGCAGAGAAACATGGTGCGCCTTCTCTTTGAGGGGAGATAGGACATAATGTACTCTAAAGGAGAGTGTATTACAGCAAATAACTCACTTTAAACAGGCTACAGAAGTTTTTTTTTAAAAAAAAAGGAATTAACCATTGACGCTTCAAACTAGTCATCGCACTCTCACAGGGGTCTCTAATTCCTAGCAATTATTCTCTCTGGCCATCTCATGCATGTTGTTGCCATTTTTTGTGGATGCTGGTTACTTCTTCCAGCTGTGTCAAGGGCTTGTTGCTGTGCTTCTTCTACAGAAAGGTGAAGCCTGAGGTGCATAAAGCTTTGTTGTGTCAAGGAATGACATTCATGTTACAGTGAGCTGAAAGAGAGAGGTTAAATCCATTCCCAAAGCCTGCTTACTACAGGAGAAAATAAATGTTCAGAATCAGTGCTGTGTGAAAGAGATGGATTGGGAAAGAAGGAAAATGCAGAAGACCGGCAACTCGATAAGCTCTGAGCAGAAAGAATTCCAGTCTCTGAGCAGTGTTTTCAAATCGATGCATGTCCTTGTAAGATAAGAGAAATATCTTTGAAAGAATATTTGTGGGCTTATAAACTCTTTACTCTGTGCAGAGAACTTCTAGTTCTCCCCTCTCCATTCAAAATGCAGTATGACAGCCTAACAGTTGCTATAGTTTTGAGGAGTTTAACAGGGATTACATTGCTTGACTTCACCACTTTCTACCTCCTCTGAAAGGCACAATTTTGGATTGACTTGCTACTACTTTTGCATGGAGCGAAAAGAAAAACATGAAGCAAAGAGCAACCTTATTCTGACACACAGCAGGTGGGACAGGACGGGGTTGCTGATCACCAGCAAGACTTTATTTGATACTAGTTGAGCTCAAGAAGCAGCGTTTGGTGAGTACAGTTGACTCATGCTTAGAAGAGTACCATGATGTGAAACATTGCTTTCTGCACCTCTGTCTGCTGGCTTTCAGCAGAGGGAAGAGTGGGTTTTTAAGTAATTTGCTAAAAGCAGATAAATGACTTCATTCTTTGAGATTAAAGTTAGGATTACTGGTCCATTTCTAAATGAGCCATAGAATTTGCTTCTAAATGTTACAGACAGTCAACACTCACAGGTTTGGCATGGCAATTACCATAAGAATTATAGCAAGAAGCTATGTAATTTAATCATTGCTTCTGGCCTGACAGTCACATCACTGAACACCTTACTGCTTTGAAAACACTTCTGGGTTTCTAAATCACGTGTAGGACATCTGCTCACAACACCATCAAAAAGACTCCACTGAGTAACAATTTTCCATGCTTAGTCTTGGCTTCATGATAAACTCATATGGCAATTTTACATGAAATCTCCTGTTATTTCATTTGAAAAATATGTAAACTCTTCTGACTATCCCATGTCTTCATTCTTTAACATGCACACAAGAAATGGGTTTAAAACCTTCGTACCTGGTCTTTGTATGATCCTATTTCAAGGAAGTCAACCTCTAAGGAAACTGACTAGACAGAGGGTGACTTTTTTGTTATAAGTCATGCATGTCTACATTCAACACTTCAGTACATCAGCTGTGTTCCAATTTTCTCCTTTGTTCCCAACCCTTCACTAGGGAAAGCCTGTGTTAAGCACTCCATCAATTAAGGCTTCCTGTATTAAGTATAGCTCAGACAAGTAGCTACACATTAAAGATATGATTGCTTAAAACACCTTGGTATAGATTCCTCAAGCAGATACGCTGCTGACTGTATTAAACAATCCACATTTAAAATAGCCTGAGCTACCTTTGCTTCAGTTACAACCGTCGCTGCACTTCTGGTGATTTATCAGTAGTGAGTTGGCACCAAAATATTTTAGCTGTGCCAAGGTACCTCCTTGAAAACTTCACAAGCACTTTTTGTTACTATTTTCTTCCTCTTTATAGCCTTATTTCACCACTGGAAAAAATTAAAAGTGCCCCTAGAAAAAAAAGGAAAAATGTAGTCAGATACTTAAGGGCCAGGCTACTAAAGATTTCCATTCTTACAACACCAATGTCTATTAAGACAAGTCATTAAACCAGGCCTGGAACATGATCGAGTCAGACAGCATTTAAGAAGTACAAAACAAAGACCCACTGTTTTCTTATGGATGACTAAACAAGCTCCAGTTTCAGTATAAGAAGGGGTTAATAGTAAACAACCTCCAAATTTTTTCAGAACTACCTTTTTAATGCAACACGTACATCAAGAGATAATGTTACTCACTTCACAAATAGAGAAGGCTCTAAGAAACATTAAAGGCACTCAAAAGTGGTCAATAAATAATGAGTATAATGCTAAATTAAAATCAGAGTTGACAAATGGGAGGTAGTGTACAGATGAAGGAAAGATTTTAGTCATTCAAATACTTTCCTTGGTTTTACACCCATTACAGCCCTTGAGGTAGGAACTTGAGCACTCTGGAGAACAAGAAAATCTCCTTTCCAACTCTAGCAACTACTCAGAATATGTAAAGTGCTACAGAGCAAAACCAACCAGATTAAGTATTATACTTAAACATTAAGTATTAAGATGCCCCTTTATGAACCAATGGAACATAGTTTTCCACTCTTCCTACCTTGCATCAAAAATAAATAAGAAATAAATGAAATAGCAAAATGCTCTGGGGTGGATACTATAAATACTAGAAGCCTAGAGAGCCTTCCATGAGAAGAGCAGAAAAAGAGTAGATTGGCTCTGCACGCTTTTGAGCAGAATAAAATAAGGTGAAACAAGGTAGAGACGCAGCAGAGAGTGAGAATTAATAAAAAGAAATACCAAGTACACTCCTGAGCTCTTCCTCCCACTGCAGCAGAAAGACATCATACTTAAAATCAAGGAAAAAACATTTTTCTTCAATCAAATCAACTATTAACATGTGGAACTCCTTGCTACAGGATTCATTGAGGTCAAGGATGCTAGAAGGATTTAAAAACAATTAGATAGTTACATGAATAATAACCAAACCCCTCCAGAGTTACATTAGAGCAGAACACCAGGAGCTTTTGCTTTGGCAAAATTTATGCGAAGAGCTTACAACATCTCACTGCCTGGGGCTGTTGCAGGCTGGGTAGCCTCTGACCTCCATTCTGCTTGTTTTTCTCCAAAGCACTTTCCTTTGACCATGGCCACACACACGGTCCTAGGCAAGGAAGAGTGGCAAAATCCATGATTCACATGGGCATAGCTGAAATCCTGGCTTCAGAAACAGAAATGGGAAATCCCCATCGGTTGCACAGTCCCACAACTGCAATGCCTGAATTCCAAACACTTGATTCTCTCTTTTGTCTAGTCTTCATGATATGTTTGTTTTGTATTTAAAGATTTAATAACATTAAGTTGATTAGTTGACTTTAATTATTGTTATTATTCAGCTGTACTAAGAAGCTTTTTTGTTTTAAACATTCCTATTGTATCTTCAACAGTGCCTTTACAAGATATTTTTATTATTCCCTGATTCAGCTCTTTTGCATACACTTGCATGTTCTGTAAGACCTTCTGGGTCTTGTGTTATTAGACAAAATAAAAAAAGATGAGCATTTTAGAGAAATTTCACTGTATATTCATGCGCCATTTATACAGCACTGGCAACACAGAAATAGAATAGCCACAGTCATTCCCAAAGGGACTCAGTGCTTGGAGCAGAGGCTGGCTGTGTATTTTATAACTTCTCCAGCTCAACTTTCAGACCTCAAGGTTCAGCTAATGACCTCCTCGTAGCTTTTATTGGTACAACAGTCCCCAAAATAAAACAAAGCAACCCACATCCCTACAAGGAAATTCTCATTTTATTAATGGAGAAACTGGGTTTTAGAGCCCAAGAAATCTCAGGAGCCTTAAAAGCAAGATGGCAGCAGAGCCAAGGCAGAATCACAGCACTCTGCTCCAGCTAACCGAAAAGCCATTAATTAATTTGATTTTGAGGTAGCAAAAAGCTGTAAACAAACGAGAAGACAAGTTCTAAATGGAAAGGAAAGCAAATGGCCCCTGTTTTCCTACAGAACCACAGAATTAAGGGGAGATAAAGAGTGGTTGCCTAATTGAGGGCACTAGCCATTGAACAGTCACAGTGAATAAAAGTCAATACAACTGGCACTCAATTGTTACTGTGCATAGTGCTCTGGGGAATAATGGGATCAAGCCACCATATAAACTGCCACTAGCTCTTCCTATTTTACATTTCAGACCTCTTTCTCTCTGGCCAGGTTGTTAAAACTCATGTTCAGGCCACTCCTGTCTGAGGAAGCTGCTGCAGTCCTCTTCTCTGCTGGCCAGTGGCTCACAGCGGGCACCAAGGCAGAGCAGAAACAAAGGTTTGTCCCACAGCTTCAGAGCAACACAGCGCCAGTCCTGCCACCAGCCAGCCAGCTGATGCCCACACCACATCAATACACAATGTCGGACCTCAGTTTCCCCATTTGTAATGGGCAGAGGTGAAGCTGACCTGCCTAGGAAGGCAGCTGAAAACCTATTTGTGAAGCCACCGCTTCTTTTCTCCCCATCGTTATTCCAAAAGGCATTTTCAGTTTAAGCTTTGCAGAAATGCAAGCAAGGAAGCAATTCAGCCCCAGAAGTTTTCTCAATGCTTAATGAATTGCACTGCGGTTATGTCAATATATATTAGCTACTCTATAACACAGAAGGGTTATTGGTAATCTTTACCATCCAATAAAAAGAAAAACCTGCTATTTTTGTTAAAAAAAGAGATTTTAGGTCTTTCTTAAAGTTGATCACTGCTTGCAATAAAGCCTAATGTTCAGTTATAATAGTTATAAAGCACTGTTCACATGCGCCAGGATAAGTTTCATGAAAGTGATCTTTGTAGCTCATAAAAATGACACTCCAGTGTATTTTGCCATCATAGCAAGAGAGGCTTATAAAATAGCTGTGGTGGAAAGTAAATAAAATATAAATGACTCATCTCAGGCAACAGTTTCCCCACCACAGAGACTGTGCACTGTATCGCTTTTTGTATTATATCATATTAAGACAATTGCTTTGATCTCAGCAATAAAGCAGGTTGGCCCGACTCCTTTATTTTTGCTTAACCAAACTGGGATCTTCTGCAATAACTTCAGTGTGACTGCACAGGAACAAGCATAACAAAAATAATAAGTGCTAGTTGGGTCCTGTCCAGGCTTTGCTGGCCAGGGATGCCAAGAACTGGTCCTGGGGTCCTTGTCCTTGCCATCACCAGACTCTACGTGCCACGCACCTTGGTCCAACATTAGCTGTGTCTCCTTACCTGCTTTGAAGATCCACTCCAGGTATCCATTTAGCTCCCGTTCTATTTGCTGCTGCCTACGGAGTTTCAGGAAAGCTCGGCGATTTTCTACCCTCTCTCGTTCTTTGGCAAATTCACTATAGAGGGAGAAGAATAAGAAAGCACATCACATAAAGTCAGGGAAAACATGCAGCCCTTCTTTTGCCGTTGAGATTGTCTTCACAAAGCCTGTGAAGTCGATAGCAGCAGGAACCACAGCACGCTACACGTTGCTGCCCAACAAGGTACCACTTTGATTCTACCTCAGCTCTTTCTCTGCCCCTCATCCTGCAGGAGGACTGCAAAGTCCCAAATGCACACAGTTCTGTTCTGGGGCCACACAACATCCTTGCCAATGAGATCCTGATGCGCTGCACCCATCCAGTCAGGCACTACAAATTACTATCCACAACACTAAAAGCTCTCCTCCATCCCTCTCTACCTCCTAAATCACTATCCCCAGATAATTCCCTCGAGAAGCAGAATATTTTGTCAGAGAGGCACCAGCAGTCTTTCAGTTCAGGAAGAGATTTACTTTTCCCAGTTCACCCTCCTCAGAATTTTCCCTCTGAGGGCTTAAGCCAACTTCGACAAACACAAGTTGAACAAGAGCTGTAGGTGAGGTTGGGTACTCTGCAGCAAGGTGAAATACCCTCAACCCAGAGCATCTAGGGTAACAACGACCTTGCTATTTGATAAAATCACATGGAAAGCAAGCAAATTGTCATCAGATTATGACAAGGCTATAGCGTGTGTGGGGGTGCAGTGAATGAGAAAGGAAGCAAATAACACAGGCTGGAAAAAAAAAAAGACTCACCCAACCACTGCAAAAGCCTTTTCAAAGTACATCCTACAGCCTACCTTGAAACGATGCTGAGACAACAGTGCGGCCCCCACCTGCAGACACCCACACTAAGGCTTTCCCCAGGCTGACCTGTGTCACCTCTAGGAAGCTCCTGGTGCTCCACCTGAAGTGACCTCTGCAGATGTACGTGTCCTCTACCATTTGCAGGGCTCCAAAACAGCCTCTGCACCCCCTCGCTTTGAGCACACACCAATGAGTGGTTACAGGACTGAATCCTGTGACAGCTTAACCTGCGTGGTCAGAAGTGTGATGAGGTTTTGTCCCTCATATACACCAGTGCCCCAGTCTTTGTCCCACTCGACATCTTAACATCGCAGACTCCTTTCTTGCAAGCCTTAGTTAACCTCACTAATCACCTGCTAATTACCCATGCATGCTCCTCAGTCAGAATCTAACAAGGAGCAGGAGATGGGAAGGAGGAGGAAGAATGGGAAAAAAGGAGCTGCAAGGGCCAAAGCCAGCTTTGTATTCACAGTCTCCATTTCGCCCCTCCAAGCTGACAATTTGCTCAGTTTGGCAGGACTGCCTGACCCGTGGAGAAGGGGAGTGCAGGAGGACTTGGCTCAGCACTGCGACACACACAGCCGTGGATGTGAGCTGCCATCAGCTGAGCTGCTCTCCTGATTTTGGCAGCGTGCTCCCAGTCTCCTGATTCCCCTCTTCTGTCCCCCACCTTGAAACAGAGGAAGCCGAAACACCGCTCTGCTCTGACAGCTCCTCCTTGGCATGTGTCTGCCTGGTGGCTCATGAGCCTGCACGTGTCAGCTGGGCTGCCCATTTCCTCCCTCTTCTTTTTTAATGTGCTCATTTCTGTTTCAGTGCCTGCTGGTTGGTGCCACGGACCTCCTCTCCTTCTTCATTTCTCTCTGGATGGGGAAGAATGGGATCGGACAGTGCGAGGCGACAACACGCATTTAACCTGCTGGACACGGAGGGGTGGGGGATGATTTCCTGCACTGCTGGCGTGTGTCCCCGTGCATTTCCAGAGCAGGGCCGTGCCGGGGGGCAGCAGGAGGCGATACCCAGCGGGGAGCCTGGCCGAGGGCCGCAGCGGGCAGGAAGGGCAGCAGGTGAGCCGTGGCACCGTTCCCGCGCCCCTCAGGAGCAGGGGAGGGAGAGCTTTGCTGCAAAGCCTTTCATCCTCTGCCAGCTCCTAGCTGGCCTAGGGACAGGGAAAGCTAACTAGGTCTTGTCTCTTTATTCTCAACTTTAAACATGTAAGAAAATGAGGTAGAAACCATAAGTTGCAAGCCTCCAGTAGTTTCTGCGCAGTCATGCACTCATTTCGCAAGGAAACATCACTGAGCCTGAAGCTACCTGCACCCACCAGAAACTGCAGGGAGGCACAGCCCTGTGCCAGAGCCAACCAAAGCAACATCTCGTGGCCTAACAGCCCCAGTCCAGGCCTCCTGCTCCCTGCAGCTGCCCTGTTTGTCCTGACAGAGAGGCTGGGAAGGCAGCTTTCAGGAGATGACCCAGGTACTGTGGGTCTCTGCTCACTGACTGTCGTCTGAGCACAGCAGGCTGGGGACTGGAGTGCCCTGATGGGTGCTCTTCCTAGGGGAAGAAAGCATTGCTCACTCTCTCAGCTCTCCCCAATTAAGCTGGAGTTTTACAAAAGGTTTCCATGTGAAATGCATTAATATAAGCATGCTGCTCTCTCCTCCGCTACATTTATCATCATTCAGGAACTGAAATATTCCCTGTTTGCAGTAACTGGAAAACTCTCAGAATTCCTGCATGAGAGCTTTTCAGCAAAATTTCAGACCATTTTCAAAGACAAATTGAAAAAATCTATCAAAATGCTGTGTTATATCTAGAAATACTTGAGCTGCAATTTTCCTGACAGTTCTAAAAGAAATTGTGGAAAACCCCATAGGAATGTTTGGCAGCAGTAAGTAAGTTTCCTGTTTTATCCAGAATAATTGCTATTTATGCCACTGACTTGCAAAAATCTCCTAAACCTTCTGGGAAACTTAGGCAGGAAATATGCTGCCTCCTGACCAGCTTTTCCTTTAGGACTTTCTTCACAGCTGGTCCTCCATACTTTGGCCAATTTTGTATGGCAGAATATTAAATAACGCTCCTTTGTTGTTGCCCTTCATCAACCACTTTTTCCCCAGAAAAGCCCCCCAAATGCTCCTCTTCCAGCACTGCCTGGTGAGGCATTAGGAGGAGGAAAGCTGGAAGGGTTGGTACTCCTACACACAGCACAGCATCGGGAGACACTGCTTCGGAGGAAGACAAGCTCTGCCTTGGTAGATGACTACAGCATATTTTAGTTACAACATGACAGTTGTGAATAACTGATCCTACAGAGACAAGAGGAACAGACATCAACGGAAGGGCATTCATCATAGAAACCATACGCCACACCAGTCAGGCTCAATGTGTCACATTTTTTTTTTTCCTCCTCAAGACTGGTTAGTGCTTAAAGTCATGAGGAAAATGGATGATTGTCTCTTATCACATTAGGGGGAGGAAGAGTAAAATATATCATGGTGTAAATATGCACTGGAATGGCCACTTCAGAGAAACTCGTGAGCCTCCCCAACCACGAGAGAGGCAAGGTCAATTCATGAGTAAGCATCAGGGGCCAGAGAAGATTATAATCCAATGACATTCTTACAAATACTTTACCTATGCTGGTCTTAAGTGGGGAAAAAAAAAAAAAAAAGTCAGACCAAACAAAAAGGAAAACAAACAAAAGCCCTAATCTCCATTCTCCAAGTCTCTGATCAATTTTTCTATATAAGAGAAAAGAGCAGAGATGGAGCACCAAGTAACATGCCTCCTGGTCTTGGGTTTCATGGTGCACACCCAGGCTTGCTGCAAGACTAATCACACCATTCAAACCTCTGCGATTCAGGTTTTCCCAGTAGAAAGCAGACACAAGTGCTTCCCACTCAAAGGAAAGAGGCAAAAAGAGACGATATAGCATTACTGTCATTGCTACCACTAATAGTGGTGGTGATTAGCAATTCATGATAATGACATAGGTAATTAGCTCCTCATTCAGAACAGTACCACTGAGCTACACATGATCTCATGAAAACTCAGATCTTATAATGGGAGAACAGCCTTCTACTGAATCTAAAGCACTGTTCAGAGCAAGCAAAAACAGCACAGATCTCAGAAGGGCCTCGCTAAGGACTCCCAGAAGGGAATTGAAAAGGACTTCAAAATTTTATGTCTAAAACAAAAATCAGTTTAAGGATTGGTATCATCTCTAGCCCAAGTATTTCAAAGAAATGAGTAAGGCTGAACCTGGATGGCATTGAGGGACATAGCCCTGCCTGGAAAAATGCAGCCCCCAGGAGCCAAAAGGAGACAGATAAATTTAAGTGGGTGAGCTGCTAGCTAAGGAACTAGCCAGGCCTACAGATGTTTGACTGCCTGAATTACTCACAGGCCAAAATGAATTCTCCTGGTGGAGCAACAAAATCGGCCAAGACAGGAGGCTTAATTTGTGAGCTTTGTTGCTCGAACATGGAGCAGTGCCCAAGTACAGACTTGATATTTGACAGCAGCCTGTTAAACAGCCCACATCACTTGGGAGCAGTGAGGGACAGGCTGGGGGTAGCTGATGGAATACACCAACTCCTCTGGTTGCCTGACGTGCAAGCTGGAGGAGCATCACTGCAGGAAGCACGTGCCAGAGGATCAGCAGTGGCACAAATTCACGCGTTTCATGCTACTAGGGGGCTGCTTGGATGAGGTGAAGCACTAAAAATTCCTCTTTCAGTTCATCCCATTTAAAACCAGCAAGGAAGGAACCTCAAAAAACGATTCAGTGCCAATTACCTGGCTATATTTCTACAGACCTTCAGAAAGAACAACAGTGAACTAGGAATATCCATAGGATGCTACAAGTGGAACCTGGAGATAAGAACGTGCACTGGTAGGACCCCAACATACGAACATGCTGGGTGATAAAACAGGTAAAATAGACATGATACTACCCGCATTTTGATAGTAAAGCCAGGTCTCTTGTGCTCCTGGCAAGCTGCAACTGCTTGCTGAGGGGCTGTACATTACTTACCAGACCTTCCGAGTGCCCTAGGGTGTGTTAGTGCACAGGGACCACACACATCTCCAGGCATCCTGAGAGCATCCACATGCAGGCAGAAACACTTAATTGGATTTAAGAGTGGAAGTCCATTTCCTAACATTTATTTTGGTTAACCATCTGTGGGAAAGAACTAGAAAAAGATCCTTCTTCTTTGTTTTGTT